GCCGATGAAGCGACATGTATCCGCACCACCTGAAGAACCTGCGCGACGCGTGGGGGTGGTCGTCGACAACGTGTTCCTCGAGGAAATCATCAACGAGGCGAAGGAGAGGAAGGAGAAAGAAAGGCAGACGAAAGCGGTACCTATTCCTCCACCGCGCAGCGCTAACCCCGAACCCCCGACCAGTCCCGTCGCAGGACCTTCGCGCCCCCGCCCCGATACACCCGTCGTCTTTCGCAAAGTCGATCCCGACTGGACACCGGACACCACTCAATGGACGTGGGACAGCTCCTGGCCGAATCAGAAGCACCTCTCTGGCGAAGAATGGATGAACGTAGGGAGGAACGCACACAAGGAGTGGTTCGACGAAGAGGAGGACAACGGCGTAGATTGGGAGTTGTACGGAGATGGTGAGCAGTAAGTAGTCGAATGGGACTTCGACTCTGGTAGGGGGGTAATGAAACATTTGTCTTTCCGTTCTATTCCTTGTACTACTAGCGCCCATACTGGCGCCGGTCTTAGCGCTCACCCGCAGGTTGAACATTATGTAGCTTACATAATGGGGTCCGTGCGCACTTCGTACTCAGCATCGTACCACTACGTTTCTTTCTTCACTAACACGACCACATAGACACAATGGTCCGTGCGCAGTCGGTACTTGTATAAGTAGTTGTACCATTAGTCGGTCGAACCCTAAGTTCGACCTGGTTATTCATTCAAGTCTCTGCTCCTCCTCGCTTGGGGTAGTGGTCATTCTCGACTTCCTCGCTCGATCTTCAGGACGACGTACTGTCCATAAGTCCTCGCTCGTCGTCTATGAGTCGGGCATCGATATAGGAGTATAGACCATTGTATCACATACAGCGCAAGCGACGCAGAACGCTCAGCGGGGCACCCAGGATAGACGACACTTGCTTACGTGAGTGATCAAGATAGTTTCCTGCGCGCGTCTTGCTCCAAGTGGTGTGTGATCGACTGCTGCCTCAGTTTCTGCCAACGGTTCCGGATATTGGGCACTTCCAGCTCTGCTGCTTGGACGATGACGCCATGCATGATGTACTCTCTGAATGATGTAAGTCTGGCAACTTCTGCTCTCATCACCAAGTCCATAGCTCAACGCGCCTTCCTCCGAGATCTTTCGCTTCCATGTGACGTTGTTCGCCTTACATCTGGTCTTGCCCACACTATTGGACCCATCAGTGACACATTTTCGTGTGCCTCTAATCTTGTCACTGCTTCGGAATATCCCTAGATGCTATCCATATGCCCATCACAGCCTCAGCTTTGGGTGTCAGCATCGCGATTCCCGCTATGCCATCCTGTCATGGCGCTGTTTCGTGCCTGCACGACCTGCAACCACTGTGCTCACAAGTGAGTGTGTCATCCTTCCTTTCCAATACCTCCCCTGTGCCTCGGTCCGATACTTGCAATGACGGTGGCCAGGATGCAGGCTCAGAGTATACCTGACCGATACAATGAACACCCAGGCTGATTGTACTCATAGGGTCATCTAAAATCGTATATATGACAAATCACATATATGGCTGCCCACCATACATTATCCATTCGGTCTGTACGGCTAGATGAGCAATGCCAATACTCACAATTCCACAAGCCAATTCATACTGAATAAGTGCTGATACGAGCTCCTCAAGGGAACAACAACTCCACTCTCAAGGTGTCCGGCGCCTGATGTTTGAGATGTGAAGTCGCAGCCATCTCCACCGAGTAAATTGTCACTGCTAAGTTTATATATCATATATCAGAACTTGACCCTTGTTACTCATACTCATGGTCTGCGCACATACACACGCCATCTGCATCGAGATGAGGTGCACATTCTGTTCTTCAAATGCAGCGGCTGACATTGTTTAGATCGCGCCCTCGTGCGTCATGAATCCTAATTGAGACATCGCTACGAGAAAGCCATCTCTATTACCTCTTAACATTCCAGAGTGGTCTCCTGACATCTCACCATATTAGCCTCAGGCGAGCCATGCAGCTGCATAGCAGGGTCCTGCACGGGTCGGCTCCATGTATGACGTGCGAGGTGCACATGAAGATAATTAGTGAAAACCATGACATGATGTACATCCAGGTCGGGTAGTGGTGATCTACATAGAATATCATCGTCGTTGTGGAGCTCTGCAGGGAATAGCAACACATCGTAAACAGGCACTCTATGCGAATATCAGACATATGAAGCTGGCGGCGGGAGCTGACTTGAATTATGAATGTTCAGTCGACGTCAAGACCTCTTACGCGGATGCCTCTCACTCTCGACGAAGCTCCTCCAACGCCTTTTCATCCGCTTGGATGTTCTCCTTGGCCCACTCAATCACCCGATGCAGCTCGAGCACTTGAGTCAGGACCCTCTCCGCCTCGTTGAAGCGCCCCGTCTTTGTGTAGACCTTGCCAAGGGTCAAGAGTGTGTTCCCCTCACCAAGAGGCGCGCGTATTGTGCACCACAGGTCGACTGCGTCACAGCACCTTTTCTGCCTCAGTGTTGTGATGAGACATCATATAAACCTCGCCGAGTGATGCAAGATCACCGGCCTCACCTATCTGGGCCTGAACAGCCTGATGCAGAGCCAGGGCATGCTTCAATGTTCCTGCTGCATTGGGCAGATCTTCCCGATATAGGTACACCCTCCCGAGGTCTTGCAAGCTGTTTGCCTCGCCAAGTCTGTTGTGGATGGTACAGTAGAGATTTAGAGCTGCATGCAATGATGCCTCTGCCTCGTCAAGATCCCCTGTCTCGATATACATCACGGCAAGATTGCTGTGATCAGTGGCCTCGCCAAGGCGGTCCTGGAGTGAGTGATGAAGCGATGCAGCCTTCCTGTATGTGCACTCCGCCTTGAAAAAGTCATTCCTGCGACAGTACACTTTTCTGAGGCTTTGGAGTGTATTTGCCTCCCCAAGGCAATTGCTGATTGTATGATAGACAGACAGGGCGTTGACCAGCGATTGCTCCGAATCTTTTAGGTTTTCCATGCAAGCAAATAGGTTGCCCAGCTTCTCTAGGTCTCTGGCCTCGCCCCAGCTGTCTTTGATTGTACGGTGAAGAGATAATGCCTCCAGATACGACTGAGTGGCCAGTGCAAGGTCACCCTTGTAATAGTATATCCATGCGAGGCTCTGCAGGTCGTCTGCTTCACCCTTGCGGCTCCCGGCTGCGCGGTGATTCTTAAGCGCCTTGCTTAGGGTGTTCTTAGCACTGTCCCACTGACAAAGACGAAGGTATGTGTCTCCTAGTACTTTGTAGCAGTCACCCAGCAGGCCAAAATCACGTATATGGATAATGCAGAGCTGTAAAAGGTCGACAGATGGCATGCCGAAATGATTCATCCATTTGATGTAATCAATCACAGCGGGTACTGTCGCAGAGATGGCACGCTGCCCAGAAATAGAAACCTTGAGGACATATTCGATGTTGCGTAACTCGGGATACACGATGCAGATGGTAGCAGTGTCAGAACGGTTCACATCTTGACGGATGAGCGATGTATAGAGGTCGGTCAAACATGACCACCACTCTCCACGGGTCCGAAGATCTGTATGATTTTGGCAATACTCGCGAATCGGAGAGAGCATGCAATATCGCCTGTTAGTTTGATCCCTGTATGCAATTCCAACACGACAAAGAGTGCCGAGTGACTTAGAGAGGTCTGCGTGGTTGGAGAATGTGCATCATAGCTTTTCCCAAGTGACCGTGGAGCTTGGCAATCCATTTGGCATGTGAGCGAGAAGTGTCATCACATATGCCGCCGGTGCATCTTCCTGCATGCGAGGACTATTGATGGAGAGCTCGATGGATGAGGATAGATCGAGCAGTCTGCCCCGGACACCATCCGATCTCGTGACACTTGCAACCCGCTGGTCCTCCCATCGACACCAGATATCCCGCGGACACGCAATATCCTTGTGCGCTTGATGAGCGAGCAGAACTACGGCCAACGGCAGACTATCCACCGCTGAGACGAGCTTGTCAACATATGGATCCTGATCGTCGGCGCTGATCTCGGTAATCCTCTTGAACAGCACAACTCCCTCAGCTTGTGACATGGGATGGAGAATGTGCCTGGACCATGGCAAGCGTCCACTTGCAGGAGCCTCTGCTCCCCGCATGGTGATCACAAGTGCGAGCCCGTTTATACCAGCATAGGCTTCAAGTTCTGTCTCCACTTGACTCCGGATATTTGCAATGTCGAATAGCGTCTCGAAGTTGTCGAGGAAGAGAATGGATGGCTTGTGAGCGAGTTCGAGCAAGATATTGACGCGTAGCTGATCAGTTCGGAGCTCTGCAAGCATGCCAAGAGCATCTGCAATACCAGTGCGCAATCCATCCAGGGTGGTGATGTCCTCGCAGGAAACAAAGTAACGGCATGTGAACTGGGAGAGAACCCGGTCGTCGTAGAGTGCCTCTGTGATGACCGTTGTTTTGCCAATGCCGCCTGTTCCGAGAGCGATTGTTTGTTTCCGCTGCAGGATCGCATCCACGAGGTACTCCCGCTCCTCCTTTCGACCGAAGAATAGCACTGGCCGCGGTGGGAAGCTGAATTGTCTGTGTAAATATATCAGGACATCCCGGTATACGGCAGCCTTGCAAATGACTGACAACATTCCATCTGCACTCTGCGTTCCTGCCTTGCTTCCAGACATAGAGGCTGCCGCAATCAAATAAGTGTCGGATCGCAAAGAACGCTCAAGGTAACTCACCAAATCCCTCCTCCACCGTCTGTTTCACGTCATTCAGCTTGGACAGGACAAGTGCACCAGTCATTCGGTCCTCCTTGTCCAACAGAGCCCGCAATCTGGTGGTCGTAGCCTTGATGTCATCATCTCCAGCAGTAAGTCGCTCTAGAGCATACTGACTCAACAACGGTTCCATATAGTAGATACGAGACACGCACCAAGGAAGCCTTTATTGATGTGCCCGGTGATCATACCAAATATGACCAGCATCTCCGCCAGGACCTCTTCATGGATCTCCATGATCTCAATGTCAGGTCTCGACGTCAGGTGTACACGCATGCGGTCCAGGAAGTCAGATAACGCATCGAACAGACTCAGGATACGCTCATAGCTTGAGCCAAGCTTGTCTGCCGTCTACGGTAAATTATCATGTCAAAAATGGAAGATTCGACTTTGTTGGACTATCGCGTACATCTAGCAGCTTCTCAAGCGCAGCTGCGGCCAGCTTGACCCCCGGGAGGTGCTGTAGAACCAAGATAGTGAGTGTTCCTGACTTCCTCATCATGTTCCAAGCAATCATATACAGGCTCCGCAAGATCCGCCGCCGAATCAACAAATGTTTTCATGAACTTCAGCACCGGCCATACCACCTTCGCGATTTCTTCCGCCTTCCTGTGTTCCTGCTGGAACGTATACCGTCCATTTTCCAGAGTAGTTTCAATTGATGTCAGCGCGTCAATGTGCTGAACAGCTGCCCAGGCAGATATGTCGACGCCGGTGCTGGCAGTGTAACGTCTTCGGGCCTTCTCCCATATCTCGTTGAACCGTGATGTTGAGACAGTGTCTGTTAGTTGAACGAGGATTGTCAGGGGCCTGCGCATATGGCTATCATGTACGATACTTGCCCTGAGCTGCATATGCTGTTGAAGCTTTCTCAACGAGCCATGCTAATTCGCGGATTGTGGCTTGCAGTTTGTCATTTCGAGCAAACAGCGATGAAGATATCCAGGGCACCGACACGGAATGTAGGGTCTTCGCTCCTTCCCCGACGATTCTCAACGTTGTGGCCTTGATCTGGACGAGCACAATGGCTGCCGACGACTCCGACTTTTGTGTGATGGGTGGAAGGTGCTTGAGAATTTTGGTGATCTCCGCCATCAGGTCCGCTATGAGCGCGACTGCGGTAGTCTTTCCACGAGATGCCTGGACAGGAGTCAGAGTCAGCGGCAGAATGAGATACCTTCTATTAATTACCTCAGCAAGTGTGAGGAGCGCCCCGAGCACGACCGGGTCCTGGAGAATAAGAGCATGAGCCATAGCCTCATCTCGGTAAGTGGATATGGGAGTTCACGATATCATCACTCGTATTCTCATGTATCCTTCGGGAGACAATGAGGTCCGCAAGTTCTCTTGCGTTCGCTCGAAGTTGTACCGTCGCGCTCTCCTTCAAGCCCAGGGCGTGAAGTTGTGACTGTAGCTCCACGGTCGAGGCGACCTTCCTCGGGAAGTTTGGTGACCACACGCCTACAAGACTCGCGTATTCAACGAGCGTATGCTCCCACCCACGCTTGATCTGATCGTCGAGGGGATCTATAACGCCGTGTGAGTATCTGGGTACTCTGATACACTGAGCCCGGCGCACCCCCGATCCATTGCAACGTATGCATCTCCCAGTGGAGCTCGGAGAGGACCTGCTTCACATCGCGATCACTCGAAAGCGTGTCGCCATGATCTATATATAGTTGGTCAGTGGAAGGTAAGACGTGGCTGAGGGAACGGCTCACGCACGCTTCTTCGTGATCACATTGTATGCAGTCCCCACCAGTGTGACGTAGGACATGAGAACATTTTCAAACGGAGCTCTACCGCTTTCTGTAACGTTGTTTGCCAGGCCACACTCCATGAGTGGTACCTGATCCCATAGGCGGACGATCGCGTTGACATCGCCGCTGTCATTGGCACTCTGAGAAGACCCATTAGTGGATGCTAAATACGAGACTGAGTGAGAGATGGACTGACGAGGAAGAGCGCGGCAAACGACCGAAAAATGATGCTTCGTCGCACATTCCCCTGATACAGAAGTGAGTATGTCATTCCCAACGCCAGCGCTATTGATTCTTACCTGCTCAGCATCCATTACGTGATTCAGAAGGCGGTCGACGTCTCCAAACACACGCTTGCAAGATTCGAGATTGCGATCAAGGCCATTCTTGAGTTTCTTGTTACTCGGAGACTTTGCGCGGACAGTGGTCGACAGGCTCTTGGCATCTATGACCGTTCTCAACCCGAGTATGGGAGATTCAGCCTCGTTGTCGATGGCTTCTAAGTCTATATTGGTGCAGTCTTTGAATCGTTTCAGTGCCTTGCTCCAGACAGGTGGGAGCCCGTGCGCAGTGAGCACTTGCGTCGCAGCATCTTCCATAATCAAGCGGCGAATGGACGCGAGTAGGGAATGAGATGTTAGAGGGGAGACAGAGAGCAGAGGGGGAGGTACAAATGAGATTGACCAGCTACGGCAGTCCTCAACGCTGTGTGCATGAGGCTTCCAGGATCACCGCCACCGGAGAACCTGTGCTTCGAACGAGCGCGCATGTGGTCTGATGCATACAGCCGTCAGACAGGAAAGGCAATCGGAGGTAACCTCGTGCCGTAGCGAAGTCCATCTGATTGAGGTGAGAGCGCAACCTTGTGGCTAGTCTGTGGCCACCCTAGTTCCCGCGCAACATGTGTGTCAGGTCAACGAAAAGGATCTCCACGTCTTCTCGATGGCGAAGAATAGAACACTGAAGCGCCCATGCATCCTCGGACGCATCTCGGAAATGTAAGTTACGCATGTCGAACGGGTGGCGCCTTACGGCAGGGATCACAAGCAGTGCATACAACGAGTGAATGAAGCATGTATTGCACCCGAGCGTGAGAGACAACAGGAGGCGGGGCGTACATTGATAGCCGCTGTGATGGAGGATGGTTCTGTCGTGCTTCAACTCCTATCTCAAAGAGTGGATACTGCATATTGAGATCTGTGCGTGATACTATGAAGGTCGCAAACTCCCATCTAGTGACGTTCGAATTTCGCGAGGGGTAGTAGGCGGGAAATGTACCTTCCCAACTCGTGTCTGGATGCCTATCTGAGTATGCGAGGGAGACGAAGACATTTTTGCCCTGAAAGAGTGAGAACGGAGGGAAATGGAAAGGGCACGACAAGCATCGCGTCATGAAGACCTGCAGTTTGCACGAATGACGTGGATGCGCGCGAGGACATGCAGCGGCAGGGGAACGACACAGACCGTGAAGGGCACTTCTGAACGAGGAGCATGGGACAGGAACAGCCCCAGATAAAGAATGGTGTTTGCTACAGGACAAAAGCAATACGTGTATGTGTTGTGTAGAGGTTTATGACTCCCTGGTAATCAGGCTGAGACCGAGACACGAAAAATAACGTGTCCACGTACAACAGCAGTCCGTCGAGCCCTTATCCTGGCCTGCCTCTCTCTCTGCTCTGTCGCAGCCACTGCAGTCCTTCACGTATACGGCTCGTATAGTCTCAACGCACAACGCAGTGGGTTAAAGCCGAAGTTGCGCGGGCGCAGATAGCAAACTCGCTAGCGAAGAGTCGCGTTGGGTTGTCTTTCCAGAAGGGCCATGGTTTTGGGGATGACCTGTACGAGATATACAGGAGTATAACGCACAGAGAAAGACTGACAGTACTCGCAAGGTTCCAGCTTCAGAAAGATCGTGGTGGCAGTAGGCAGTGGAAAAGCGCCTGATGACTGGGCGCTTCACGGGCGCTCTGATCTCGATAACAGTCTGTGCGCTACGCTAGTGATGTCATCGCTTGTTTGGCTGCCAAAGGAACCGTCCACCCTAGTGACGTACCCGTCGTCTTCTCTTCGACTGTAGGCCATGCTCCGGGGCTCAGAGAATCTCGATCGTCTTGAATTGTGTTCTCAATCGTGTGTCTGTCCCAGCGCCTCGTCGCCAGTCCTCTATGAGCAGACCGGTCCAGTGATGTTGATGATCGATGATCCTGCGTCATGCCTGTCTCACGCACATTTTTTCCTCAACCGCCTAATCACTCGATCTGTTTCCCTCATACTGAAACGCGATGAGCAGGTCATATATGCCTCTCTGAGTGCGAACTGTCTTGTGACAACGGCGGCTCCACCGTGCGCGGTTTCGTAGTCCCTCAGACACACGCTTATGGTCTGTGAGTTGATAAAATGACCCATGCGGGTGCATCAGATCGTCTGCAAAATGATTTCCCCAGCTACATGATATATGCCCCTCCAAAATGAGCGTGCTCGCTCTCTAGAGGATCTTATAGGGGTCCTGCAAGCTTAGGAAAAATAATCAGCTTCGGTGCTGTTTATCTCCATTGAGACCCATACATCTGGCATAGAATCTCGTGCGAAAGCGCAGTGGACTCTATCATGGCCGCCGGCAGATATTGTAAAGTTCTCATCGGCTTCCGATGCAGGAGGAAGATACAGTACGATTGATACACACATCAAGCAGCACTGTGGCGTCACAAATCGCGTAGAAGGCGGTGCGATGCGGATGTCAGTACGAATTAGCACCGTGAGGCCGCGCCACGCACCAGAATCATGCTTGGTATGGTGTGCTGAAACTGATCGGTCCAAACACCCTGCGCAGATGACACGCCAGACAGACGCGTGGACGCATCTCGATGAACTCTGCGCAGAGATGTCGACGTCTCGGCCGACTCGTCGTCTGCTGCGAGGGATGTGAAGCGCGGAGCGGCAGCGTGTGGTTTGCATGACGTCATGGAGGTGCCTCGCTATCGTCTGTGTTAACTCTGTAATTCAGCATGCTCAACATAACAGCAGAAAGAAGCGGGACTGAGACCACAGAGACGGACAGGCTGCATCGAGAAAGTATCACTCACAAGTAGCACCTAGCGTACATCACGAGAGTCGGAAGCGACCTCAAGCGGGAAGACACACAGCCTTTGCCGGCTCGACGCGCCAGGGTCGTATCGGGCGCAGCTGACAACTGGGCAAGTATATGCGAGCGGACCGGGAGGGTAGTGATCCACACGCGTCCTTTTTCACGTCAGACAGATCAAAAGCAGCTGCTCGTGGATTTCTGGATGATGGTATCTTCGTATCCGTCTTCATAAACGGGCGGCGCATTTCCACGAGATGAACGAGCTCCCATACAGCGTTATCCGGCCACAGAGATGCTTGAACAGCTCGAGGTCGCATCATATTACAAGGGACGCCTTGTCGAAAGCGGCGGTTCTGAGCTGTCGTGAAGAAATATGAGGAGTTGTGTGCGACTGGGAGCGCGAGGGCCCATGGTTTCTCGTTTGAGAGTAGCTAGGAGACCTAAAGTAACTCACGTTGGCTCGCGTAGCGGTTGCTACGGGGCGGTAGCACTGACGGAGCGCTAATAGAAGAGGTTATACCAGAAGGCCGTCCTAAATAAGCTGGTAAAGGAGTATCATATAGAGGACGAAGTGTGTTCTACAAATGGCATGTTGCGCTATAATGCAGGTGTTATGAACACACACAGCGAGGATCACAAATATCTGGATGCACACCGGGTGTCAGCTGAGGAGCATTCTGGCAACACGTCCCGTGGCTATTCCATATGAGGCCTTCACAGGTTATCCAGAGAGCAGGTCACCAGCGGGAAGACGCGTACTCGGCCGTGTATCTGACGGTCGGCTACAGAATCGCGGAGGAATAGCTTGTTTTTCGCGTAGCCTAGCACATACTTGCGTACACAAGAGTGGGTCAACACGCAGAATTTGCAGAGAAAACACAGCCGCTTGCAGGGGTCAGAGTGGAGGTGAGTTGTGCAGAGAGGACGAGGACACATGGCATCCTTGAGTGAGGAGCGAGGAGGCGCAAAGTACATCGCAATTGCTCCAGTAGCGGCTTCTGTGAGATAGCGCGAGTGACTCTGATACAATGGTGACGAAGAGGAGATACACGATGCAGGCAAGTGACCGTCAAACTAAGCGACAGAGCAGTCTGAGCCGGAAGATAATTGAGTGTTTTCCTCGAGTATGACCTTGCGCTGTGATATAACTGATTCAGGCATCCCATGTATAAGCACGATAGCAAACACGAACATCCGAATACGCACCGAGCACAAGAATGTGAAGCATCCTGCAATGACGCCTGGCTGCAACTCTATGCGAGGCCTTCACGCTCTATCCACGAGTGCGCATTCTCAGCTATCAGGAGGAGGCGTGGGTGGACATATACTCGTGGATAGATTTGTCGTACCAGCTGCAGCAAGAGGAAGGCGCAGGGATGCTGAGCTGGCGTTTGTGAAAAAAGACTCGTTTCGCGCAGTTATTGCTGTCGTCACTGGGAGCAAGGATTCATGCGCATGCTGATCGTAAACAATAGAACGTATCGCAATTTTCTGTGGCCAAAGTGGAGGTGCGAATGGAGAGGAGAGGCTGAAGGCGTTCCAGGTATTTGAGAGGCACGGGCGCGACAGATGAAAGTGACAAAGAGCTCAAGCGAGGGATGACACTGGCCATGAAGACGTCACCGAGCACCACCAGGGCCTAGGAAGGAGAGTATCGTATGACAGAACATACACTAGTATGTGAGTCATGGCAGAAGCTGCGTTCTGCGAGAGACAAGCCTAGCAGAAACCTAGGCGCCTGGATCGCGCGCGCTTACATGAGCGATCGAGATGGCTTCCTTCTCTGTCAGATATTAGCCGCTGTTGTCTCTGCTGCTTTGACAAGCCTATTGGCTGCGTCCATCCCCCTTCGCTTCATCACAGTCGATGACGTCAGCCATATGGCTCTGGTCCGCCAACAGGCCGCGTACAAGATGCCTCCCTCCTGCATCCGAATCCTCCTCCGGCCGCTCACATACATGCCCTTCCATGTCACGCCGCTCGCCTTCCATCTGGTCTCTCCAGCATTTCTCCATCAAGCAGCAGCACAACGTCGTCCGCCTGCAATTCAGTGCTGTCACTGCTCCGGACTATCCCTAGATGCTGTCTATATGCGCATCGCAGGCCTCAGGTTCGGGCGTCCGCATCGCGATTCCCGCTATTCCACCCTGTCATAGCGCCGCTTCGTACCTACACAATCTGATACCACAGTCTTCACGGATGAGTACGTCATCCTTCGTTCTTGATACTTCTCTGCGCCTCGGCCTCCTACTCGCAATGATGGTGGCCAGGATGCAGGCTCGGAGTATCACCGAGCTATACGGTAAATGTCCAGACTGATCATACTCATAGGGTCATCGAGGACGCTATGTATGACAGTCCACATATCTGGCTGCTTACCGTGCACCATGCGTACGCTCTGTACAGTTCGGTGAGCGACACCAATACTTATTATGCCACAAGAAGCTAATATATACCGAATGGGCGCTGATAGCAGTCCCTCGACGGGACAACGACTTTAGTCTCCAGGCGTCCGTCTTCCGAAGTCCGGGATGCGGATGTAAAGGTACATACAGTCATCCCCACCGAGCCGAGTCCATTCCCACCGCCGAGTTTATACATTGTATATCAGAATTCGAACTTTGTTGCCCAATCGTCTGCGCACATACACACGCCGTTTGCGACGAGATGAGGTGCGCATTCCATTCATGCGATGCAGCGATTGACATTGCTTAGATTGCGTCCTCGCGCGTCATGAATACTAGTAGAGATGTTGCTACGAGAAAGCGAACTCGCTTACCTACTGACATTACAGAGTGGTCTTCTGACACCTCACCATACCAGGCGAGCCATTCAGCTGCATGGCGAGATCCCACATGAGTTGGTTCGGTGGATGCAGGCCCCGATGTGCGAGAAATTGATGAGAGATATGTCGTGACATCATGTACATACAGATCCGGTAGTGGTATTCTATAAACAATATCATCATCGTGTACAGCTCGGCAGGGGGACTCGTCACATCGTAAAATGTCGCTCTATGCGAACATCAGATACACAAAGCCAGGAGGGATCATAGTGACAGGTGTTCAGTTGGTGTCGAGTCTTCTCGAGCTGATGCCTCTCGAGCTTGGTGAAGCTCCTCCAAGGCTTTCTCGTCATACCAGATGCTTACCTTCACCCATTCAATCGCTCGATGCAGCTCGAGAGCTCGAGTGAGGGCTGTCTCTGCCTCATCAAAGCGCCCCATCCTTGTGTAGACCCTGCCGAGGGTTTTGAGCGCATTCCCCTCACCAAGAGGATCATGAATGGTGTGGCACAGCTTGATCGCATCGCACAGCACCTTCTCGGCCTCAGTGTCGCGATCAAACTTCACATAGACCTCGCCGAGGTCTGTGAGATCATTGGCCTCACCCTTCTGGTCCTGGACAGCCTGGTGCAGAGCCAGGGCATTCTTCAATGACTCTTCAGCATTGACCAGATCCTCCCGATACAGGTACACCCTCCCAAGGTCTTGCAAGCTGTTTGCCTCACCAAGCTGGTCATGGATGGCACGATAGAGGTCCAGAGCTGCACGGGATGATGCCTCTGCCTTGTCAAGATCCCCTCTCTCGATGTACATCACAGCAAGATTCCTGTGATCAGTGGCCTCGCCAAGGCGGTCCTGGAGTGAGTGGTGGAGCGATGCAGCCTTCTTGTATGTGCGCTCCGCCTTGTCATAGTCATTCCTCTGACAGTACACATCTCCGAGGCTTTGCAGTGTGTTTGCCTCCCCGAGGTGGTTATCGATGACACCATAAAGCAACAAAGCATCATTTAGAGATGTTTCTGCATTGTCAAGGTCATCCTGTCGAAAGAACAGGTCTCCGAGGCTCTGGAGGGCGTTGGCCTCGCCCAGGTGGTCCTCGATCGCACGGTGAAGCAACAGTGCCTCCTGCAAGGTGTCCCTCGCATGGTTGAGGTCATTTCTGTATTGGTATATCCATGCGAGGTCTTTGAGATCATTCGCTTCACCTTGCTGGCTGCCAGAAGCTTTGTGATGCCCAAGCGCCTGTTGCAGGGCCATCTCGGCATCGTCATACCGATTGAGCTGGAGGTATACTTCCGCCATAGTGTTATAGCAGTCACCCAGGTGGTCATTGTCATGGACATAGATGATGCAGAGCTGGAGGAGGTCGACAGATGGAGCTCCCAGAAAGCGTGTCCAGTTGGTGTAGTGAATAACAGCAGTGATTGCGGATGAGGTTGCCTCCATCTCCCAGTTTCGCAAAGCAAGCACTTGACGAACGTTTTGAAGCTCTGGAGGGACGACGGAGAGGGACACAGCATTGGAATAGTCCCAATTCTTCTCAATGAATGTGATGTAGAAGTTGGTCAGCGATTCCCATAGCGTGCTCGACGGCTGTAGTTCATGATGGCCTCGGCAGTACTCCCGTATCGGGGCAAGCATTCGGTAGCGCGGATGAGCTCCATTTGTATCGGTGTAGGCCAGTCCCACACGGCAGAGCGTCGAGAGAGATAGGGAGAGGTCGATAGTGTCCTCGAGGGTGTCCTGCATCTGCTCCGATGTGTCAGTTCCAAATGGCAAGCCACTCGGGAGCTGGGCAAGTAAGGCCATGACGGCCTTGGCGGAGGGCTCGTACTGCATACGAGGACTGGTAATCGACAGCTCAATGGAGGCTGACAGGTCGAGCAGTCTGTCTCGAGCGCCATCGGAGCGCGTGACCATGTCTATACGTCTCTTCTCCCATCGACCCCATAGGGATCGCGTCGTCGTTCCGAGTTCTGGCTGGACCTGGTGAGCAAGGAGTGTGACAGCAAGAGGCAAGCTGTCCACGGCGTCGACGAGTTTGTCAATGAATGGGTCATCGAAATCATCGGCGATCATAGCCGTTTTCTTGAACAGAGCTACGCCCTCTTCGTGAGACAGGGGAGTCAGGAGGAGTCTCGCCCACTGGATCCTGCCGGTAGCAGGGGCCTCAGCTCCACGCATAGTGATTACCAGTGCTAGCCCGTCAACGCCGGCGTATGTCTCCAGCTCCGTCTCCACCGCGCGTCGTACATCCGCGACATCAAAAGGTGTCTCGAAATTGTCGAGGAAGAGAATCGAAGGCTTCCGACCTAGCTCGTGCAGCACCTTCGTGTGTAACTGTTCATTCCGAAGCTCTGCGGGGATCCCCAGAGCATTCGCAACACCATTCCGTAGCCCATCTAATGTGACGATGTTCTCGCATGTTACGAAGTAGCGCGATTGGAATTTGGGAAGGATTCGGTCATCGTAGAGCGCCTCTGTGACCACAGTCGTCTTTCCCATCCCGCCGGCTCCGAGCACAACGACTGGTTTATGCTCGAGGATAGCACTGACAATTGCGTCCCTCTCCTGCTGGCGGCCAATAAAGAACCCCGGTTTTGGAGGGAACTTGGGCTGACTGGCTTCATAGTGAGTAAGCAGGTCATAGTGAATTCGGTGAGCACATACAGTATCTCGACAGGGTTCGCGTCAGTTGCGGCCATACTTGATGATGGTGCTGTGATACAGTAAGTGTCACAGTAAACCAAGGACAGAAGAAACTTACCGATTGTCTTTTCAATTCTGTGCACGACATCGAGGACGAGGGTGTTCGTCATCTTGTCCTCCTTGTCGACCAGCGCCTGTAACCTCTTCAGCGCATCCTGGACTTCGTCACTTCCAGAGACCAGTCGTTCTACGTTGCCATCAGTCGGGTCCCGCTCGTTGTGTACAAGCAACCTACCAAAGTAACCCTTATTGAGGTGTTCTGTAACCAGCCCAAAGATGATCAGCATCTCACACAGCACCTCCACTTGGATCTCCACAATCTCCCTATCCGGCTCATGCTTATCATGTACATGCACGCGATCGAGAAAGCCTAGTAGAGCGCTGAACAAGGCGGTGATTGGCTCGTATGTTGCGCCATACTTGTCGGCGGCCTAGCCGTGGACAACATGTCATTAAGACAACAGCCAGTGGGCATTCCTGAATAAGTGCTTACATCGAGGAGCTTCTTGAGAGCGGCTGCCACAAACTTTGCACCTGCAAAATGCTAAATATGAGGTCAGCCACTGTTTACGGACCGCGGACGCGACTCACAGGCTCCACGAGATCCGCGGCGGGATCAAGGAACGTCTTGACGAAGCCTATGATCGGTCGAACTACCCTTTCAACATCACGTCCCTTCATTCGCTCTTGCTGGAATCTGTATTTCCTGCCGTTCAAAGCACTATCGAGCGCCGCGAGCGAATCGACACGCTGAAGAGACTCCCATGAGGACATCTCGACGCCGCTACTGGCCATATAGCGGTGCTTCGCATCTTCCCACATTTTGATGAATCGGCTGGCAGAGAATGGTGCTGGAGCATGGATCAGGTTCAGAAGACATACAGTGATAAGCGGGTGGTGTCCATACCATCAGGAGTAACAGCAACAATTGTACTCTCAACAATTCTAGTGAACTCCTGGACGGCTAATTGCAGCACGTCATTCTGCGCAAACAATGACAACGAGATCCGGGACTTCAGGTTCCCTAATCGCGCGGAGTTCACTTCCTTCAGTATCCGTATAGCCTCTCCGGCGATCGTCACGGCTTGAGCCTTGATGCGAATGAAAAGGATGTTTGTCGATGGTCCTGCTTCCGTGGATGGAAGGCGCCTGAAGATCCCTGTCATGTTGTCCAAGAGGTCCGTTATGGGCTGGACGCTGCTGTGCTTCGGCCCACAAGTCTGCCATTCATTAGATATGTCTGGGAGGCGGGTTGAAGCGACGGCTGGTTTACCTGTGCGAGGCGATATAACGAACCAAGTACAACAGAGTCCTGACATTGTTCTTTCGTCTGTGATGATGACAGATTCAGAGACCGATGGCCACTCACCACGTCCCTGCAAGCATCTGCGTCCACTTTCATCGACATAATAGATTCCGCAAACCCTCTCAGGGTCTCCCGCAGACGCGTAGTATCCTCCTGCTCCATCCCCACCTTGCGACAGTGCGAGACCACCTCTGTCATCAGTCTCTCCGTCGACGTAATCTTAATAGAAGGATCCGGGACATTTGTATTTCCCGGTTCCGAATATGCTGCGAGGATGGCGCTCCAGCCGCGGTTGAACTGCGTCTCGAACGAGTCTGTAGATGGACATGAGGATCGGACTGCTGTCGCTAATGCGCACCAGTTGCATACCTCCGACCCACAATAACGTAGTGATACTGTACTGCATCTCAAAGAGAAGCTCCTTCATGGATAAATCATTGACGACGGAGCCTGTGTATCAAACATGGGTGAGGTAAGCCCAGAAGCATGGGAAGAGTCACCCACGTCTGCGTTCTATGTATAGAATCCCGTACGCCACGCCTCCCAGTCGTATATAGTGTACTAGAATGTCGTCCACGTGCGGTTCCAAAGTTGACGGTGGACTTGAAAACGCCTCCTCCTTCACCTGCGGAACACGCTCGAAGAGATGAGCGACTTCCTTGAACGCTGCCTTTCCATTCAACACCTGAGTGGCCCAGTCAGATATCCGCAGATATGGCAAGACCCGCACATACAATCAACAGCGCTGCAATGGCGCGAAAGATCACCGTCCTTCGCGCATTTCTCTGGCCCCCAATTCAGTCAAATGCATGCATACTTGAGCGCACTGGTCCTCACCTGTTCGACGTCCTGGATCTGGCTCAAAAGCCACTTAATGTTGCCCAGCACATTACTGGCAGATTCGAGGACGGAACTCAAAGCCTTCGTCGCTGTATTGTGCCTGTCGTGATGTTTGTGGGCAACAGTAGATAGGCTCTCGACGTCATTGACCGCCTTCAGTCTCTCCCTGAGTGGCTCAGAGTTCTCGTCAACGTTCACCAGGTCCACGTAGGTATCCTCCTTAAACCGCCCCAATGCCTTGATCCATATGGGACCAAGTTCTTGAGCACCAGTTGCGCTGGCCGTCTCCGTCATGGCAGCTCAAGAAGAGAATAAGGGAGCGATAGTCGTAGTAGAGCCGGCAGAGAGAGGGAGGTCACAGCGGATGGTGGATGGTGGATGTGCAGTCGGGGCTATGTCCATGAAGCTTCACAGCCTGCACATGCTGCAGAAGAACATAGACGCGCATGTGGTCTGATGCATGCGCCTGTCAGTCAAGGAAGAGAAGACAGACTCTCGTAGCGCACCAAGAGCCTGATATCCCTAGCCGTAGAAATTGGGCATCGTACCCTGTGTCTAACTTTCAGTGACTGGGTACGCGCAGGGGTGGATGTCCTCATCCAACTGGCCGGAGATTGTTTCTATGTTTTCGCTATGCTTTGCGGTTAATGTCAAAATCGGAGCGCCCATTCCGGACACATCTCGGAAACTTGATTTAAGGTCTGTTCGGCGACGGAGTTTGCGCTTAGCTTAACTTAGGCGCGCGCGCAAAGCTTGCTGACAAATCAGTCCCGAAGCGCTGTGCCACAGTCAGTGCGTCACGCATGCTGCGCACCTCAATGGCATCATGAGGGGTGCTCAATTCTTGTCGCTCGCTTGTTCATTCGCAGATCGACCACCTTTTTTGGTAGGTAGGTGGCTGAGTGATCAGTCAGGGTTGAAAATACCTACCAAAAAAGGTGGTTGATCAGCGAACGAACGAGCGAGCGACAAGAATTGAGCACCCCTATGGACGGCTTGCCATTCATTCATTTGTTTGCGGAATACCTGCCTATTTTGGTAGGTGGCTCTGACACAGCCACTGGCGGCCCGGCCAATGTTGTGCGCAACTTACACAGCTTGTACTCTGTTATGGAATATATATATTCTAGAGAAACAAAATTTGTATAGTCATTTTATGATCAACTTATACACTACAAGCTCATCACTCATATTTGTAGTTCATGGCGATCTCGACTGTGTATAAAGCATTCTTTAAATGCCCCATAGTCTTGTATAAAGCTGCAGCACTTGCCATATTCCTGTGCATACTATTTGTATAACTGTGAATTCTTCTAAGGCCTGCAATTGAAGCTCACTATGCTGTGATGAATTGTCGGTGGGTGTGGACTCAATCGGGGTCAGAGCTACCTACTGATACAATGGTCTATACTTCTATATCAATGCCTGACTCATAGACTACAAGCGAGGGCTTATGGACAGTGCATTGTCCGGAAGATCGAGCAAGGAAGTCAAGAATGACCACTACCCCAAGTGAAGAGGAGCAAAGACTTGAATTGGTAACCAGGTCAAACTTAGGGTTCAACCGACTAATGGTACAACTATTTATACAGGTACTGGCTACGCATGGACCACCATGTCTGTGTGGTTAGTGAAGAAAGAGACGTAGTGGTACACTACCAGATATGAAGTGTGCATGGACCCCATTATGTAAGCTGCATAATGTTCAACCTGCGGGTGAGCGCTAAGACGGGTGCCAGTATGGGCGCTAGTAGTACAAGGAATAGAACGGAAAGACAAATGTTTCACCTACCAAAATAGGCAGGTATTCTGCAAACAAATGAATGAGTAGCAAGCCATCCATGATGCCATTGAGGTGCGTAGCATGCATGATGCACCGACTGTGGCACAGCGCTTCAGGACTGACTTGTCAGCAAGCTTTGCGCGTGTGCCTAAGTTAAGCCACCTTTAGATCGACGTGGGACACGCAAACCTTATTTGAGAACAGTCACGTGACCGACACATGACACGGTGGCTGAGTGACCCAATGGCCGTTTCAGACATGCCCCAGCTCGTAGGACCATGGAATTCAATGGTTTCACAAGGGGAATCAAATAAATGCATATAAAGATTTTTTCACAAATATTTGGAGATTTTCAAGGGCCCTAGAAGGGCTTGAATTGAGCCTGGTGCATGTTGTTGAGACTAAGCGCGCTGCATAGCGGCTTGTTCCATGTGTCCCAAGAAGGATCTTGCAACTTATTTCTTCATGAGTCACGCAAAATTTGGCGGTGGCGCCTATTTTTCTCACTGGGGAAGTAGAAACGAGTGTCGGTGTTGGGTTCGAATGAGCGAGTGCAAAGGTTTACGGAAGCGAGTGGTGCAGGAAAAGATCAAATATGAAGCGGTTTGTCTCATCCTCGGGGTGGGGAGGCAAACACATGGAGTAATTACATGTGAGAACTCGGCCTAATATAGTAAACACTTATCTAAATCAGGTACGTAGAAACAAGGCACTATTGTGCCGCAGCGCCGCACGTCGGCGAACCGGTAGTCGAGCATGCGCTCACCCGGTTGTTCCAACAGGGGAGCGTGTCCCAGCAAGAAATTTGCCTTAGAGCTTCATGGGACATGCAGGATTGCTTAAGGGATGTTTTTCCCGCGACCTTGCATAACAGTGGCGGTGGCAGCCATCAGACAGTGCTCACCACATCCCCGCAACCTGCCTGAGCTGCTGGGAGGCCCCCCCAGGCGTTCAGGCATCAGCTGTGCTGTCCAAAGGGCCCCGCTCGCCGTCCAACGTGTCGCCGCCGCCCTTACGCCCTGCCCTCATCACGTGCATGTCCCGGGACATGCTGACATAATGATATTCCCTTATCGGGCAGTCACGCCCGTGTCCCGTAACAGGAAAGCTAAGCGCAAACTCCGTCGCCGAACAGGCCCTTACGCGTGTCACACAGATTTCCTCTTTTGCACCTTGCGGCGCTTTCTTACAGGGTGCCTCACGGTCATGCGACAGTAGATAGAACACGACATATATTGCTTTCCGGCATCAAATTAGGCAGCACGCGATGTGGAATGTCTGTATGATTTGGATGAGGATCAGACTACCTCACCTCGAGCCCGATAAGCACATACTATAGAAAAGTGGTCCCGACGCCTGTACACGCTATATGCAAACATCCGTCCTGAAGGGATTGGCAGATGAAGCTCAGTCCTCACATAAGCAGCGATTGCACACACCGGCAGTCAGTCAGAGCTACTGGCCGTGAGTGACGAAAGGCGCGCGCGCGCTCTCAGGTGGGTTGCATGGAGCAGCCTTGCTGTCTGTGACACAAATGCACATCTTCCAACAATACACTGAGATCAACGTGCGATACTCAAGACACCAGAAAGCAGATGGCCTACAGTGTTGAGGCAATGGAAGGCTTTGCCGGCATTCAGGGAGTTAACGTGAATCTAGCTTGATGAACGTGACATCGACCAAGTGATCCAATTACTTGGTAACAGAACGGGGACGAGGAGATCGCTTCAAATACTCCGCGCATCGGTAAGCATACCACCTCTGCTCACCTTGGACGAATCCTAGTGAAATATGATCACAAGAGGCAGATCGCGACCGCATCTTGGTGAGAAGGTGCGAGATAACATTGACAAAAGGAGTACGTAACGAAAACGCACCCGTGATAAGCACCCAGAGAAGGAAACGACTCAGGTGAGGCAGCAAGAAGACTCTAGTAGGTCGTGTTGCGTGCGCATTGCACCAGTTGTGTCACGACGTCGGTGAGCTAAGTGAGGAAGAACACCTAAGACACATCGCACCATAGAGAACGCAGTTTGCATAAATGAGGTAGATGTGCGCGATGATATGGAGGGAGGGGAGGAGCGATGCAGAACATGAGCGGTGCTTGTGGACGAAGAGCATGAGACAAGACCAGCTCCAAATAGCGAGTGGGGTTTGTTGTAGGACAGACGCATTGCAATGAATGTGTCGCGCAAAGGTGTATGACTCCCTGATAATCAGGCTGAGACCGAGACGCGAATGCTAACGTGTGTCCACGTACAACAGTCCATCGAGCCCCTGATCCTGGCCCGTCTCTCCTTGATCTACCACCGCCGCTGCCATTTTCCACGGATGCGGCTCATATAGTGTCAATGCATAATGCAGAACGCAGTGGGTTGAAGTTAAGTTGCGCGGGCGCGGAAAGCAGGCTCACTAGCGAAGAGTCGCGCTGGGTTGGCTTGGCAGAAGGGTCATGGTCCAGCGGTTGATCCGTATGATATATACAGGGATAAAGCACACAGAGAAAGACCGACAGGAGCACAGAAAGGTCTGACATTATCCGTGAGGCCCCAGCTTCAAACAGGTCGTGTTGGCAGTAAGTAGTGGAAAAGCATCTGACGACTGGGCACTACGCGAGCGCTCTAATCTCGATAACAGCCTGTGCGCTACGCCCGTGATGTCATCGCGCATTTGGCTGCCACAGGAACCCTCCACCTAGTGACGTACTAGTTGTCTTCTCTTCGTCTATACGCCATGTTACGGGGCACCGTGAGTCTCGATCGTCGTGAGCTGTGTTCTCAATCGTGTCTGTCCCAGCGCCTCGCCGTCACAGTCCAGTCCTCTGTGAGCAGACTGGTCAAGTAATGTTAATGATCGATGATTCTGCGCCATGCCTGTCCCATGTACATTCCTTCCTCAATCGCCTGATTACTCGATTATACAATGGAAAGGTGCTACACAGCCTCAGCCTCTGCGTCCCTCATGCTGAAACTCGGCGAGCAGGTCGTGTATGCCTCTCTGAATGTCGACTGTCTGGTGAGAAAGGCGGCTCCGCGATGCGCGGTCCCGTAGTCGTTATGGTACACGCCCATGGTCGGTGGGCTGATGAAGTGTCTCATGCGGGCGCAGTAGTGAACTGAACGAATCAGTGCTGTCTGCGAGTTGATGTATTGAGCGACACGATATATCACTTCAAAATGAGCGTGCTCGCTCTCTGGAGCTGGAGGATCTTATAGTGATCCTAAACGCTTAAGAAAAGAACCAACTTCGACGCTGTTTAGATCCTTGATTGAGAGCGATACATCTAGTACATAATCTCGTGCGCTACCATCTGTATTACTCTGTAGTTCAGCGTGTTCGGCGGAAAAAGCAGGCAGAAGCGAGACTAAGGCCACGGAAAAGAGCGTATGACGGAGACCACGCGCTGCATTGCGGAAGTATTGCCCACAAGCAGCGCCCGGCGTACATCACGAGAGTCGGAAGCGACCGCAAAGGGGACAATACACAGCCTTGTCCCCCGCTCGATGCGCCAGGATCATATTGAGCATGGCTGACAGCTGGGAAGGCGAATATATGCGAGCGGACCAGGAGGGTGGTGACCCACACGCGACTTTGTCCGGGTCAGACAGGTCAAAAGCGGCTGCTTCGTGGATTTCTAAACGATGATATCCTCGTATCCGCCTTCACAAACAGGCGACGTATTTCCACGAGATGAGCGAGCTCCCATACAGCGTTAGCCGGCCACAGAGATGCTTGAACAGCTCGAGGTCGCAACAAATCACAAAGGACGCCTTGTCGAAAGCGGCGGTCCTGAGCTGTCGTGAAGAAACACGACGTGTTGTATGCGATTAGGAGCGCGAGGGCACATGGTTTCCGTGAGAGAACAGCTAAGAGGGCCAAAGTGAATTACGTTGGCCCCGGTAGCGGATGCTACGGGACAGTAGCTCGGATGGAACGCTGATGGATGAGAATGAACAATACGGGGAGGCCGTCGTCAAACCGACTAGCAGAGGGGGATCTCATAGAGGACGAAGCGTGTCCCACGCGTCGTAGTGCATGTATGGCATGAACAGGCACAGCAGCGATCACGAACATCGGGATGCGCACCAGGTATGAAAATGAGAGCATCCTGGCAACCCGCCCAGTTGCGATCTCATCTGAGGCGTTCACGAGTTATCCAGAGGGTCAATCGCCAGCGGGAAGGTGCATGCTCGGCTGTAAGCTTTACGGCCGACTACAGAATGGCGGAGGCACAGCTTGGCTCGCTGAGCAAATACGTTTGTGCACAGGAGTGGGGTCTACACGCAGAATGGGCAGCGAAAACACAGCACGCAGCCGCTTGCAGGGGTCAGAGTGGAGGTGAGTCATATAAGGGAGGGCGAGGACACATGATATACTGGAATGGGAAACTAGAAGACGCAGAGTAGCTCACAGTTTCTCTAGTAGCGGCTTCTGCGAGATGGTGCGAGTGACTCTGACGCGACGCCGACGAAAAGGAGATACACGGCGTGGGCAGGTTTCGGCCAAAGCAAGCGACAGAGCAGTCTGAGCTCTTCGCTGGAAGGATTGAGTGACGTGCTCAAATATGACCTTACGCTGATATAAACTGATCCAGGCATCCCATGTATAAGCACGATAGAAAACACGAACATCCGAATACGCACCGAGCCTAAGCATCCTGCAATGACGCCGGCTGCAATTCTATGCGAGGCCTTCACAATCAATCCACTGGTACGCATCTCCGGCTATCCGGAAGGCGCATGGGTGGTTGTATACTTTCGAATAGATTTGGACCAGCTGCAGCAAGGTGGGGAGGCGGAGATACTGAGCTGGCGTTCGACAGTATTCGGTGCGCGCGGCTGAAATGGTCGTCGTCTGGGGCAAGGATTCATACGTATATTAATCGGGGACAATGCAACGAGCCGCATGTTTTCATGATTGGAGTGAAGGTGCGAATGAGCAGGAGAGGCTGAAGGCGTTCCAAGTATCTGAGGGGCGCGGGCACGACGGGCGAAGGTGACAAGCAACTCGAGCGAGGGTCGTCACTGGCCAGAAAGGTATTACCAAGCGCCAACAGGGCATAGGGAGGAGGGGCTCGTATGAGAAGACATCCATTAGTACGTGAGCCAAAGCAGAAGCTGCGTCCTGAGAGAGACAAGCGTGGCGGAAGCAGAACACCAGGCGCCCGGACTGGATGACACGCGCTTACATGAGCGATCGAGATGGCCTCCTGCGCGCGTCTTGTGTGCGATCGACGTCATCGATGCCGCCGCCGTCTCTCCTGCTTTGACGAGCCTCTTGGCTGCTTCCATCTCCCTTAGCTTCATGACGGCGTCCTCTGTCGATGACGTCAGTCATGCGGCTCTGGTCCGGCAACAGGCCGCGTACAACACGCCTCTCTCTTAGATCTCAGTCGTCGTGCGCTTCCATGTCACGACCCTCGCCTTCCATTTGGTCTGCCCAACGTTTCTCGATCAAGCGGCGGCACAACGTCGTCCATCCAATGCTGCCACTGCTCCGGACTATCCCTGGATGCTGTCTAGATGCGCATCGCAGGCCTCACGCTCGAGCGTCCTCATCGCGATTCCCGCTATTCCACCCTGTCATGGCGCCGCCTTGCGCTTGCACCACAGTGTCCACGGGTGCGTACGTCATCATTCGTCCTTGATACTCCTCTGCGCCTCGGCCTCCTACTCGCAATGATGGCGGCTAGGATGCAGGCTCGGAGTATAACCGAGCTATACGGTAAACATTCAGGCTGACCGTACTCATAGGGTCATTGAGGACGCTATGTATGACAATCCACATATCTGGCCACTCACCGTACACAATCTGTACGCTCTGTACAGCTCGATGAGCGATACCAATACTCATTATTCCACAAGAAGCTAATGTATACCGAATGGACGCTGATAGCAGCCCCTCAACGGGTCAACGACTCTAGTCTCAAGGTGTCCGGCTTCCCACGTCTGGGATGTGGACGTTAAGATACATACAGTCATCTTCCCCGAGTCGAGTCCACTCTCACTGCCAAGTTTATACATTGTATAGCAGAATCCGAACTCCGTTTCCCCATCGTCTGCGCACAAGCACACGCCATCTCCGGCGAAATGAAGCATGCATTCTATCAATCCGATACGGCGGTTGAGATAGTTTACATCGTGTCCTCGCGCGTCACGAATACTAGTCGAGAGGTTGCTACGAGAGGACCATCTCGCCTACCTACTGACGTCCCAGAGCGGTCTCCTGACATCTCACAATCTCAGGCGAGCCCTCCAGCTGCATGGCAGGATCCCACACCGCTTGGTCTGGTGGATGCAGGGCCCGACGTGCGAGAAGCTGATGAGAGATATGTCGTGACATGATGTACATACAGGTCCGATAATGGTGATTTATATACAATATCACCATCGTGTGGAGCTCAGCAGAAGGTCCCGTCAAACGATAAAGAGTCATTCTATGCAAATGCGAGACACACGAAGCTAGCAATGTGCCCTGACCTGAGTCATGGCGATGGAGGTTCATTCGGTGTCGAGGCCTCCTGGGCAGATTGCTCCCGAGCCTTCCGAAGCTCCTCCAGTAACCCCTCGTTAATCTGCACATTCACGTCAGCCCCTTCAATTCCTCGATGCAGCTCGAGAGCTCGAGTGAGGGCTGCCTCCGCCTCATCAAAGCACTCCATCTTTGTGTGCACCTGCCCGAGGATCAGGAGTGCACGCCCCTCATTGAGAAGATCATGAATGCCGCGGCTCAGCTTGACAGCATCGCACAGGACCTTCTCGGCCTCGGCATCGCGATCGGACTTCACATAGACCTCACCGAGTACTGTGAGATCAGTGGCCTCACCCACCCGGTCCTGGACAGCCTGGTGCAGAGCCAGGGCATTCTTCACTGATTCTTCAGCATTGGGCAGATTCCCCCAATACAGGTACACCCTCCCGAGGTCCTGCAAGCTGTTCGCCTTGCCAAGCCAGTCGTGGATGGTACAGTAGAGGTCCAGAGCTGTGCGGGATGATTCCTCTGCCTCATCAGGATCCCCTCTCACGATATACATACTGGCGAGCTTGCTGTGATCAGTGGCCTCGCCGAGGCGGTCCTGGAGTGAGCGGTGGAGCAATGCAGCCTTCTTGTATGTGTGCTCCGCCTTGTCATAGTCATTCCTCTGACAGTACACATCTCCGAGGCTTTTAAGTGTGTTTGCCTCCCCGAGGCGGTTATCGATGGCACCATAAAGCGACAGGGCATTATTTAGAGATGCTTCTGCATTGTCGAGGTCATCCTGTCGAAAGAACAGGTCTCCGAGGCTCTGGAAGGCATCGGCCTCGCCCAGGCGGTCCTCGATCGCACGGTGAAGCGACAGTGCCTCCTCCAAGGTGTCCCTCGCGTGGTTGAGATCATTTCTGTATTGGTATATCCACGCGAGGTCTTTGAGATCGTTCGCTTCACCTTGCTGGCTGCCAGAAGCTTTGTGATGCTCAAGCGCCTGATACAGGGCCGTCTCGGCATCATCATACTTATTGAGGTGGAGGTATACATTCCCCATCGTGTGGTAGCAGTCGCCCAGGAGTTCCCCATCGTCCACATGTCCAATGCAGAGCTGGAGAAGATCTACAGAAGAAGCTCCGAGATAGTCTGTCCATTTGGTATATGAGATGACACCGCGAATGACCGAGCACGATATGGTGGAATCTGCTGCAGATGTCTTCCGACGAGAATTCCTAACAATCGTGAACCACGATCTCATTGACAGTAAGCACCTCGATTGTCCTGCGCGTGGGTGTGGGTTCTGGAGATTGTTTCGCATGACGAATGGCGGTAGCAAGGATGTGGAATACATTCGGTAGCTCTGGAGGAACTGTCGCTACAGATATGTAGTCATATCGTGTTCCATCCTTTCTCCGATTGATGGCGGCAAAGTAGGCTGTACTGAGGATCTCCAAAGGCTTCGCAGAGAGTGGCAGGGCTGCGCTGCTGTTACAGTAGTCTCGGATGGGGGAGAGCATGCGGTATCTTCGGTACTTGCCACCACCACTATCGCTGATATATATAAGAGATGTCCGAGTGAGCGCAAGGAGAGAGTCGGAGAGCTTCATAAAGGGAGTAAGCACGTCGTCTAGCTCATCTAGCAGTGATCCTTCAGATGGCAAGCCCTCTGGTAACTTTGCTACCAGAGCAAGAGCGGTGCGAGCTGAGGGCGTAGTCCGCAGGCGTGGGCTATTCAGGGAAAGCTCGATTGATACGGCGAGATCGCGGGATTTGTCAACAGCGCCATCGGCGACGCTGATTGCAGAGACACTTTGCTTCTTCCATCGACTCCACAGGGCTGCGGTAGTCAGTACATCTGGCTGCACCTGTTTTGCGAGCAAAGTGATGGCAAGGGGAAGGCCTTCGACGGCCTCTACGAGCTTGGAAACACATTCATCGTCCTCTGTGCTCGGGATGCCGGCGACCAGCTTAAATGCAGCAATGCCGTCGTCGTGAGATATTGGCCGCAGCCGGCATTCTCTCCACGTAGGCCCCATTGGGGGTTCCGCGCCGCGCATCGTTACCACCAGCGCGAGATTGTGTAGATCAGCGAAGTGCGCAAGATACTCCTCGACAATCGTGCGATTCCCAGCGATATCCCACAATGTCTCGAAATTATCGACGAGCAGCACCGCGGGATCGCTGTCGAGACTACGGAGAACTGATTTCAAGATATTCTGACCCCTTTCTTCCTTGGGGATATCGAGGACGTCGGCAAGCATGAATAAGAAGAGCACCGGCGTGGTGACAGCGTCGCATGGAGCAAAGTGCCGGGAAGGATAAGCGACAACGACGTCGTAATCGTGAAGAACCTCAACAGCCAACGTCGTCTTGCCGATCCCGCCTGTTCCGAGCACAACAACTGGTTCGTGAGCAAGGATGGATTGTTTTAGGACGTCCTTGTGCTCGTCTCGCCCAACGCATACTCGAGGCCGTGGCGGGAGTACTCTCCGGCTGAGGAGACGTCAGCGAACACTTGTGACAGTAGGATACATGAGCATTACATAGTTTCTGGTTCTCGCGCTGGAGTGAGGGAAGCACCCGAGGCCTGGCCTGTGATGACCGTGAGATAAATTTGAAGGGAGTATTAACGTACCATCTTCCTTATCCGCTTTCCCAGATTCTTGATTCGTGAGTACCAGTGCAATTGCCATGCTCGCCTCGTCTTCCGCCAATCGGTCGAGCTTTCTCAGCGCCGTCTGAACCTCGCGGTCGTCTGACATCCCTCGCAAGCGATCTGTCACAGTATGAGCATGCTATACAAATTTCACATCAAGGCGTCCTGACCAATATAGCCATTCTTCATGATCCTGGTCACGAGCCCAAATATCTCCAGAAGATGAGAGAGGGCCTTCACGAAGATTGGCTCCATCTCTTTGGGCATTCTCTTCGTCAGGTATACCCTCAAGCGATCGGTGACGCCTGAAAGCTTGGATAATAGCTCGAGTGTCGGTTCATATGCCTCTCCTATCTTGTCTGCGGCCTGATGTGCGGAGATCGTGAGTAGTTGATCATTCTACGCAGAGCGGTATCCTTACATCTAAGAGGATTTTGAGCGCGCCTGCAACTACCTTTGCGTGTGGAATATGCTGATTGCACATGTCAGGCAAAGGAAGGTACAAGGGAAATCTCTCAATGCTCACGCTCGATGCAGCATCAGCCACAGGATCAATAACCTTGTCCAAGAACTGCGCGACAGGCCTCACGACTGTGCGTATCTCGCTGGACTTCTTATGTTCTCGCTGAAACGTGTATCGGCCGTCCTCGAGAGCATTGGACAGCATTGTCAGCGAGTCCACTCCCTGCACTGCTTCTAACGACGAGACGTCAATGCCAGTGGTATCCATGTAACTGTCCATTGCCTCTTTCCAGATATCGCCGAACCGGGCGTTTGCACCAGTAGCTTCATGGAGTACAGCTAACGTGAGCTCCTAACACGTATCATATGAGCAGCTGCATACCTTGAGGTGTAGCTATCGCCACCGCTTCATCCAATATCCAAGACAACTCCGCAAGCTTCTCTTGAAGTACGTTGTCTCGAGCGATGAGAGACGAAGACGATTGTGCAAGAGAGGTCGCACGAAGTCGTACTCGATGATTATGTATGATGTTCGTGGCACGAGCCGTTATAGCGAGAAGCTGTATCCCAACGCGGATGGGATACTGTCCCAAAGTGGGGTCCGCCGTATCAATAACCAGCTGACTGTGATCGAGTCGTTCCTTGATATGTCCGCAAATCTCCCTGACAAGCTCATTGCTCGCATGATCGTCTTTGGCTACCTGTTTATATTGTCAACGCGGATCCCAAGGAAGTCGTATACAGAATGATATCACCTTGACTAGTGTAAACAGTGCGCCGAGGATCACGGAGACCTGGGTACAAGATATAAGCGTAGGAATCAAAGCTTGAATACGGTATACGCTGGTGGGTGCGATTCACCATGTCGATACTGCTGTGTTCGTCAAGTTTCAACGAGCTAATTCGTTCAGAGAGACTGCGCAATATGGATTTCAATCGAATCGTTTCCTTACGAGGCGCCTTGACAGTATCCCAATAGCGAGCGAGTGTTGCAATGAACTCATTGGTCCTCTTGACCCCCGGGCCAGTAGATGAGGACTGTTCGCTGACATCACTGACATCGCGGATAGTGGACCACGTCAGGACACGCTCCCAAACAGTTGGAAGCCTCGCGAGCCAATCATCTGAAACGTGTCAGCAGTTGAATTCGCGAGGATACCGGTAGACGTACTTCTCGCCCACGGTATCGCGTTGACCTCCCATTGTAGATTTGACAAGAGTGATTTGATGGAGTCGTTTTCAACGATGTAATCGCTCCCACTCAGGCTTACACCATGGCGTTGCATCCCTGTGTATTGTCGTAAGTAGGGTTTCCCAGTTTATTCTAGCGACTTACATCCAGGTCCCTCCCGTGTAATCGTATACGCGACGCCCACCAGGATTATCAGCGATGCGAGGACGTTGATGAAAGGCCCTGGAACAGCGGGTGCGCTGTTCATGTCTTCGCAAGAGGTAGCCCCAATTCGAGGAATTTTCTTGAATAGAGCTGCAATTGCCGTGTAACTAATATCGTCATCTGCTGCCTATACGATCGTCAACATGGATAACTTTAGCATCATTGAAAAGAATGCGTACCAGAATCAAGCTTTCAAATGCCAAGAACATCATTTGGCCCCGGGTCCTCTCCCGCTGGACTACGTCAGCTCAGATCTCCATGCGCATATTCAAGATGCGCTCACCGAATTGATTTTATCGTTTGCCATCGACAGCAGCCACTCCGTCTCCTCCAGTACCGGCTCAAGAGCACGCAGCAGATGATCAGTATGCTTCGCGTAGGACGCCTTGTCCGTCTTTCTGCCCTCGATCATGGACACCACCCCACCTCGACTGGCAACATCTCGAAGTGTTTCCGGGCTATCTATGTGAAAATTGACACCAGTGTGATCTTGAAAGCGGCGTAGAGCACCGTCCCATCTCTTGCACGCGCGGTCGTTGAGGAGGCTTTCTGCCATCGGGAACAACGCACTTGACGGACACGACGACGGACAGGGCAGAGTCTGAAAGGAGAGCAGTCCTATTGCACGACAAGCGTCTTTGAAGTACTGCTATCTTCTGACCACACTGCCTTCGAACCACATTGACATGCGGAAGGCGCGCGGGTTTCCATATTTGCCCGGCGTCACCTACCAGGCGTTGGCGTGGGCTCACGCCTGATGAGTACACATGTGTTGTCAACTGGTGAGAGACATGCTTGTGCCATTACGCACTCGGCTATTGCCTCCACGTGTCTACAAGAACAACAGCATGGATGTTGATGTGGGTCAAATCCCCGAAGCGCCAGTACACCCGAAAAGAGGTCGTGAGATTTTGTGAGCGGCAATGGTGCCTCGGGCATATGTTGGTAGCCATTACGTTTGTCGAACTCTGAGGCGCAGTGAAGGCGTTAGCTAGTCACTTGAGTATTGCACGGATCTCAAGAGTTCATTCAACATGTCCAGGATCGAGGCTGCACTATACGCATATTGGGCAGTCGATGGGAATCTACGGCCGATAAATTGGCTCGAGAAAGACAATGTTCAACATTTACCAGCATAGATAGCTAGATTCCAGCATCCTCTTAAATGACCACAGGGGCGAGCGCTTGTGTCGAGCAATGAAGGCGAAGAAGATCGGGTGTTCTAGATATATGTCCTGTAGTCTCTCAATTGAAACCACACCCCTCCATGACCAGGCACGTAGCAGAGATTCGCGAATATTTACATGGCGGGATACCCTCTCAGGATGAAGAGATTCCGTAAAATGAAAATGCCACGCTTGAGGGTATACATAAGTCAAGGAAGCAGGCGGGATGCGCGGGTTAGAGTAGCTCAGGGCACTACATGGAAGAGGCAGGACAATGGAGACGTTTGAGTGCGCCAGGGTTCACATTCAAGTTGGACGAAAGCCGAAAGACAACAGCTTGATCAAACGCCATGCTTACGTAAGCGATCGAGATAGCTTCCTGCTCTTCCCTCTTAGCGCTTATTGGTGCCACCACGTCTGAGCGCCAAGCTCTTAGGCCTCTATTTTTGGTTTTGCTTGACGCCCGGGTTCTCCGTCCATGATATTTCCCCCCTCGCCAACCTACCCCCAGTGCATCCTTTCGCTGGACACCCGACGCCGATCCTTACCCGTCTAGCCTACGTGATACTGGCATATACTCGACGTAGTAGGTCTCATGATGCACGCTGATGCTCGTTTATCTTATAGCAAGTGACCAGAGTAAAGCACGTCTAGTATAAATCGACGCTACCTGCAATACCAGGCGGTAACAAAAGAACGACGTAAATCGTAAGGGAGAAAGGTAAGACGCGAGAAACCCCTTATACGCTTGTGTATTAGCTCCTGGAAGCAATCCGCGATTCTGCGACCCCAAACGCGCCACACATTTTTCGGTAGCGGAAGCGCCATCGAGGTAGAGGTTTCTAGAAAGATGACCATCTCCGACGCCACTTTTCGGAGGTCAAGATGCTTAAGCAATATCCGTAGATGTGCTCTTATCTTATCGTTACAACAGAGCATCAATGCTTGCGACAGGCACAAGACGTTGATCAAATGGAACAGCTATCCAACCTCCTTGATGTAAGATCTAGAACTGAGAATCGAGTTACACTCGAAAATGAGATCCACTCACTCTAGTACTCTTATCCACGTCTTTCAAAGCCTCCCCCGTCATCCGAGCGAGTGCGCTGACTACATCCACCAGCGCAGGAACAATGAAGGGAGATCTACACTCCCTCCGTATGTCCGCCACAACTCCTTGTGCCTGCGCGCATCGGCTGCGTTCATTTTCAAGTGCGGTATTCAATTGTTCGCATTGCCGACGTTCGTTGGCGAGCGCAATCTCTGCCTGCTGTGACCGGAGACGCTCCATCTGAAGCAGTACGTCTGCAACCTGTCGTTGTCGACGCTCTTCTTCCAGCGCCTTCTCGAGCTGCTGATACCGCAGGTTCCATTCATGAGGGTTGTCTGCAAAGGAGGCTTGCTCTTCGCAGAGCACATCCTCCGTAAATTGCATTGGAGGCAAATCCTGCTTGAGAGGAATAGTCGCTGCACCGTGCTGATCCGCAGTTTTTGCTGTTATTTATGATTGGTGTAGTGAGCATCAAAATCCTTCGATGTACGGCGAACAGGGCATGATGTACCTGAGGGTATTGCTTCTGTAGGTCGTTTATCAATACTTGTCGGGAAAGCCGCATCCTCCGCATCAAGTAGTTCCTGCTTTATGAATATGCTCTCTGTCGCCTGCAGTGAGCCGGTGGTATAATTTGCCAGCCGATCATCGAGAGGTCCAATTGGTGGCAGACCCGTGGTCGCCAAACTTGATACAGGACTTTGGCGTATCCGCCTCTCGGACATGCTGGATGAAGCATGCTTTGCGCCAGAGCGTAAGCTGTCTGTGCGCGCAAGCGGTGTGTACGACGACCTGGCTGACGAGATCGAAGATGGCAGCCTCGGTGCTTTCCCGGTGTTAGACGAGGGTGGTTGTTCATTACGTTTGCACTTGGGTTGCAGAATAGGCTGATTTGTACCCAAAATTGTTGAACGAACGCGACCCCTATTGGACGACCGGTGCCGTTAGCGCCGTGTGATGTTTTTCGATTCGACAGTGGGCAACACACGCTTCGTCCAAGGTCAAGTGAGCGCTGGATAATTACATAAGTAGATTGTTATAATAACGCAACCCGGACTTACATAGACCTAGCCTCAAGGAGCTCTTTATCAGCGGCGACGGCTGAATGGTATCCCCTGCGAATACTGACATGCTCCGGCTGTGTATCATCAACTTATGAACTTCTCACAAGAGCATCTGTAAGCTCACGCTATCTTTCTGGGTCTTCCAGAAGCAAAGTACGATACCTGATTTGCACACCTGTTCGGTTGAATCTGGAAGAGGAATGCCCAAATGGCGCAGATCGTCAGCAACAAAATAGGGGCGAACCCGAGAGTCGCCAGAACGATGCATCTGTTTCGCCATGTCGCGGGCTTTTCCGCCCTTATAATGAATGCGGATAGCGATTTCCATCTCCGTTGAATGGTATTGCTGGTATTTGAGTGAATGTCGTGGTGAAATCGAAATCTAGCCAAGAACGAGTGAAATTGCGGCTTACGATGAGTGAAAACGTGCGTACCGGTGTAATCTACAACGTTATCAGGTTATGTCCTTCACCTTCTACATGTTATATCTCAAAGTAGAAGGCATTGGACTTAGGCCAGAAGGAGCAACGCGTCGATCGGGGGGAATGGGACTGACGCCCGTAGTCGAACGCGTTACGTCACGTACCAGCGTGACAGCATGCCCGGAACGCGTTTCCCGGATGGCAGCGTGTCTGAGATATTATTTTACACTGCATAAAGCTCTGACTCGGCTTAATCACCTTTGCGCAAGCCATAGTCACCTAAGAAACTTTCTACATTAACGTAAGTTGCCGCTTGAATTCGTTACAGAGTATGTGGCCTGGACCCTGGACGCGAAGACCACCCAGTTTAATACACATACACGCAACAAATAACGATTCATAGTAATGGGCAAGTGCCGTGTAGCAAATCATGCAGCAACGTGCATTCACCATCAAAAGCTGATTACGTCGAGCAGGTAATCAGCGCGACGACAATGCCTCCTCGGTAAGTCGTGCCAACTTGATGAACGCATCCGCCATCCCAGGCACGATGAATGGCGCGCTTCTCTCCCGACGCATGTCCTCCAAAATGGCTTCTGCATCTACGCGTTTGCGGCGTTCCTCTTGCAATTCAGTTTCTGCAGCTTGTCTCGCGGCAGTCTCCCGCTCAAGCATCTCACGAAGTGCTATCGCGCCAGAAGTGTGGTGAGGAACTGCTTGGAATGACGAACATGGATACATACCAGAGACATCTTTGTCCACAAAAGGCTCTGTCATGATTCCTTGATCGACTGATTCGCCTTCCTCTGCTCCAGGTGGTTGGGCGTGCTCTACAAGATGCTGCTCTAGCCCAATCTCATGCTCCCTTAAGCCAGAACTTTGCTTTTGAAGATCCAAGCGCATGTTGGACAAGTCGTGAATATCTCCCTCAGGACTTCGGGGCTCTGGACTGGAAGTAGCCTGCATGACATTGGGAATAGCAGGCGCCGCCAAGCCCTCACTTCTAGAAGATCTTTCACTACAAGAATTTCCGACTGAATTTGGGTGAACTTCAGAAACATTGGTCTGCGCAGAGACATCAGTAGAAGTGCTGGAGACGATTGGTGCCGGCGAGCTCTCCGTTCGCGACCTCGTGGGCGTGTCTGACGGCAAATCCTGCTCCTTCCGTAACTCCTGCGACATATTAAATGCATTAAAGTATGCAGAAGTTGGTTCGAGGCTCACCTCTGGCGACTCGAGCTCGAATGGTACAGAGGCTCCCTTCGACACTGAGTCGCTCAGGCGTCGCAACATCCTCTGTGTTTCATCCAGATATTGCAGACTCCGGGCGCTCATAGGTCGGCGAGAAGGACTGGGTCGCCTGCTCCGAGGCCGCCTTTCTACTTCTCCTGGTGTCCGCCTTGTTCCCGGGGAAATTGAACACCTTCGATCGCGCGGGGAAATGGAACGCCTTCGATCGCGCGGGGAAATGGAGCGCCTTCGACCGCGCAGGGCGAGAGGTTGATCTCCCAAGACTTGGCGCTTTGTGCTGTATCTGTGGGCGGGTCGAGAACTTTCGTCTGTCGTATTTTGCGCGATCGCGGGTCTTGGCGACTTAGAAAGAGCAACGTCCGTGGAGGAGGGTACCGGTCTCTTGGTCAAGGGACGACCCAGAGTATCAGAGCCGCTTTGCAAAAGGACGCTCTCAGTGGCGGGAAACCCCACTAAAACGATACGAGACTTACTCATCAAATTTAATCCAAGATCTGGAAAGCGTGGCAGTAAGTCCTGGTCCACACATAGACTGCTATCGGAACAACAGAACACGTACATGTTCTTCTCCACGTTCTCAGACAAGAATTTCCTCCGGCAATAACCGCGATGTATTCTTTTGTAGAGCTCCTGATCGCGATATTCAGGCGTCCGTCTTAGCGAGTTATCTCACCAGGATAATTCAGACACTCACGCCGCCCTTAGGTGTGTGCCAAATACAGTCCACAACGCCGGATTGCCACATAGGTTCCAGGTCCATAGGCCGCGGAACATCGAGCACTTGGAGATCATCTAGCAGACTCTTCATGTACTCAGCGGTGGGGCGATCGCCGTTCTTAACTGAAGCCCACTGGCCTGCACGAGCCCCCCTGTACTGGAACCTGAGTACAACCTTGACAACTTCTGCCATTAAGCAAGCAGTGTATCCGATAGCGAGTACTATCCTGGCAGGCCAAAGAAGAGAACGCAGTCAACAGGGACGAGCATGAGGCTATGCACATTGACATGTTGGTGGTTTTGAGTTTGTTGGAAACAATGCGGGAACCGCAGGGTGACGTCTTTTATTCCTGGAAAAGGCAATTTCTGCCTTATGCGGTTATGGGTCCTTGATGGCATTCGATCACGTTCTGGACTCAATCGCGTAGGATTACAATGGCGAAGGCATCGAACGCTTAACAGGGGTTGCCAAACCTGTCTCCACAATGCAATACTATTATGGCATTTACTAACCAAAATTGACGACCATACATACGAGGGAACAGAAGGAATGGATTGTTGATGGTAAGTGCGAGAGCGTCTCCGTTGCTTTCCTCTGAGCTCTGAAACACTAGGGTATTGACCAAAATATTGCCAGGGAAGCGATACCGAAATAACTGCAAAAACATAGCGCAGTACCAGCAACGGTGAGGGAAAGTACAACTTCAATCGAGGTGAAGATATTCAGAAAGACTGCCAGCGCGAACGGATTCTCAGATAACGAACACTTACCGTTACTTAGTTTGATCAGCTCCAAGGCATGATACAGACTTTCAACGCACAGCTGAGGCGAGCAATAATGAGCACGCAGAGTGCACGAGCAATCAGCATTAGACGACGCGTTACCATAACGATGATATAGACGCCCCATTTCCGGGCATTGGCTGGCCCGTCTGAATACGAGACATGTATTGTATGAGAACCCTTGCAAGTGGACTGCTCTGACACTCGAAGCCAGCGAGTATACCATTAAAAAGACGCTAGATATGTTAGGGTATGCAAATTCCGTGAAGCGAATCAATGTGCATAACATGACGATGTGCAAAGCGACAAAACGAGGGAACGAGTGACATGACCTTAAGACATAGCCTAATTGTCCAGATATTCAATCCTCAATCCTCCAAGATATCCTCATCGCCCTGTGCGAGCGCGTTAAACTGGTCGACATACGACTCCCGCTCTTTGCGGTAATCGTACCCAACGAAGTTCATCACACTGCGGGCGAGCCAGTAGGTCAATATGACACGCCATGGACACAGTGAAATGTCACGTACTAGATAGTGCCATCCGCACAACCGACCACAACCTCTTCATGGCTCAACTGCATAGACATGGGATTCTTCTCAGGAGTCGCCAACCCTTGGAACTTCGCGGGTATTTGGCCCAAGAGCCCTTTGACGCCAGTGCAAGACACGCTATCGCCCTCTGCGAGCGCAGCCCACGCACCCGTGAGCGGCACGATACCTTTGTCGAAATCGACGCCAGGGGACGGTGTACGTGGAAGCTCTGCCTGCTCCTCATCGCTATCATCCGAGTCTTTCGCGGCTTGCGTCTTGTCACGATGAGTCGACAGATATATCTGCAGTGCATGGGGCACATGAAATGCGTCAATACCAGAAAGACGAAAATGAACCAATCCTTACCGCCCGATTGGCACCCGCTCTCGTGCTGAAACGGGTTGCAGTGACCACCCTCCTTTTCCTGGGGTCAACGGCACCGACCGCAATGTCGGGCGTCTCCACGACCGCTACAAGTTTTGGCGGCGCCGTCAGAACGGCCGCTCGCCCAAACAAGATCGGCTGCGCGGCCAACGATGCCGACGGTACGGACGAGACAGGGGTCCCCGTCCGTGGCGATGGACTGACAGGCGTCATAGGACTGTTCGGGAGTGTCGTGCTCAGCGAGAGTCGACTCTTGAGCCCATTGATCGAAGGTGAGAGCGGGGCTCTCGATCCTGATGGAATATTGAGCGTGATGCGACGCTGGGGTGTCGAGAGGGAAGACGTAGAGCGCATGAGGACAGGAGACACGCCCGAGCGCGCCGTAGGGGGACTTCCCGAGCCCGGTGTGAGCGGGGACTGAGGACGGTTTGCATCCTTTGCTGTGGTATCAGTGTTCTCATCCGCCTCTGTCCACTGCAAGTGCAAGATGACAGATTTAGTAGCGCACTGCAAGAAGGGCCGAAGTTAGTTACGACGAGTACTGTTGGCAGGAAACACATACAGTCATCTGTGTACCCTTGGCGGCAAACCATCTACAGAGGAGTCAGCATATGCACTCAGTTTAGTGGAAATCTCACTAACTGGAGCATGTTGTCTGGGGCCTTGCCGACGTGGAACAGCTTCGCATTCAGCACAGGATCGCTGCCGCCCAGCTCCGCAAGCTTGAACTGCGAGACCATCTCGCGGCGCTCTGAAATACAACAAGCCACTTCGTCAGGCTCATCTCACAACCAAGACAACACCGCAGAACTCACTGATCGAGAATACCCTCACAATGCCATCAATAGTGACGCTCACGACGCGCTCGCCCTCTCCGCCCCGCTCTCCGCTTCCACCGATGATCTGCACACCTATGTTCACCGTCGTCTGCTGCCCGAAGCGCACGATCTTCGTGCCCGAGCGCCAGTCCCAGCAGACGAGCGCCTTGTCTGCACCGGCAGACACAAGGTGCCGGGACGACAGAGCGACCGCACGGATTCCGTTCAGGTGCCCTGCGAGCTGTTGCAGCGGCGTAAAGGTGAGAGAGGAGAAAAGGTGCACGCGTCTATGACAATCCAATACTGTCAGTACAATGGACGAGTTCATCATCGCATGCGAGCCCTACCCAACATCGTGGAATCCGACAACAAAGACCTCTTCTCATAAGTCAGTAAGCGGACGGGTGCATTGGGGCAGGACGCACCTTCTTCCGCGAGGAAGTCAACACAGCTGACTGGCTTCTTAACCTGCAAACACTTCTTCATCTCGCCTGTCTCGACGTCCCAGAAGCGGATTGTCTCATCATACGAGCCACTGATGAGCCGCTTCCCTGTTGAAAGCCAAGTTCATGTCATGTTGTGAGCGTTAATCCTATGCCCATATGAACGCAGTCCTACCACGGAGCAGTAAGGTGGTGCAGTAGTTCGTGTGTCCGTTCAGGAAGCGTACACTCTGTGGTAGCGCGTTGCGGAAGTTCGACTCGCGGTGGTGGAGCGACTTATACAGGGGTTCCCTGCGCCAGTAGGGACACATAGGATCGTGTTAGAATCCATCTGCATTGACCGCGACGTTTTCGACTCACCACTCCCCAGGTATATGAGGCGCTCGTACAGGCGTAGGATCCGTCGCAGTAATCCGCAAGCAGTGATAGCGCCATAGCATCGGGAGGTGGACCATTTCCTGCCACTTCTTCGAGACCTACAACAGGGTTAGCTACCGATGCTTAGAGAAGTATACCGCGGGGAAGACATACCGGTTCCACGGTGAGCAGCTCCTGCACTGTGAGATGCTTGAAGATGCGGAAGACCAGCGGGGCGGCGAGTTGCCCGACGATGTCAAACGTCGAACGTGCATACTTCTCGAGAAGCAAGATCTGCAGCCGGATGTCTCCTGGCATGCACGAGTCCAAGATTATGGAGATCCTGGCAGCGAAGTGAGTCAAGCGTAGACATTTTAGTGCCAAGAGGCGCTCACAATCGCATACGGTCGTCCCTCTTGAGTCCCCTGATTACCCGGCGTACCTCCATCTCGTTGAAGCCGCCACCCCCATCGCCCCTCAATGCCGCGGCGAGGTCGCCTCCCGGCCCCTCTTCATCGTCGTTACGGTACCCGCTCCAGTACCCGCGCTTGCGTTTACCACCGCATGTGCAAAACTCGTCTGCATCCGGGTCGACAGCTGTCGTTGTGTTTGACGGGTTAGTGCGCTGCTGCTCCCGGAGCAGTACCACTTCCGCCTGCAATGCGTGCAGCTGCGCGGCAGTCGACGCCTGTGCGCGTTCGAGGAGTCGCTTGTAGTGGAGCAGCTTACGCTGGTGAATTGCAGCGACGGTCTGCAGGGAGCCTTGCATCTAAGCCTAGGTGTGAACGAACATGGTCATAGTAAAGGCAGGACACGCACCTCCTCGTCCATGTCGCCGTCGTCCACCTCGGTAATCATCTCTAAAGTCATGTCATCCCCGTCCCACACTGAAAAAGGCGCGTCCTCGGCTTGCTCCTCCATATCTGCGCGTCCCAGCAGATTCAACGGGCGCAGCGGTGTGGGGTCCTGCTTCCTCCTACCGGATGAGGCCGTCTTCACGGGGGTCACTTGAGGCGAGGCCGCAGCCTTTACGCTCTTCGATGGCGTACGCTGCTGCTTCGACGGTGTCGTCTTTGGCGTCGTCGTGCTGGCGGGCGGGCGGGGTTTCGTAATAGATTGGGTGCGACCCATAGCAACGCTTGGCGACGTCAAGGTGATTGACGGGGACGTCGAAGGCACGCCAGGGGAGGTTGTGGACGAGAGCCGGGGGGTGGACATCACACGCGAGCGGGGTGTCGCTGGGACCTCACCCATTCGCACGCCAGTATCCGAACCAGGCGCAAAGAATGGCTGCGTCGAGACCGACGTCGACCGCGCCATGCGCCTCGACGGGGCCACGGAGGGTGGGGGAAGACTCGTGTGCCGTGCAGCAGGCTGCGACTTGCCCCCAGACGCGGTCGTCTTAGAACGAGCAGACGACACGCTCGACGTGGATAGACTGGGGTTGAAGAACGACGTAGGCGGCGTCTTGGGGCCCGTCACCTGGGACAAGCGTCGAGCACCGCCGATACGCGACAGCGTCGGGAGCGCATTCGGAGTCTTGGCCTTCTTGTCCGCCGTTACGGTCGAGGCAGACACGGGCGTTGCGTTCGGCGAGCGCGATCCCCCGCTGCTGTTGCCGCTGTTACCACTGTTGCCGCTGTTGCCGCTGCGCCTCCCACCAGGCATGACCGTCGTCACCCCGCTCACATCACTGAGCAGAGACGCGTTCGAATATGCCCGGGGCTTGCTCGACGACGTCCGCGAGTAGCGACTGGGGGCCTCAGACGGCGCCGGGGGAGGCATCCGCACGTCGGTGTTGTACGGTTCTCAGTGACAGTGCAAGGAAATTAGGGGAAACCGCTGGATGATCCGGTGAGCTTTGAGCTCGTCGTGGTCGACGACGACGGCACTGTATATAGACGCCCGTGTTGATAACACTGCATGTGGTATTCAATTATGGGACAGCCGCTGATGAATACACGGAGACTGAAGTATCTCCCTATGACGGAGATCGAAGTGTCTCCGGCATGGGGAGATATCTCCGGCGTCTAAGAGATATTTCTCTGAGGGGGCGCTTAGCTCCCTAAACGGAAATTCTATCACGTGCAGTGCGAGAGAAACACCCAAGTCACGTGCACTTGCCGCTTTGGGTGGTGACCAAGATTTTGTCTCGTATAGTATCGGGGAGTTTCATTATGGCCAGTTTTCGGCCTCTAATGGAAATATATTTATCATGGCCAGCGCCAGAAAAGGCAGGAGGGTGCGGGAAAGTATGTAAAAAGCGAGTTTCTAACCCTAATCTGAGTTAGCCTGATTTGGCAGCAACTCAGATTAGATAACGAGAAAGGACCGGACTTTACCGAAAGCCGATGAAGAGATCGGGCGATGGTGATCCAGTCACATGATCGCCCAAAGGGGACACAAATAATTTGAAGCAAGCGCCCCGCGGTGGAAAATTGATGGAGGTGTCTCCACACGCCGGAGATATCTCCCCATGCCGGAGACACTTCGATCTCCGTCATAGGGAGATACTTCAGTCTCCGTGTATTCATCAGCGGCTGTCCCTCAATTATAGTACAAAAAAATCAAATACAAACCGAAAGAAAAGCGAATTTACCTAATCAGTTCTAGGGCGCCTAATACAGAAGTGAAATTGAATAAAAAGTAGATTATGTAATTGGTTTTCCCTTGTTTCTTTCAATTTTCCTTCAATTTTCATTCAGTCTCCATTTGGTTTCTACACCAAAAATATTAAATAGACGCTATGTCGCGCGCGTCAAACACAAACAAATTCTCGACCTTCCACTGAGAACACGAATATCTTGGCAACTGCTGAGCGTATCGCCTTCATATTTGCTACGCTAGACTCGCCTCATCGTTGCGCATGTCCTAGTATTGAAAACATCATGAATTTCCAACATTGAAATTTCGACACCTTCGGCACCCCTTTGAAGCAGAATCATTCCTGCTCGCAAATACGACATCAAAGACTCATAGGAAGGATATTCCTGGAGCTAGATGGGTAAGGAACGGCAGGAACACGTAGTGTCAACGAACGTCGCGAGCTCAGTCGAAGTTCGCGCGGAGGACCTGGACTGGGATAAGTACGTGGTAATTGACGGTCAGTGTTGAGATTTACCGCTTTAGGCTGTTGATTAACGTTAATTAGCACATAGACGCTCGGAGGTTAATTAGCCGTCAATTACACCTGTTAATCCGGCCCCCTAATATACCGACTGCTAATTTACGGTAAATTAGGAAGCGATTCCAGATTCACCGCGCCCTACTTTCGTGGAAACGGCAATATTCATCACGGTCTTCGTTCATTGCCTTGACTATCTGTCGCCTATACAATCCGAAACGAAGTGGAGGCTACATCTAATGCACTTCATTGTGCCGGTTCACTGCACACTGCTACCTATGCGTACAGATCCCTGACCGTGGCGTCCCCTTTATGAGGGGAGGACGGTGGCTGACTGGACGACTTGTAAGAATCAGTCCAGACCAACGGATCACGCTGCTGACATTGGTCGAGCTGGTCACTTTAAGAATGAGACATCCTGTGCTCAACGGCTCATCCCGCTCTGCGCGTTCCTCGCTTTCTACTTGTTGTCCGCTTCCACTTGCTCTCGCTCGTCTTGTGATCTCTGTGCACTGTTATCTCGCAATAGTCTTTCTCCACGCTGTAATGTCCTCTCGTAAGGCAACCAAATCTCGTCTCCCGACGACTGTACCTTCTACACCGACGCCGGCTCGAACGCGCCTACCTCGGCCCAGTGGAGGACGGCCAGCCCTCGGAGAGGTTGCAAATACTGCTATATCGATGTCTGCCCCCGCTACGCCTTCTGGATACAAACCTAAACCTACCACTCCACGTACCCCCAAGACCAAGCTGCCGACGCCGAAGACAAAGCCCAGGCACGGAACCCTCAGTCCTGTCAAGGTGTCAATTCCCTCGACCCCTGCACCCATTCGTACGCCGCAGAAAGCTTCCTCTCAGCAGAAGGAAAACAGTCCGTCAATACCTTCTAGACCTGCCGTAAAGACGCCTGTCCGCCGGCCTTCCCGGTCGTCGCATGTGCGCCGGACATCGCTACCCAAATCTCCAGCGTCGGTCTTTAGGCGTGCGTCCCTAAACACACAGTTCGTGTTTCCGCCTCCGGCATCCAACAAGCAGCGCGCGGCAGTGCCTGCCCCAGGTCCCACCGGGACTTCTGCAGTGAAGCCCCGCCACGTCCCCTCAAGGCACCCTGCACGTCGTTTGACCTCGTTTGAAATCACCAGCTTCTCGTCTCTTGCTCTGCCTGACGCTGTTGTCCCGAGAGCCCGCTCGTCTCTCATGCTCCCGACGCCGTCCTTCCTTTCCTTGCGGAACTCCGGCAGTGTTGCCTCGTTCGCTCTCCGCCCACGCTTGCTCCCGAACTCTTCCACGCTCTCGCTGTCGGCCGCGCTCTCTAGGAAGGCGCATAAGAAGCATGCTGCTCCACGCGGGAGGTCTTCGCTACTTCTTACAACGCCGTCGTTTGCTGCACTTGGCTCACATAGGGATGCGTCGGGTATCGTCCTCAGTCCGACACCCGGCCATGCTGCCCATCGGTCGGACCGCAAGCAATACGAATTCATCATGCGTTCTGTGAACCTCGCTCAGGATGTTTTCAGCGCAAGTATCCCTAGTAACAATAGGCCATTAACTCGGGCTAGTTTTGTCGGGCTCGCGGCCGAGTCTAGCACAACGCCTACAGCTTCAAGCTGTCTAACAAACGGCACTCGTGAACACGACCAAGCTCATACAATAAGAGAGCAGTCGAGCGCTCGGGAACATCAAGGCGTCTCAAACACCACGTCTGGATTCGGTGCCGGTCCTCAGGCAATCGGTCTCCCGGAAGATATGCTGAAAGTCCTCGGCCACCTCGAGGGGCTTGCAGCTGTTGTGCGCTACTTGAGGGATCCTGAGCCTCCCACTGCGCCGTCGCGTGCCACAGCAACGGAAGTCAGTCGTGACGCTGCAGGTTCCGGCGATGAGGATGGCCAAGAGCAAAGCTCCGGGGTCGCTGTCCTCCCCGCCTCTCAGTCGGGCTCTGGACAGCTCGATAATCTACCTGCTCCTCAACTCCCTGTCGCTCACGAACAGAATGCCCAATCGAGGCTTCCTCGTCTCCGTCGCATGAGCCTAGCCCTTAGCCGCGCACGACCGCATACTATAGTCTCTGTTCCACTGCCTTTACCTCCTCTCGTGCAAGCGCCAACCCGTGGCACGGCCACACCGCTGACCCGGCGAGCAGTCAGCGAACGGGGTGCCCCGACGGTTACCAGCTCGCTGAATTCAGCGCCCACGACAACTTCGCTCGCTCGTTCTACATTTAGGGCCGTGCTACGTCCCAGGCGTTCCGAACCCCAATCGCGCGTATCGCCTTCGGCATCTGGCTCGTCGCCGCCCAAGAGCCTGTCTCGAGGTAGAAGGATCGCAAAGTGGGCACGCAAATCCGAGGGTCGGTCTGAATAGCGGTCGCCCAGTGCTCTTTCATCCGGGGCTGGAGTCGTGGATTGGTCGTCCATCTACATGTTGCTTCCTATATGTATGCGTGATGTAACGAAACACGTCCACAATCAGTACTTCATCAACGATTTGTGCTCACACTGCAATGTCATGTCTGAACGCGACCCACGTGACCGTGACCTGGGATCGCGTCAACATCCAGGCGGCGGCCAGTGGCCAATCTCACGCCATGAATAGACTCGAGGCGACCACTGGGTGTTCTTATCTCCTCGCTTTCTCCCACAACGATGTCAGCGTCCCACTCCGCAGCATGAGCCTGAGGCTTTGACTGGCTAGCATACAGTAATCGGCGTGCCGTACCTTCAACTTCTCACTTCTCTTGTCTCCTTCACCCAAGATACGAGCTGTGTGTGGTGAGGTTTCTCCCCGCACTGCGTCGCCAAAGGATTCAGGATGCCTTGGGATTTGATACCTCTGAACAACGGTCAGTCCTCATACACGGACTATGTGACACCTGAACCCTGACATCATCGGGCATAAATGGACACTTGGAACTGGGTACATCTCGATCTCGATACACCCATCTCTCCTGTAAGGAACGAGCATTCCAAGTATCGCATATGGAACCTGGACCCTAGGAGGCGGACAATGGGCCGTTGACAGCGTTGACCAGGCGATTTCTGTGGGGTTCAATCACATAGGTGCGCTATAGCAGGCTCACAATGTCCAGAGGGCGTGATCACCAAAGCCGAGCGCGGCCTGCCAGACACCGCCCAGTCCTACCGCAACGAGCACGAGGCGGGGATTGCTATCCAGGAGTCCGGTCTATCTCGCTCAGAGCTGTTCATTACGACGAAGTACTCTGGACTCAATGGCCTCGATATTCCGACGTCTATTCGGAACAGCATTCAGAACGTGCGTGCAGAGAATGTTTCGTCTCAGTGTAATGCAGGCTAATGCCATGCTCGTTGCTCTCCTGCTATTTCTTTGGGAAACTCTGTCCACGCTGTCGACAGCTTGGCGTTGAATACGTCGACCTCTATCTGATCCACAGCCCCCGTCTGGCCGTACCCGATATCCCCACTGTTTGGTCGCAGATGGAACAAGTGCAGAACGATGGACTCGCCAAGTAAGCACCGTTACTGTGCACCGATTAAAAATGCTCACAAACTGGTATACAGGAGTATTGGCGTTAGCAACTTCAACGTTCCACAGCTCGAGACGCTGCTTGCGTCTGCCAAAATCAAACCGGTTGCCAATCAGGTTCGGCTAGCACGTGTACTCTATTTCAAAGCTTACCTCCCGCTACGACGCACCAGATCCTGTTCCACCCCTACGTCCTCTCAAGTCAGATGCCAATTGTGGAATTTGGCAATCAGCACGGCATTGTCAGCGAGGCATACAGTGTGCTGATGTACGTCTTGCTTCCCTAATGCTTCCCGCTGGAGCAAAACTATATACTCACTTGTCATCCTGCGGTTACTTCGGCGGTACGCAAGTCCCCTCACCCGCCAGCCTGGTGGCCCAGTGGATGCCCCCGTTCAGGTCATCGCAGACCGCCTGAATGCAAAGCCAGAGCAAGTGCTCCTGGCGTGGGCAAAGGCAAAGGGAGTTGTAGTTGTGACGTGCGTCCTCGATTTGTGTTCTTTCTGTGTGTTAATTCTTTATATCACTCGCCTACTTCAGATCAAGCACTAAGAAAGAGCGACTTGATGGATACCTCCAGGCGGGAGACTTCGGTGAACCCGACATCTTTCCGCGTCATGTCAAGTGTACTGATGGCGTTGTGTTTTGCAGAGCTTACTGATGAAGACATTGCGTCCATCGACACTGCTGGGATACTCGGGGCCCGAAGGCTGTCTGCACGTACCTTCCTACGCCGCGCGGCCATTGCTGCTCTTGTGGGAGCTGCGCTTCTTGGCGCATGCAGCTATATGGGCGTTAACATCATTTGAGCCCATCTGATGTCTGGTGCGCTGGTTCAAACGGATGCGGGAGACAAACCGACACGCAGAACTAGCTGATGAAATTTGATTATTCTGAGGAACAGTGGACTCCAATTTTGTGCTAATTGTACTGAATCCTCGTTGTACAATGTGGATTGGAACATGGACCTCGTCATTGTGCTATTTGTTGTACTATTGTACTATTTTCTGTTTGATCAAATTTGGTGTGTTTGCTTCAAGTGCTACCCTGCGTGCACATTCAAGTACGCCAATCCAACTTTTCTCAACTCTTCCTTTGGCGCTGTCAGGATATTGCCGAATCATGCCGTAGGCTTCGAAGGGGCTTCAAGTTGGTCGAGCGCTCATGGCCTTCATGATGATCAGTGATACTCAAGCCTTTCTAACTCTCACATAAGGTAATTCTGACAGATTGCGCCCCAGTGAAAGAATAGACTCCCAGGACTATAGGTGTATCCATCAAACCTCCGCAGTCTCAATTTGCTGACTGATAGAGTTCCTCCGCGGACAAACGTCATTTTGGTGATTATACCTTTCGGCTACATCTGGATCACGGCAAGAGTAGGACATTCAAGTCACATTGGATATCTCGGATTATCGCAGTCAGACATTGTCTGACACCAATTATCACTTTCGTTCAATCCAGACGGCATGTCAAATAGCATGATCGGAGGTTTCCCCGTGGACAAACGGAAGCTCAATTTAGTACCGTTTGTCCGACACTATGTCCGCGGAGAGACTTGCACAGAGAGGAGGAGGCAAGACATCTATATCGTATAAAACGCGCCGACACCGACTTTGATGCATCACAACAACCTAAACACTCTTGCTTCTCTTGTTCTCTCGGCTTTACTACTTCCGGACCTCGTGAATTCCCTCCACATGGCTTACGCTCAGCAGACCCTGTTGGATGACCTCGAGAAGATGAGGGGATTCGCTACAGTCCCCAAGCCTCAAGATATATATACATGGGTCCAGTGGTAGGTGCACCGCATAATAATCTTGTTATTCCTACGTGGCTCACGGTAAGATGCAGGGAGATGGCAAGAACGCATGTCGCCATCATCGAGTTCTGGCTGCAGGTGCAGAAGGTTCGCATACGCATACATGTCGCCGATCAGATCTCCAGCTGACCAAATATCTCGATAGCAATTCCGTACCACCGCTCCAATCGAAGATGCGGAGAACTTTCTCGGTTTCGCAAAGCAGTGGGTGCGAACTGTGGGTATATATATATATGTTCGTATCCATGACCTCGTCTCCTAACGATTTCCTGTCCATTAGCTCGAGCTGCATCATCAAATCGAAGAGGAGATCCAATTTCTCCACCTCAACCCTCCGCTCGATACCAGCACCAGCCACGATCAGCATACTGCACTACTCACCCCCCTCCGTGTCTACCACGTTTACCTCGAGTCTGTCTCCACTGGCATCGAGCCCTGGTCCGCCAGCAAGGCTGAGACACTTGCGCAGGCCTTCCTACCTATCCTGATGCACCACTTCGTCGAGGAGCTGCACATGCTTGACCCAGAAAGGCTGTGCGCGTCGAGCATCTCTGCAGACACGCTAGAGGCGATGCGCGTGAGCGTGGCGACGCGAGCGAAGGAAATTGCAGACCCGACGGCGGATATCCCGCCGCTGATCATGCACAATGGCGGGGCGCTGGACTGGCCACCGGTACCGTGGGTGCTGAGCGAGACGTTCAAGATGCCGATGGAGCTGTATCTCCCGCACAAGGGGTGCGTTGCCGCATTTCCATTAATATCTGCGACTCTGTGATCTTACATTGCGTTTTCAGGTGGTGGAAGTATGCAGCGCTTCCCCTTAATCTGTGATTCGTCGTACCTATTGCCTTCATGCATTCCTTAAATTCGATGTCAGGATACAACGGTGTTTGCCAGACGTCTTACCGTCTAACAACTGCACTGCACAAACCCTCCTCATGCGACAGCGACTGAGAACCTTGCCAGCATGGGGCTTCGTTATAGCAGGACAGGTGGTATCCCTGATTCGGCTTACTCACAAGCCTTGCGCCACAGTAAGCGGCGTCTCAGCAAACAAACTCAAACCTGCCATAGCTGGGGCGGACGCCGTAAGCCCGCATCATTGTGTATATATATATATGACTTGCCAGTCCCCAATGCACGTTCACTTATATGTATTGCGTATAGCAGTAATACGTGCATGGCTCTCGGGAAACTGCTTGTCGACCAACTCGGCTCAAGATTATCGCAGCGCGCTTGCGACACTCTCCACAGCATACGCGGCGACTACTCTTTGCGGGTTGTCCTCTGCCATTGCAGCGAGCGCCGCACGGAACACGTTCGCAATCATCTCGAGCAGCGAGACGTCGCCCGTAGACAATGCCGACCTTGCCGGTGCCTGGGACGGAAGCACGAGCGACGAGAGCGGACCTGCATCGCACCCACGGGTGTCGAGGAGGAAATCGCGCGCGAGTAGGAGTGCGGGCTCTGCAAAGCACCACAGGAAGGTGCGCCCCGTGGTGACGACCCAGTCCGCGGCGTCCACGATGCGCGTCTGCGAGACCGGATCCGCCGGCGCGTGCTCAGCCTCGAGTGCACGGCCACCGCGAAAGAGAAGGCAACACGCACCACGGCGACGTACAGCGACGACTGGCGCATCTCGCACCGCGCGCGGTCAGAGTAGTCGAACTTGAGCGCCATCCCGAAGTACACCAGCTGCAGCACGCGCGCGCGCACCTCCCGCACGGAATCTTCGCCCGCGCCGCCGCCCTGCCCGAACTGCAGCAGGCACTCGCCCGCCGCGCGGCTCTCTTGCGCCCACACACGCACGCGCTCGCACAGCGGTAGCCCGACATGCGCGTACAGTTCCGCCTCCGCGATTTCGCCGCCTGCCCGCGCGGCGTCCGCGACGAGCGCATCAAGGTCAACGCACAAGTCGACGAACGCGTCGAACTCATGCTGCGCTTCATCCATCGCGCCCGCTTCGCTAGCTCCACGGTGCTCGGTGGCGAGCACAACGGATTGCGGGGCGACTGTCCCGCCGGCAGCCTTGCTCCAAAGCCATGCGGCACGCGCAAAGGTGCGCTGGAGCGCGGCGTCGCGGATCTGCGTGGCCGCGCACGCGCCAAGACGGATGTATGTGCGCGCAGCGCTTGAGGGGGAGAGGCTGAGGGAGGGTGTGGGGGACGCGGGCAGCCCGGGGAGCCCGGACGTGAAGATGGAAGCGAGGGCCAGGTAGAGCAGGCCGGCCGCGGCCAGCGCGCTGGAGTCGCTGTCGGCGGACGTGGTTTCTGTTCGTGCGGACGGAGGGGGGCACTCGGCCTGCGAGTGGACGGTGAAGTACGCCCTCATAGCGAGGTCTTGTATCTGGCTCGGCAGGTAGGGAGCACAGGTTGGCGAGCGGTCCGCGGACATGGAGGTTGCGAGTGTTTCGAGAGCACTCACAAAGAACAATGCGCAAATGTCTCCGGTTCCGCTTTCGGTACAACCTGCCACGAGCTCCTTGAGGCGCGGCAACGGGAAAAGCGGGAGGAAGACGTGTACAAGTGAAAGCGTACTGTCATCTACGACGCTACTGGAGGCAGGCGGCGGTAGTGCAGGTACTCTAGGACCTTCTTGGCCTAGGCGTGCAGCGAAAGCACCGACGGCAGAGTCAGATGGGAAGGGGGACATATTCGTTGTATCGGCTACTCCTGGCCAGAATGAGGGAGCACCCGCACCTGGAATATCCGTGAGAGGCTGATTCAACAAGAGCTGAGGATTGAAATCGGCAGATAGAAGCGCGAGAATCGACTGATCGACTGACGAAGTAGGACTGTCGTCCTGTAGCATGGATACGGCCGGACCAGTGTTCGCGAAGGTATCAGCCGCTACAGGCTCCAGTGGGCAAAGTGGTGTAGAGAATGCGTCCGCCCCACCCGGCTCAACTGACGAAGAGCCTGATCCACCAGTCCAGTCAAGAATAGGCGTAGACGACGTGAAACTACCCATAAGTTCGGCAAAGGAATCTATGTCAACTTGTTGCGTCGCGTCCCCTTCAGTCGCGAGGTTCTCAGGTTCGTGCGTTGAATGCACCGATGTGCGTCTCCTGCGGTGCTGTTGAGGGTCGTCGCCACTAGCGGTGCTTTGCACTTGCTTCCTCTTCCAACCCTGTTGTGGGCCGGACCGTTTGCGGGCATCAGCATATACGCATTCTGTTTCATGCAGCGAGCAATTGCTACAAGATGGCGTAGACCCATCACAGCGTAGTTTCCGTTGACGGCAGCTGTTGCACGCTATTATTGCTTTGGGACGGTCAGGTTTGGTCGACATTTTTCACTGTAAATATTAATGACACTTATTAGTACAGCCTCAGCACACGTCTCCAACAATGCCAAACCTTGGTGAGATGTAGAGCCCGCTTTGTCAGAGCTTTGTTAATATGCATCCACTGCACGGGAAGTGGCTCGCACAGCGTTTAATCCTACGGTGGAAGCAGGTGCTTGTGATTGCGACAGAGTTAATGCAAGAGAGTGTTTGAATGAACTGACTTCGTAAAGGCTAGGGCTATGCCTATCGGGACACGTCAAAGATGTATTGATAGAGGATCTGGTGTGGTAGGACCGGATGGCCCACTGGCGAGATCCGCGGAAAGTCGCGGGCCAGGCGTATCCTGCCCGATCGGGCGCTTTCTGGCTTCTCGCTCGTTTACTAGTTTTACGCATGAATTGCGAGCACTGGGGGCAAAGACAATTTGTTTCTCCAAAAGAGCAAACAAAAATTGAATCAAAAACTCGACCCTTGCGCCCATATGTAGATGATAAGTGAGCGTGCTGCAATGCGCGCTCGGATTACACCCCCGAATAAAGGAAAATGATCCCGATTTGTATGATTAGGTTGTGTCTATATATAAATGTCTGGAAAGTATCAGGGTTAGGGCTTGCCTTACCAAAGATGGTAGGAACGGCGTGGGATGACGCGCCCCCCACCCTCCACACCCATGCACCCATGTCCGTATTTTATCAGGATCACCCTCCCCTCTCCCCTTAGGTTGAGTTCATCGAGGTGGTGGCGCTAATATCATGGCTATCAGAGCCCAATTGAAACTGAACACAGGGATCTGAATATCTACATATCCAATCTTATATGCATTGCCAATTGGGATCGGGGCTTCCCGCATATATTCGGGGATGTTCCTCTAATGCATTCGTCCTACATACGGTACCCAAGTTCTGATTAGCATTTGCTGTTAGAAACATTGTGCATCGTCTCGGATACTGGCTTGTATACCATGTCTACCAGCTAACACTTTCAGTGTCCCCCGGGAAAACCTCCGCACACGATGCCACCTACGTGATCGCCACGGTATCGTCGCGATCCTCTCAATACGGTCGATGACGTGTCTTGTTTTATCGAAAGCTTTCGTGGAAGCTTACAATAACTGTACTTGCGATTGGCCAGGCCTGTCTCCACTGAGGCGGGCCTACATCAGCGATGAGGTCACCTCGTCGCCCCACCGACTGGGGCAGGCCAGGTTGCCCCGCCCATGACCATCTCCCGTGTCTCGATGAGTGACTTCTCAGCCCGTATATAAGTCAGGGGCATCTGCATGCCTTGCTCATGAACCAACCTCTGCGCTCCCGCCTCCTATCCTCGACCTTCCGACGCCGAAACACTTTTTTCCCGCCCACACTCGCCAGCCTCAGAGCCATGTCGCAGAAGACGCTCTTCCAAGCCGTCAAGGAGGACCACGAGGAGGTGCGTCTGCTCGCGCGAGCAATGTCTCGCCTTTCCTGACCCGCGCACAGATGTACCTCTACCACGACGAATTCAAGCGTGCGCGCGCCGCAGGCGACGTCGACGCGCAAGCGCGCTGGGCGCGTCAGCTCACATGGGAGGTCGCGCGCCACGCCGTCGGCGAGGAGCTCGTCGTATACCCGCTCATGGAGAAGCATCTCGGCGCGCAGGGCCGCGCACTCGCCGACCACGACCGCGCCGAGCACCAGCACGTCAAGGAACACCTCTACAAGCTTGAGTCGCTGCAGCCCGGCGCGGCGGACTACAGCGCGCTCATCGAGCAGATCATGGCGACGCTGCACCCCCACAACGACGACGAGGAGGTCAAGGACCTCCCGCTTCTCGAGGCCGCGATCGGGACGGACGCCAGCCGCTCCGCCGCAGCGAGCTTCAAGAGGACGAAGAAGCTCGTGCCGACGCGCGCGCACCCGTCTGCACCGAACAAGCCGCCGTTCGAGACTCTTGCGGGGCTGCTCGCGGCGCCGGTCGACAAGCTGAAGGATTGGTTTGCGGAATTCCCGAAGGAGGAGGAGATGGGCGCGGCGAAAGAGGAGCTGACGCACCGTGATCATGACGCCGCAGCAGACCGAGAACGCAAGGGCGAGCTATGATGTCATTCCCTCTGCTGTTGTAGTACTAGCTCTGTATATTGGACGCCCCGCAGAATCTGGAAGAATTCGCAGATGCAAACCGGACTGGAGTAGATCCGTTATGTTGGCCCGTGCCCTTTGGCAGAAGAAAAGCGCCCAGGGGTAGCCGTTGAATCAAGTGACGAACGAGGGGAAGGATGGATGAGGTAAGCAGAACGACCGTGTTCGAGCCAACGAGAAAAGAGCGGGGCTCGAAAACAACGCCGGAACGCTCAATCTGGCCTGCTCGGCAACAGCCGACTTCGAATCAGCCGCCTCAAGATATAGAAGGCAATTCTATTCTGCAACTATGTCTACAGCGACCTTGCAATGCGAACTAAAAAGGTTTTTGACAAAGACCACATTCAACCAGATCTGAACGACGTACCTACGCCAAGCATAATCACAAGGCCAATACGGTACCACAAGAATGATTCTTCAAACGCGTCCATTCGAACGCTTACGTCACTGATGATAGGACGGTGATCTCCGTACGTCCACTTAAAAGCAGGGTGGGAGGATTGCATTTCCTTATGTTCCCCAGGTGAGAGCGATCTTGAGCGATTCTTAAGACACGGAAAAGTCTCATAAATGCAGATCCAAGCATAGAAAGCAAGTAGGGTTTAATATGCTCGCGAGCCGCCGCCTTCGAGAGACCCACGCAAACAAGGGAATCAGCATCGGTCACGATGCATGGCGATGTACACGAACTGAGCGTGCTGATGTCGGTCGCGGGCCTTGAAAGCACCTTGTAGGCAAGACTGATTGGTCAGATATCTCAAGAAGTCCTCTTCTCGTCACTCTTCGAAGCCGATCGCAATTCATTCGACAGCACCCCGATGAGAGGTCTCTTACGTACGATCTGCGTCTCATCTCAGGGTTTTCCTCGTGAATAAGGTAGACGCAAAGAGCCTTTTTGCGAACCACCTCTAATCAGTGTCCGGGAATGGCGCGTTTGTAACATGATTAAGCATGCATGCCTATCCTTGAGGGCTTGTGAAACATGCGGCACGCCTCGTGCCTCGCATGTTATGTCGATGAGTAGGGAGCCTGTGCGAGCCTCTGCCGCGCTCTCTTTCCTTGTACCTTGCTACTGGTTGTCACCTTCGTCATAATCTTCGTCCTCGTGAAGATCGGCTCACTATGGAGATAGCCATACACCCAAGCACAGCTGGGCTGAGTGCTATATGGGACAATGCAGTGGCAAAGTTCAAGCTTAACACCGAGATAGACCTATACGATCCTCGCGCCATCGTTCAGCCGCATTCCACCACGCTCGAGGACGTCGAAGGTCCAAACAGTCTTCTAACGGCCTTCCAACATCGCCGAGAACACAGCGCAAAGCTGAAGTATCAGCGCGCGCTCCTGCTCGTGAAACTCATGCCAGTCTTGGGGGATGTAGAATGGCTGTTGAGAACAGAGGATCGTGACGAGGAAGATGTGAGTACGCGAATGTATATCCGATTATACCTCCGTATCAAATTCCTTCGAGAACAATCTTCGTCGAACTATAGTGCATCGTTCGATTTGCGCCTTGCTTCTTGTGAGTACGTTGCGTTTGAGATATCTTGCGTCGCTGACAGCATGCGGCGTATGCAGCTAGCAGATGAGGAACGAATATGCATCGCGATCAACGCTCTCTTCGATCGCTTGCCCACTATCCCTCGACCGGATGTGCAATTAACGCTCACCGCGAGGAACGCTTTGGACAACATCCTCATTTCATATATCGATCTGATGGGCGTGTCCCACCGACTCTTGTACGTATATCAAGAAAGTCAGTTTCATTTCCCATGGCCTTCAAAGTACTTGGTTAACACTGTCTAGAGGGTCGAAATGCGATTGCAAAACATGAGTCTGTAAGCATGCTGCTATCCGAAATGCAATGGAAGATCAATGATTTGTCCATGGCGGGCGGTACGCAGCCTCTTTCTGTGCATGCAATTTCAATCACTGACCGTCTATCTCAGAGCTCCTCCGGAAAAATCTTCGAGTCATGCTGGATCGCGTTCTGCAAGACCACACAGAAATCATCACCATGACCACCAATGCGACGGGCGAGCAGATGCTGATTTCCTCTCGCGAGGAGCTTCTATCACAACTTCGCGCGTACTGGAAAGAGGTGGAACCTCAACCGGACGAGAGAGCACGAATACAAAAACTCATCGTGGACCTCTCTGATCGTGTCATGAGGCTTCAAGAGAACCGTAGAATCGGCAAACAAGTGGTGCGTCGCGCTCATTATCTAGACTGGGCAGTCTGATGCGATCGTAACATTGTATGACAAGGACCTCGTCATTCTCAGGAGTTTCCTGTCGCTTGTAAAGGCATGTATTCATATCATATACCGGATTGATCGTGCTAACCATGGCCTGTAGGCCGCTCGAGGGAAACATGCGGCGCACGACATTGTGGTAGAACTCTTGGACGAACTCTCTTCTATCACCGGACGCATCAAGCCGAAGTTGACAACTTCGGTTGATACTCGCTCTATCATCCGTATCAAAGTCCAGATCTTAATGATTGTCGGCATCGGCGTCAAAGTTCTCCTCGCACATAAGACGGTCCTCCACATTACCACGATGATCCGCAGCGCCTCGTCGCTATTCGCGTGGCATGAAGGGCTTCAGTCCGCGATCGAAGAGCTAAAATGGCTGGTCGATCGCGCACTTCCGCGGGAACCGCTGCCTGGTGAGTCGTCCATGAACTCTATCTAAACAAAACTTCCTGACATACCTGGATTTGGTTAGACAGAGCTGAAGACCCGCATTTGAGATTCCAGAAACTCTGGCAGGACGCTCTGGAACGATATGCTGTCATCACTGAGTCGGACGTCCAGGTGCTGGAGGCATTTACGCGCGTTGATACACTTCCGTTGCTTGAGGCCGCTCTCGCTGAGAAGAATCATGTATATCGGCGGGGTGCCAACAAGACTAGGGAGGCCAGGCATGCTTTGAAGCAGATTGGCAAGTTTATCAAAATTTTCATGCGTCCAGCGGCTAAGCTTGCGGAACCGGTATGATGCTTACGGCACAATAAGAGACTCGAATTGACTGGTATTCTAGCACTTTGCGGGCGCCAAAGTGGTTGCGTCTGCACTAAGTAAAGTTGTCGAGGTAAACTTAATAGCTGTTCTCTCATACGAATGATATGAACAACGTGAACATTGGCAGGCAGTTGATAGGTCCGAACACATATACCAGCCGATGCTGGACTTACTCAACAAATTATCTTCCTTTGTTAACCGTCTACAAGTATTCTTGCGCAACGACATTCCGGAGGAGATGAACGAGCCCCTTGTCAGGATACTGTGTGAGATACTCGTGATCTTTGGCTTACTCACGAAGCATCTCAAGAAGGGTTTCATGGGTAAGTCTTCCATTACGAGACAGTTTGGTGAATGTGTTGAAGCTCCGTAGCCCGGATTTTTGCTGAGGATGAGGAGGTCAAGCGCGCGCTGCACTCCCTACAAGGCTTGATTGAAGACGAAGCGCTCATGACCGCTACTCTAGCGTTCTCTGAGACTCAGAAAATGCGCCAAAGGATGTCCATTTTCGTCAGCCGTGGCATGCGACCTGTCTGGGAAACGACGGATGCGATAGAGGGTCAAACTGAAGGTATGGCGAACTAGCTTACGAATAATCCTTCGACCAATAACATTTCAATAGAATCTGCTCCGAATGTCGATGAGACGTATAGACGACGAGGATTTCCCGAAAGACCATCCTTGTTTGTGGGGCGTGGACGCGACAAGAAGAAAATCATCGCAGCTATTCTAGAGTGTGTGCCAATAACCGTTCTCGGTGCTGCCGGAATAGGCAAGACGACCCTAGTTCTCGAGGCGCTTCACGACAACAGGGTCTGCGAATGCTTCACAGCACGCTACTTTGTGTCTTGTGATAACATCAAAACCGTCGAGGAGCTGCGAATCCAGATTGCCTCCGTTCTAGGCATTCCTGCGCAATTCGGGGACGAGCAATTGAGCAGGAGCATCCTGATAGAGCTGGGTCAAGAACCAGCAATCCTGTTCCTCGATAACTTCGAGGCCCTATTTGACATCCCGACATCACTCAAGAAGGTGACGCGGGAGCTCGATACGCTCGCCGGTGTGGAGACGCTTTCGCTTGTCGTTGCAATGCGTGGCACAGAAGCTCCTGCTGAGAGTCGACTGCGTTGGACCAGGCATCTGCTCCAGCCAATGACGCTCCCTGAGGGAGCACGGTTGTTCAGAAAAGTCGCAGGTATTGTCAACATCGATGATCCCAATGTCAATCCACTCGTCCGCCTGGTGGATAGTGTTCCATTGGCAGTCGTCTTGCTGGCCCACGAGGCGAACCAGAGTGGCCGGACAGATACGCAAGCTCTGTGGGACCGTCTGCAAGCGGATGGCATCGCAAGCTTACAGAAACATGACGATGCTCACGATGAGTCATTTGATCTATTCTCATCCATCGATGTTTCCGTCAACAGTCCCCGCATGAATCAGAACGCCAAAGTAGTGATGGCGCTACTTGCCATACTACCAAATGGATTGCCTCATTCTTCAGATCTATTAGAGGAGCTGCAAAGTGCAATTCCTCATCACATTGATCTTGTCGACTCTCTGACGACTCTCTGTCGTGTCGCGCTCGCTTACATCGATGACGCTGGAGGCCCGCAGCGCTATCGGATGCTTTCCCCGATTAGGGAGTATTGTCACGACAATCCTGAACTCCAGGTTTCCGGGGAATTGCAAAAAGGTCTTGTACAGTTCTACCTGAATTTCCTCAATGCGCGCGACGCCACAACCATTGCAGGCAGGGAGATTGTCCCTCCGGAACTGCCCAATATCGAGTACATCCTCCTTTCCAGCGTACCTAGCGCACCCGAAGCGGTTATCAACCTCTCCCCCCACTTCCCGAAACGCTCAGGAAACCCGCTCGCTCCATTGTCTAAGTTCTTCCGCCGTCTCTTCTCACCTGCGTCGCTCCGGCACACACGATCCACTAATATCGACTCCTCCATCATTCGCGCAGCAGTCTTGTACACGGATTGGATGCTTCATCTTGGTACGCCATCGCCTTCGATATTGGAGAAGTGGATTCCTCTGTTATCAGAAGAGAGTCTATCATACCAAAACGATCTGAGCTCGAGCTTGCTAGGAAACTGCTTAAGCACACTCGCGAAGACATACGTATTTCTCGATCGACGCAGTCAAGCAGAGTGGTACTTCCTGTTTGCTTCGAGGCTCCACGAGGCTCGTGGAGACTTGCGCGAGATGGGAAATGATATTAGCGCATTGGGAGTGCTGTGCCTCAGGACAGCTGTGGAGGCGAGAGCTGAGAAGTTCTTCCAGGAGGCACTACAACTCTACACGATGTGCGGAGACGAGCGCGGATGCGCCGGCGCTCTCCGAAGCCTTGCCGAAGTCTCTTTGATGAAGGGTGATGTGGACGACGCCGAGCAGAAGCTTTTTAAGGCCCTAAGGATCGATCACAATGCTCAAAGCTGCCTCGGTTTGGCGAGTGACCTTGTGTACCTCGGCGAGGTATCTCTACGCAGGGGAAGACTCGACGATGCAATGCAATCGTTCCAATCCTCGCTTACTTTCTTCCAGGCATCAGGGAGTGTGCTCGGCGAGGCAAGTGTCCACCAGCGTCTTGGATCTTTGTGGCAGAGAATGGACACGGTGGATGGCGCGATAACAGACGGGCTAACAAGAGGGCGTACGCCAGCAGACCTTGCAATGCAGTCGTTCAAGACAGCGTTATCTCTCCATAAGGCTGTACGGGACCGCCTTGGGGAAGCAGATGTCCATGTCGAAATTGGATATCTGCATCGAAGCGAAGGCCGTCTGAATCGAGCTGAGATTGCCTTCCTTAAAGCAGGGAAGCTCCATCACCAAGCACAGAAGAGGCTCGACGAGGCGCACGACATCCGAAATCTGGCACAGATATACATGGACATGGGTTCTTACGATACGAGAGCGGAGTGGCTGTTTCTTGAAGCACGCCAGATGTACCGCACCATCCGCATCTCCCGTACAGATGCAGATACATCAACACGCAGTAGATTGGATATACGGAGGGGATATCTATTCTCTGCTGAAACGTGCTTCCAGGTCTCAGCGTCGCGCCGCCGCATTCTCGAAGATCGCCTTGGAGAAATACGCACTTTATTTTGCCTTGGAGAATATTATACGCGTGAAGGACGCTTTGATGAGGCCGAGGAGAATCTTTCGGAGGCGATTGCGCTATGCGGCAGCGTTAATTCCCGCCACGCTGAAATGCGTGGCCAGCAGCTCATCTACAACCTCTGGGTGAAGGATGTGATGGCAGCTCAGGAAAATGATCCTGATCGTGCTACGGAGATTATTCTGCAGTTTGAAAATAGCTATAGCAGTAACGACGATGGAGATGCACACTTTTTGGACTATGGAAGGCTTTCTCACACTATCAGCATTGCAGGTGTGGACACCTACAACAACACCACAAACTCCTTCGAAAGCGGACATCGGTCGGATATCCGAAACCGAAGGGGTTGAATTACCGATCGACGTACGATGCCATGAGTAGGAGCAGAATACCTTGCGTAACTGATACATTTTGGGTTCGTGTATATACTTGATGGGCCACATTCCGTAATGACATTCCACGCTATTGAAGCCTGTGGTTGGATTTGACGTTCGCGCACCGCGGAAAGATTATATGATTTCTCAAAGTCTAGCACACCATATATTCGGGTTTTGCGATATGATCAACGTCAGCATATGCACGAGGCCATCTGCCGCGTTTTAAAATGCTTCAAACTCTTCGCTGGGAATCGGAGTCACATACCTGTAAGGAGAAAGGCCATTCCGAGAGCTAGTAGGGTATAATTGATCAACGTAAGTTGGGCTCGCGTCGCTAGACAGTGTGTCAGGTTACATTCCACTAGTAGCGCAGCACGAGCAGCATTGATAGGCACAACCGTTGAAAAAACGCGGGAGAAAGGGTGCAGGCAGTGAGGGCAAAAGGCACAGACAGAACGAGTATTATAATGAGCCACAGAGATGAACGCAGGAGCATACACGCACTGATTAGTTCATCTTCGAGTGCACCCAGCTCCCTAGGCACGTCTTTGGCAGAGAGGGCAGACGTGTCCGGCGGCAGGGCGCCAAGCTGTCGCAACTTCGGCACAAGCGCCTCCTCGCGTGCATGCAGCGCCGTAAGCTGCCTGCGGACATCCCAAAGCTCGCGGTTGAGCGCGTGGCTGTCAGGGTGGACTGCTCCGGGACGTGAACGCGCAAGAGATGCCGACGTCGGAGCCGGAGACACAGCGGCACCGCGCGAAGGGGCACGAGGAATACTCGCCAATGGCGCGTTGGAGGCGAATACATCGGTGGGATTAGAGACGTCGTTGTGGTGCAGGCCACGTATACGAAGAGATAGACTGGGGCGGTGTATTCGTCTTGGGCCGCGACATTCGAGCATCGCGCAACCGCTTCGGTGAGGCGGACAGTCTCGCACATCTCGGGAAGTTGAATCTCAGACGAGATGACTTGAATGGAGCAGAGCACTCTTTTCTGGATGCACTTGCGCTACACCGGATCGTCCAAAATTATATTGGATATGCCAATAACCTCAGCAATCTTGGAAAGGTGTACTTGCGGAAGGACGACGTGTATGGTGCGGAAAGAGCGTTCCTGGACGCATTACCCCTCCACCGTGCTATAAAAGATCGACTAGGCGAAGTCAACGATCTCCGCAATCTCGGCGAGTTACACTTGCGACAAGGGAATCTTGACAAGGCAGACCTTGCGCTCAATGATGTATCGTCTCTCTACCGCATTCTCGAGGACCGTTTCGGCCAAGCAAAAAATTGAGGGGCTTGGGAGAGGTTTACCTTCGCAGGGGCGATCATGATGGTGCTGAGCGTTTCCTTCGGGATGCCCGGGAGCTCCACTACGTTGTAGGTGAGCATATACAATATAATCAGATCTAGCTGAGGATCGTCGAAAGTCATATCAGTGGCTATGAATGCTCAAGATATTCTTCGGCGGCAAAATACAAGATCACCTTGACATCACTTACGCGCTGAGTAGGGATCAGTATGGGTTACCACCAACATTCATGCGCGTTAGTGGCCTGCTCGCGCATGCTGGAAGTGCAAGACATATGATTCATTTGATAACGATCAACTTTGCGTACCCTCTACCACCCCGATCCCACTGTCCCTGTCCCCATTAGCGCATCTTCCGTGAGTTGCGCCAGCTGCTTGAATGCATCTAATAGTGATGGCACGATGAACGGCTTCATGCACTCTCGCCGCGCGTCGTCTAACACGCCCTCGGTGTACACCCTGCGCAAGCGCTCCCCCTCCAGCGTTGCTTCAGCCACTTGTCGTGCCTCGGACTCCCGCTGTAACTGGGCCCGAGTTGCTAGACGGTATGTCAGGACATATTCCAACAAGGTCGAGGCGCAACCGCGGTGAATGGGAACAACCAATTAAGAGCGAGGGAGAGGAGACTAGTATAAACCATGTACGAAATACCGTAGCCAGCGTCAGACATGAACACAGAAGTGCACGCACCGATCAGCTCGTCCTCAAGTGCACCCAATTCCCTTGGTAGCTCTTTCGCAGACGGAACAGAAGCGTCCGACTGCGACTGCGGCAAGGCGCCAAGCTGTCGCAGCTTCTGCGCGATCGCCTCCTCACGTGCATGCAGCGCCGTCAGCTGCCTGCGGACATCCCAAAGCTCGCGGTTGAGCGCGTGGCTGTCAGGGTGGACTGCTCCAGGACGTGAACGTGTAAGGGACGCCGACGTCGGAGCCGGAGACGCGGCCGCACCGCGCGAAGGGGCACGAGGAATATTTGCCAATGGCGCATTGGAGGCGAACGCATCGGTGGGATCAGAGACTCGTCGTTGTGGTGCAGGCCGCGTATGCGAAGAATTAGATTGGGGCGGTGTATTCGCCTTGGGCCGCGAGGTCGAGGGAGATGCCGCCCCTGACTGCTGTGGCCGCCCTTCTTGGTGGCGGTATGCAGCTCGTGCTGACTCTTTATCTGTGCCAGATTCGCGGTGTCGGTACCCCCCGCGAGAGACATCGCTATCAAATGACGAATCTTGAAGACGGCGACTCAAGGCTCGAGGCCCGGATGGAGGCATATCGTGCATCTGGCGATATTGGGAGCTAGATTCAACAACGTGGTCTGAAGACGATTGGTTTAGCATTCTTGCCTGCTCGTATTTCCGGTAGGCCGAGGAGCGTGGCGCAGTGGGTGGCGCTGGTGCTGATTGCTGCGAAAGCTCGCGCTGCATATGTGATGCTGTTTGTGGAACAAACTCGTCACTGGAAGGACGAAATGCGGAATTTGGCGAGTGGTTGTATGTGTTTTGCACAACGTTGCGAGCTTGGGGTATTTCAAGTGGAGGAGGTTCAGGCACGGTATTCTAAAGCAGCCCGATAAACTGGTTAAACGTGAATGCGGTAGTACGTCGTAAGTGCCACGTACCTCTACCTTCATCTTTTGTAAGAGTGAAAGCACAGCCGACGACTGGCTCAATTGCTGAACAGCCTGCATGGCTGTCTCAGAGAGTTGCATTGCAGGCAGGACCTGCTGTGGGGGCGGGCTGTCCGACACAAGTGTAACCTCCATGGGCTCCGGTTTAATGTGCACGGGGTCTGTGTATGTTGCTGAACGCTGCAAAGCCCCATGCGGCGCACGATTGCCCGCCATCGGTGATGATAGCTCGCGTGCCTGCTTGATAGATGTCGGCGGGCGGGCAGCCTTGCCACCAGAAGGTGACTCGCCATACGGCAGATTCTCGGGGAATACCGCGGACATACGTGGCTTAAATTTCGTGGTCAGAGTTTGGGTCCTGTAGACAGCAGAACGTGTGAATTAGTGGGTATATGCGCATATAAAATACGATACGCACCCTGTAGAGAGCGACATGAATGAGCTGCAGCTCAGGACGGCATGAGGATCACGGTATAAGCGATCTTCTACAAAAGGCTTACATTGACATTTCGTGGAGGGATTGCTTCTCTTTCATGACGGTATTAAATGCAGCCCGAACGTTGTCATAGAGTTCCTGAGTAGAGCGTGAAGTTGAGTACAACTACGCGCAACTCGAGGTTCGTTGTAGCTGAAGAATAGTGTCTGATCCACCGGATACCCATAGCGCTTCCGGGCTGAATTCACGGCCACAAAGTCCGGCATGTACGCATGGATTATTTCCCATATGTCGAAAAGCCTCCGATAGAATGCCCGCGTGGTATCACAGCCCCAAACCTCAGGCAGTGACGCCAGCCGAGCATTCCAACCGTTGCCAAGTTGACTCCATCATGCGAACCCAGTATTTCTGGTTGACACGTTTAGCACGAAAGGTGCCTCAAGGGATCTGACAAGGTGCATTGTCGTGGAAGGATCATCTGTAAATGGGGGATACGTACCATACCCTGCTCTGTATTCCAGTTGCAGAAAGCGAATGCAGAGGCCCAGATGGATACGATGGAATCGGGCTCTGGGAATCGGAAATGTTCAAGATCTTTGCGAAGAAATGGGACAGCATCAAGCGCCTCCTGTTTGTTGGATGCGTCGTTCCGATGTTGATTGAATTCTCGGGCCTTTTCACCCTTGTATTGCACTTTCAATGAAACTCTCATTATGAGATTATTCGCGTGTATTGGCGGGATTGAGGACCTCTACGAAAAATAGACTGCATTTGTAGGTTCCAGTAGTGAATGACACACAACATACGGTTTGAATCTGTCCGTTTTTCACGAATGTGAACTTTGTACAGTAGTAAAACCGAAGTCACCAGGAGAGGTCCAGCTCTGGCGATAACCCGACCTAGCAGTAAGTGATAGTAGAAAGCGAAGTTAGGCGCGTTGTCTAAATGGGGAAACCGATCATTTTCACGAATCCGTGATCAAGACATGCCGCGTCTGCAATGCTCAGTTCCTTTGCATGACGACACTGTTTATTTGTTTTTGCTTTGGAGCTGATTGGGTATCCCGCGACCTGCAAATCAAGAATGAAATGTCGGAAAATGCCTCATTAGGTAGGCACGCCTAGACCTGACTAACGCCTTTCCGCGGGCTTTGCCAATGAACTATCTGGCTCTACTACAAACTCGTTACTCTCCAGCGTGCTCTCTGCTATGGCATCTGCTTCCTGCCACGGTTTTCAAGCTTGCAGGTTCTACGTGGCTCCAATGGTATCAACGCTCGCGTCAACGTCGCACGACGACCGCCTGGAAACCCACGAAATGACGGCGCAGTCGGACATCGTCTCGCTCTGCGCATAGGACGGTCGTGAAGAGTCCATTTCGATTGCACAAGAACCCGAGTATGTATGTACTTGTCCGTCTCGAGACGCGCCCTTTGCGAACGAACGCCTCGACGCGTTAAGCACACCTGGACGCCTCAACCTCGAGGTCAACGATGTCCTTTCGACGCGCGCAAGCCTAGACGGCGCGACATTGTCCAAGTCAAGCCTCACTCCACGCGACTTGACTCTTGCGGTCCCCTGAGACCGTCTCGCGAGACGTTTACATCGACTCTGACGTTGTCCTCGCACGTTGTGCAGTCCGGCGGAGAAGCCGGCTTCCTTGTTGCTCACGCGCAGGCGTCTACTATTTGCACGACATGTTGAAGGTTACACTGTTTTCCAGGGATTCAATACCATCTAGTAGCACTGCTAGCCACTTCTAAGCTCTTGTCAAGTCATCCGTAACCATATAGAAAGTAGTTCTCGACGATAGCTACCGCTATGCAACGCATGTACGGCGAACGCAATGAATTCGAACAGCACTGGTCTTTCCCGAGGATCCATCAGCAAGTATTATAAGCTAGGAATACACGACAGGAAGACATAGCCTGAGTCAGAACATTGTTAGTTGTCCTTGTAGGGACTGCGTCAACATTTACCACCACCCACCGCATGACGCAGAAGTCAATGCTAACCCTGAGGTTGCGCAATATAAGAGTCAGATACGGCATAGGAGGACCCACCCTTGTACTCGACAACTCTGTGACCCGGACTTGATTCCGACGCCCTCGCAGATGAGTGACCCCAGATCGATAAAATCGTGGTCTGGCCATCCGTAGATCAGTGGCATTGGGCGTAGCGGCTCTGACGGAGTCTGAGCAAGTCTGATGCACAACGTTCGCAAATCTCCAGGAATGCGTCGCTTCTGCACGGAGAATGACATGCGATTGCAGGCAATGGGTGCAGTGCATGACAGGTTCATCAGTCTGGAGGTTGGAGACCCGCAGAACCCCCGCGTCCGCGTCCCCACTGAACGTCTTCGAAATGGAAGGCACGAGGAGTACAGCCCATTCCGATATCTGCGTGTCCTGCCGGCATGAGATCATAGATCTGAATGCGCGCGGAATTGCCTCACCGCTGCTCAGTGGATCACGGTCTTCGTGATCTGGACACTTAGCCGGCCTGAGCGTGCTCACAGAGAGACCAAAGAATGGAACGCCCACTGCCTCTCGGTGTAGTCGGGCGCATCGCTTAGGACGACCGTACGGCCTTGCCCTTCGGAGCACTGCGCAGCATATTGACGGTGCGATTCCTTGAAGTACCGGTGTCCGAGATATCGAGTGATCAGCAAATGGGTTCGAGGGCCATTGCAGAATGCAATCAGTCAAATACGAGAGCCAGGGACCTTGCCAGAGAACATGCCGCGAGCAGCCTTCAGAGATCTGAGCGGAAAGACCGTCGGTTCCCACGTTCCCAACTCCGATCCTGCAAGGGCGCTACACATCTCGGAGAGCTGCCAGTCGCACTCCGCTCATAATAACCAAGATCTCTGCGTGTGTATTTGAGAAAGCAATATGTGTACAATCTGCACTCAGGCGAATGTTGAGAAGATGCTCCGTACCCGCAGACGTGGGCGCTGCAACAGTGCCCCAGATCCAAGACCGTCCTGGTGGCGGGACGCTTTGACCTCGCACGCCTCATGTCTGCGGCGAGGATCTGACAACCATAAGCATACTCACAGCATCATGACAGGCAGTGGTGGTGGCGCAGTCATCAATACCGAGGCCTGTCATTATCCCATGATAAGACCAGCATGAATTTGGGCATCCTTGTCCGAGCGTATCCGCATTAGGGGCCGCTGGTGCGCGCAAATGCCTATTTGGTCCCCTCGTCGGGTTCTGTAAGCCCTTCGAGAATCCACACCCATGAGAAGACGCTCTCCATCACTGGCCAGGGTGGTGATGCGAGTCCGTGCCGCTCCTCTCTGAGTCTGAACAGGACTTCTGCAGACGCCCGACGGGCGCTAACCCACTGGCTCTGTGGTGACTTAAGCGGTGGAAAACATCAGTCTCGCCCAACGCCTCCCTTCACATCCCACTCACCATACCAAGCATCAGCCGTTCCATTATGTCCCACATTATTGCCCACCTCACATTCCGTCTGAGGAATGCTCTGTTGTGCTCGGATCCGCATCTGGACCAACAAACGCTCTTCGTTGTTATCGACCGGCCTGCCAGCCTCAAAGCATCGTACGACGTCGGTAATCGCGCCTCTATGCCTTCGGTACCTCCCATCAGGATACGAGCTCCGGCAATTGCATCTGCTTTGTCCAAGTCAGTCACCACTCTGCTCCGTTGTCATAGCATTGTCTCACTATTGTTCTTCAGCTCCAAAGGTTGCACGCACATATACCTCGACCCAACGACCTATATACCCGTCGTCAACACCTTGGGGCAGGTGGCGACGATAGCAGACCCACTTAGCCCAGTCCTAGTGGTGAGCGCCCATGCCCCTGCGCATGTCGACGAGGAGCTGATGGCTCGTTCCTAGCGCAAGGACCGATCCCTGGTGTTCTGGCAGTATGAGCATCACTCCATCGCGCAAGATGTCGCAGAAACGTACCACAAGCTCAGGCACTATGCTCGCACGTACGACTGCGACAAGGTGACGCCACGATCCACTTCGCCATATACCCCTTTGGACGTAGGCGAACGGTATGCTACCGGCTCTCACACAAGGGCAGCCCGGAGACAGGTGCGCACATTCGCAATCTCTGCCTTGGATAGGTCCTTAACATCCCACGTGTGTAACCAGCCTCATGATGCGGTCATTCAGCAACACGGACCAGGTTACACAAGCGGGACTACGCGGGGATACAACCCCTCGTTCGCCGGCAACTCGGCGACCACAGTCCCACTCACGGTCTGGACGCTTCCGGTCGCGGTTACACCAGGGCCTGCTAGGGGAAGGAAGCGTCAGCACAGTCAACTGTCCATCTCGACCATTGACGCACCCACCGCCCCACCACTCGCAGACAGAGGGATGCTCCCACTCCCACGGCGGTCGGCATATTCCTCTGCTCGACTCCCCATCCAAACGACTCACAGTCTTGCCGAGACTGTGATGTCATCACATGTAGGTACGCCTAGCGTACCTCATGCAGCTGGTTCTGGCCCACACATAGTGGAACAGAACACAACTCCAAACAGGTACGGCATTGGTTACTCGAGCAACAACACCACAAGCGTGTCGAGCTCAGTATCCGCACAACACATAACACAGTTCGACAATGAGACTGTCGCGGTCGACGACGGCAGTCCACATCGAACCAAGCGCTCACGGACATCCGCCTCCGTGACGCCCTTCTCGACTCTATTCCGCTCCGCCACACTTCTTGCCACTTCACCGACTTCGACTTCGCCTCCCACTATCCCATCTGGGGCGTGGAAACCAGCTCCGCGCCCAGACAAGGGCAAGCAAAGAGCCATGCCTCGCGAAGACGAGTCGAACACCAGCTCTCTCAGTCCTTCCCTTCGCCGAAAGCCGCAGCACGTCCAGCCCTCGCGAGGGCGCAAGCGCAAGACACGCCACGACGATGACGCAGACACAAGTGGCCCCTCCCACAAGCGCATCGCTGTTTCCCTCTCCTACACAGAGAGCAGCGCCTCTCCGACGCCCTCACAGGAGAGCGCTGCTTCTCCGGCGGCCTCACAGGGGAGTGCCGCTTCTTCGACGTCCTCGCAGGGGAGCATTGCCGACGACCTGATGTGCTCAGCATGCTCTAAAACCTTCGGGCGGAAAGACACTAAGACACGACATCTGAAGAGGGTTCTGTCATGCCCCCTCTCTCAGAAGCTAACAGTACCCTGCCCTCACTGCGGGACGCACTTGACGCGGGACTTGCCACGGCACCACTGTGACGAAAAGAAGGCGTACATGGAGCACCAATTGCAGCACAAGCGAGCGTGACAGCGGCAACAGCGACTGGATCTACGGTGAAAGGGAGGAATCTCAAATCAGCACGTTGCACTCGCAATACTTCAAGTATTACCTTCACTGCGTCTTTCCCCTCCTCATCTCCTTAGTGTGTTTGGCCTCGATGTTCTCTTTTCGCCCTCCTAGACTTAGCGTGCACCCATCAGTATACCCCTTGCTCTATACCCCCACATCCGAGATACCCAATTCGCATATACCTTTCATGGCGTTGCACGCAATCCAAAATTTATCCTTTCACCTACGAGTCTATTTGCTTTGTGATACTCGCAAGTTCTCGAGCGTTGGTCAATTCTTCCTGTTTGAGGTGCAATATACTTGATGTTCGATCTGGGTTTTACTGTGAGCCGTCTGCACACCCTCTAAGTTCCCGGCACAATGCATATGAGCACGACAGTGCAACATCATGGTATACTGGCGCAAATAACGATATGCCAGGATCCACGCAAAAGTCAATTGTGTTAACGAGCACCTCAGACGCGCGAACGTCACCGTGTGATCAAGGTAACGAAGCCCGGTCACATCACGCATCCGCACGATAACGCGCGGAAGTGACGACACTGGAGAGCCACTGGGGAGCAAGATAACTGGGGGCTTTTGGCGATGACAGTGACAAATCACTGCAGAGGCTAGAATAACACGTAGCCAAGGTACCACTTGCTTCTGTGTATTTTAACACCCGGTAAGGCCGCCTGGCATTATCGAGAGCCAAAATTGCAGGCTCAGCGCGTTCACGAAGAAGTAGCGCAGATAGCATACCGTCGGAACATGACGAAAGATCGGAGACTTACCGATGCGAAGAAGAAAGTGATCGTAGATTCGGGTCTGAAAGCGACATGTGACGATAGCGATACGGTCGGGCCATCACAGGCGGGGTCCAGCTTTCCTCAACTGTCCCGTCTTGGTTTAGCTTGTGTCCGACTTCTCGTCCTCGACCATCTAGATTGAGGACGTGCTGACTCGGCGGCAAAATCTTCACTGTAAAACGCTATTCAATGATCAGACACCTTCGCGTGAAGTGTTAACCCAAAGCATTCGTCAAAGTTAGCATCGAATGTGCACATGCGAGGTAATATGTCGAAGAGCAAGTCCATTACGCACCTGACGAGAAATGGATCCGAAAGGCGATTAGACAAACAATACAGGAGCAGATTCCCATCATTTCTGCAACACGCCCAGCTAGGCGACACTCTCTGTCATCAAAGAGCCCCAAACATGGATCTACAGAGTAGGTTCAGATCTAACAATTCTACGATCCAATGTCCAAGCTTGGCCGTCCTTTAACGCGAAAATGAGGGAATCCATGCCAATTTAGGACTGTTCCTGCTTTCATCCTTGTCAGTTGCCCGTACAGTTGTCCTTCTGGTCAGGAGCCATACTATGAGAATAAAAGACTGGAGAGAGACGATGGCAGCGAAAATGAACTCGTAGGTCAGACAGAGGGATTCAAGGAGGAAAAATCTGCGAAGTCACGATATCCGATGGATATCGTGCACGTGCGGTGTCGGCCTGCGCCGATGGCATTTTTGAGCGACAATCCTAGAGTCTTCGACTATATTTAGTTCATTTCTTCGTAGGCAGCCGTTTCAAAGCAAGTAACCACTAGACGATGATCCGGTCGTCTCAAAAGGTGGGGATCCTGAGGTTCTTGCAACAGCGACGGCGAATGGGGGAATACCATTTGCATCATTCAACAACTTTCAAGTCACGCTTATGCCACCATTTGGTCTCTCACATAAACACGCCCCTCATTTGATCGCCATTGAATAGCTGCAGTAATCCTCAATCTCATCTCTTGTTAACATTTTGACGAGCGGAACTGGTGCGGCAGTCTCGTGTGAAGCGATGTAACGTTGCGGACTCCCAAGGTGCGACGGCCAGCCATGCCCAGTCGCATAAGCGACAAGAAATTACAAGTGACAATGATAGCATAATGTCATGGCGTGGAGGCATGCTATACCCATACATTTTGCGCGGAGGATGCAATCGAAAAATAGCATAGCATGGCGAAGACACGAGAAGGGAGAATCCACAACAGCAGCTTAACGGCCGCCCTTGCCACCCTTCATCTGCTGCTTCGATACCCGGGGACCACCCGCCGGCGCACGAGTTGCAGGCTGCACACCGCACAACACGTCAGCATGCGCAGGACGTTGTGCCATTATATGTCGCGTACCTTGGTGGTCTTCTCCTTCTTGCTCTCCTTGTCCTTCTTCTCCGCCTTCGCCTTCTGGATGGCGGCGGTCCGTGCGGCAGCGCGGACCTGGGCGGTCTGGTTTCGTCGTGCTGCGATGGCCGCGAGGTCGGCGCCAACGATGCCACGCTGGTGCTTTACGGTGCGGCGGGAGCGCTTCTTTGCGACCTCCTCCGTGATGCCCTTCTTGTGCATGCGGCGGTACACCTGCGTCCAGGCGATCTTGCGCGGGTTCTTGCGTTGCAGGAAGAGCGACTCATTCTTGCTCGTCGCGAAGCGGAAGACCTATGCAGCTGGGTTGGATGCCCGCAATCATGGCAGCAGACAGGAGTGCAGACGTGCCTTGTTGTCGCCTCGGACGAAGAGGCGCCCCTTGCTGGGGTAGATACGGTAGCCGGAGAACGAGTCGATCTCAACCTTCTACACTCCATTGCATACCGTCAGCGAACGCATAACTCTGACAGACACCCGGCCGTACGCACCATCTATGCGACACGCAACGCGAAAAGCAAGCGGGATCAGCATTTTACTTTGGGAAGACACCAAGCCAGAATGCGACATCAGCCACCTCCACCCGCCATCCATCCCCATCCTCAGCTTTTTGGCCCTCGTTTGACACCACCTCTCCAGTCTGACCTCCTAGAGGTCTCCCGTACGCTATTTGAACATAGTTTCGATACTCACCTTGCTGATTGGCCGGGTATGTTGTCGGGGACGGTGCGGGCGACGCTATCCTTGCCTGTCTGAGCGCTAGCGTCGGCATTTGCCGCATCTGCGCCGAAAATGCCGAGCGCCCCAATCCAGGCTTGCGCACGTGATACCTGCCTGCGTCACGCGCTCTCACGCGGCGCAGGCGCGTCGACTTCAGAGCATTTTTCCTCCAATTGTGAATCCGTTTCACTCTACAAGCGTTGGCTGTGGCCACTGGCTATTTATACAGCGTACAGCTTATGTCTATTGTTTCTTACTTCAGTGTGGAACTATTGTGTGTTGCACCGACCCAGACACTGCACCCAATCTGCAACATGAACGGACGCGAACGGAGTGGCCTCACGGGTACCTCTTGATGGCATCCATGCAGGCTGCCTCGACTGTGCGTTCACCTCTGCATACCCTTATGTCCATGAAAGGACCGCGCAATCACAGCCCATACCCTTATGTCCATGAAAGAATAGCAACCACAACCGCAACCGCAACCCAGTCAGCAGAGTGGGCTGACGAGGCTGCCAGGCAAGCGCTTCCCGGCAATGCCCCAGGCCCGATCAACATCGCGTACCGCGACGCCAGTGGCAGCAGATTTCCACCCGCCCTTCGTGAAGCCGGCCGTGGGACCTCAGGCTCACATTAGCGCAGCCTCATCAATATTGCTGCCACCCTGTTCTGACCGAACGCCCTCCCTCTCTGATGCATCCCGTACGTCCGAGTCTCACAGCGGACTGAGGCTCGCGAGAATTCTGGCCCCAGGATGCGCATTTGCTGCAGTCTGGCCGCGGCCGGCATACCAACGCGGAAGCCCTCTTCGTTCTGACGTTCTGTGCTTTCTGACGGTGACCGCTGTTCTCTCATAAACTCCCGGGCTCAGGGTCGTCGCTGTCACATTGCGCGATGCACCCTCCAGGTCTTCGCCGCACAACATGGATCTTCTCACCAATTTGCTCGGACTCTAGCTGGGCTTCCTGGGCGCAGCGCCGTACGCTATCTCAGCATCTGACCGTTGCCCATACCGTGCTCTCGTGCGCAATGTCCGTCCGGCGGGTCCACCGCGGTGGAGCAGAACGCACCCCGATATGGGTGTTGCCTTGTACTCTGGCCCAGCATGTTGCGTCTTCCTTGCAGTTCGCGACACTATCTCCAGTCCCTGACGCTTCTGTTCGCACCTCAGGCTCTGCTTGCGTCCCTGACCATGTCATGGCGCATCTCGTATAGGTCCGATTGGCATCGCGGGGTGGTCACGCAACAACGGACGTTCTGCAGCTCCAGATCTCGAATTCATGGCCTAGTTCTAGCGTGCTCGTCGGATCTCGACACCTGTGACGACTCTGAGTTCCTCGGGGAATTGGCAAACGGTCGAGGACACACCCGACTCCGCGCGCGCCTCGGGGACCCGCAGAAGCCGTCCTCTGCATTCCTGGAACGTAAGTCACCAAGTCCTCGGGCAGCGTTCGCCCGCCGCGTCTGCCTGCTGGGCCTCGGTCCTGCATCGTGCAGGTCATACGCACCAGCCTCGCTCCGGCTACAACGCTGCAATTCGCAATGCGCCGCGTGCGCGCCTTCGCCCCCCCAAACCAAGCAGGACACTGACCATGCTCGTCGCGGTACCGTAGCGCAGCCGAGGCGAATCCTCCTTCGCTGAGGCGCGCCCCGGCACACTCTTGCAGCGGTCGTCGCTAGCGCGACGAGGCACGTATTTCTCCAGGAGCGAAGGAAGTCCCTTGCGCTCAGCTCACGCCGTGGGTCCTGATCGGAGGTGATTGCGCGGGCGAAGTAGGGTGCGAAGCTGATAGGCCCTGCGCGTGGCTGATGCCGTCCGCGCGTGAGATCTCTGTGCGGCCGCCCCATCTGCCTGCGGCAAGTCGAGTTGAGAAGATTTGGAGCCGGCGCTGTGGTGTGCGTGTGCAGGGTGCGAGATTGAGATTGGCCTGAGCCAGCGGGGCGAGCGGGATGCCGTATGCGGGGGGAGAACAGTGAAGGCCGGAGGAAAAAGATGGAAGCCTTGGAGGTGCGTGATGCCCAGATGCGGGGGCATGGCGGCGCACTCCGAGAAGCTCGCGCTGAGAAGACGGCGCGAAGGGGCGAGTCGGAAGCCCGGGGACGCGCTGGCGTCATATTGGTCCGATGCATGTTGACGGTGCAATTGTGCGTGTCGCAGCCATCCACGCTGTCGAATGAATCAATTGTGTGGATGGCGACGGGATTTTGGAGCGGGCTGTGCGTTCAAAACGTTGTGTGTACACAATGGACCTACACAATAATACATTTGTCGTGGACTCGCGGTCATTTACCCAGGGTCAAGCTCCAGGGTGTGAATCTGGGTAAATCTGGACGATCAGCGTTACAGGAGCGCAGGATGTCAGCAAACATCGTGAATTGGGGGAAGCTTACTTAGATGACCTGGGATACTTGACAGTGAATGTCGCTCCAGATTATTTACGCTAATTACGTTTAGGCGCCAGGGAATGAATTAACCGTGAATTACAGGACCCCCTTAGGCCGACTGCTAATTTACGGGCTAATTGGGAAACAATTCCTGATTCACCGCGTCTTACGTGGACAGACAGGAGTAGCGAGGCGTGGATCGCAATGCTGTTCAGACAGCGGCACAGCATGGCATGTAACTGACCCGAGCAGTGACCTCACTCCTAGCAAATTCGGACTGCGGGAGGCGGGCCCAAGCTTCATCGGGCAGGCACTGCATGGATCAAAGGATAGGGGTAAACGCTGACAGTGTCGGACGTTGTGTCGGGGGCTGAGACACGGGTCCTGTGTGGCATTTCGTATAGAGTTGGTCGTGCCAGTATAGGCTTTGTTGTCATTGCGCAGGCGCCCAAAGCGAGTAGCAACGGAGAAGCGAGAGCATTTGAGCCGGCATAGAAACGGCAGAAACTGGCAGCGAAATAGACATGGGAGGCATACGTTGTCGTCCCGCGAGCTCGACTCGGGAACGTGGTTGCCATCGCGTAGGCAATCTAACAGACTGTCTGATCGCGGTCTCGCCTCCGGGGACGCGAGCCAGGGCGGCTCTGTGCGCCGGGGCAGAGTGGCCGCATTAGGCGACCGCCCATCGGAGGCCGGGCGCGGGGCGGGGACCCTTTGAGGTGGGCCGGAGATAGGAAGTGCCTGGCCGGCGAGTCTGCAGCCATTCCTGGACGGCGCCTGGAGCTGTGGACACCGCTGCGCGCTGCTCCCTGATTTGCTGTCGACTTTCTCACCGCTTCACCGACGAATTTGACAGGTCGTTTGTTGTCCCTTGCGCACGTCCAGATGCGGCACCGTCCATCATACATAAAGGGTCCTTGCGTCGTTCCTGCTTTGAACGAACCCCCCACATTGACCCCCCGCATCGACCCACCGCATCGGCCTACCACACCGCCACTCGACGCGCCTCCTCGAAACACCTCGTATAATAGACCCTAGGCTCGACCCTGACATCGACGACCCGCGCTGCAACGCTTAGCCTAACGTAGTCATTTGCCTCCTCGAACCCTCGATCGTCTGCCATCACTAGTCGCCGGTTGATCTCGCTGCCGGTACGTGTATATAACCAGCTCACCCACCGATCTGCGTCCACACGTGTCTCTCTACCTCAGACGCTCACACCGTCCTAATACCCTTTTCGATACCCTGCAGGTTTCCGCTGCGTATTTAACCAGCTCCCGCTCGAGCCAACCTCCGTTCGTTTGACTTCATCGCCCATCGCTCGCCACACACCGTCCGTCAACCGCCAGCAAACATGCCCGCGACCCTTTCTACTATGCCCGAGGAGATCCTCGAGCGCATCCTCGAGCTCATTGTTACCCCCGCTACCCTTGGCACAAACTACCGACCCGCCTGGCACCCAGCCCCCGCTGCCCCATCCAGCAGCACGCACCTGGCGCCGCTGCTCGTCTCGCACACATGGCTGCGCATCGCAACGCCTCTGCACTACCGGCACATCGTCCTCCGCTCTGCTCAACACACGGTGCTGCTCGCACGCACGCTCCGCGCGAACCCGGAGCTCGGCCGCTGGGTGCGCAGCGTGCGCGTCGAGGGCACCTTCGCGGCGCTCCCGGACGTCGTGCGCTGCTGCCCGCAGCTCGAGGGCTTCGACATGACCGTCGACAATGGGTCGGACAGCGACGCCGACTCTGCTGATGAGGCCGAGGCGCGCATTGCGGACGCCAAGGTTGTGCGGTTCTGCAGCGCATTCGCGCACATGCGTCAGATCAAGCACCTCGTCATCCGCAAGAACGCGTATCTGACGCAGGCGCGGCCCACGCTCATCTTCGAGGAGCTGGGAAAGGCGATCAGCCGCTGGACGCACTTGGTGAGTGTCGTCGAGCACCCTGAGCCGCTTCTTAGTCCCGCGAATGCTTCTCCCGCCGTGCGCGCTGTCGCAGGCCCTGTGTGACTGCTGTACACACGGCCACCGGAGTGTGGGGACATGATGCACCCACTGCGCCCGATTAGTGCCGTGTCGTGCTAGTCTGCTGACTAAGCCGCGTACGGCCTTCCATGCAGTGGGACCCTGTGGCGGGAGCTTCGAGGGACCATTCAAGATCCCAACTACTTGTGATGTCGGTTGTATGATGCTGTGATGCTAACTATGTGCTAAACCCCACAGGAGACCGTGAACATCGCATTCCGATTCTCGCCCTCACCTGCGTCCGCATCGTTCGCTGCGTCGCTGGCCGTCGCACCCCGCCTGCGACACGTCCGGGCACTACTGCCCGCGGTGTGGAACAACACTCTACTCGAGATCTCGGCGAACCCGGCGCTGGAGCGCATCCAGCTCACGCCCGACACCGAGCTCATCGGGGCGCACCTGTTCCTGTCGGAGGCGCGCAAGCACGCGCGGCTGATAGAGCTGATCCGCGCAGGGACGCCCATCATGCGTATGCGGGCGCGCACGACGACCGCGGTGCCTATGTCCGCGCCAGTCTCCGTCTCGCCGACGTCGCAGGCACCGTATCAGCAGCGCACGAACGCGCGACGCACGAAGGCCGAGCAAACGTACGTGGGTCAGCGCGACGGGGTGCCGCTGCTGGTGTCGCCGGCAGTGCGGAGCGCGCCTGCTGGGCGCAGGATGAGCGCCGTGTAGATGGTGCGACGCGCTGTTACTGCAGCTCCGCAGGAGACACTAGCCGCCATTCAGTCGCTCCAAAGCGTGAAAACGCCTGACAGATGTATCATAGCAGCCAATCTAAGCAAAACCACCATGGCACAGCGACGATCACCTCGAAGCTGCCCGACCGCGCCAGATACCCCGTGCCCCGCGCATGCCACATACCCGCTCTCTGATATCCCTTGCTCTTCACGGACCTGCGACGCGTTTACGTTTCTGTTTATCTGCCTAATGCTGGCTTCTGCTTGTTTGGGTTATACGGACGATTTGGGCATGTGGCGTTCCTTCCTCTCTTCTGGTGACTGTCGCTTCTCGTGTGTACAAACTAATGAGCCTTGTAATGTCTTCTGCGTCGCTTTGTCGCCTGCTTCGGACTTGGCCCTGCGCCTTTGCGAACTCGTATAGAATCTATCCCCCTGTCCTACCGCCCCGTGCGTCGGATCGTAGTGTACATAATCTGTGTTTATTCGTATATAGAGCCTAATCATCATTCTGCATCGTGCCCGAAGAGGCCGCTTCTTTGATTTCTGGGGGCGAGCGAACGAGTGAACAAGCGGATATCAGATGGGGGCGTGTATCACTTCTAACTCAGACCGAAAGTACGTTGCACCAATCTATGTGCAAGTACCGTGGTTGAAGATGTTCCGTCGCGATCGCGCGGTAACTATATCGCGTGTACCCGTATTGACTACTTATATTATATGATAGTGATTATTTGGTCCGTTGCGTAATGTGCTACGTTACAGGGCGAGTCAAATTGCGGGGCGGATGTGCGGCGGAGGTGAGCAGAGATGACGAATTGAGGAAATGGAAGCTGGGCTGCCCTAGCGCACAATTTGTAGAGATGGGAAGATATGTGCGGCGGGGACGGCAGGATCTCTGCAGGGCGACAGCGGGTCTGGGGAGATGTGCCATGATGGGCTGGCTGATGCTCGGAAGCAGATCGCATCGAGAAGGGGCGTCGCTGCTGTCTCCCCGGCATCACTGGACTCGACCGTCTGCATCACCCACGCTACGATCGTGAACCTTGTCCTGGGGGTGCCGGCGGCAGAGACTAGGTTTGGGCAAATTAGGTTCGCTGCGCGAACGTGCCCGCGGTGATCGAGGCGAGATAGCGTTCAAGTTCGTCGTCGACCGACAACGTTGTTTGGCAGCTGTCACACGGGGGGGCACATCACCTGTGTCGTTTCGTTTTCATGCTGGCGCGAGGGCGGTGCGTTGCAAATACCGCTCAGACAGGTTTGGTGGCCGGTGCAGCTGTTGCTCGAGGGCTCGCAGCGCACAGCTTGCCAATTGAGGCAGCGACCGTGATGGGAGGTCAATCGGACAGCGCTAATGATGCCTGATGGCAGGCGTAGGATCGGGCAGACAGGTTGCCACTTGGAGTCGATGGGTGGACTTAGGGTCATCGGTGTCCTCGGTGCCCATCAGGCCAGGGCAAGCCGGAGTGCGTCGCTGCGGTGGTGACCGCTTAGCCCGGATGCCATGCAGCTGCCGTACAAGCCCAGGCAGCAAAGCAAATTGATGAAACGAGGGGCATAGAAAACGCAACACGACTCGGATCGCAGCTTCAGCATGCATTTTGCGTTTCCATATCGCTACCAGAGGCCGCGTCAGGATGTGGCGTGCACGATGTCAAGCTCAGATCGGCCGTGCATGGATCGCACTCCTTCTGGCTTGGCACAGATCCGATGCACAGATGGGCCGCCGGCACGACAGAAGCCTCCTTTTCCTCTCTTTCTAGAAATCGCCGACGCCGGGGACGACGCTCGGGAGACGAAGACGCGCTAGAACAAAGAGGGCAATTATGCCGGAGCATCGCGGCGCGGGTTACTAACGGCGGGCAAAGTTCCTTGCTCGCCGCTCGGAGGTTCCCTGATGCTGCCGACCGTAGTTGCATTGTCTAATTTGCAGTCACCGCCGCGGGCGACCGGCGAACCATACGAACGCCGGCGTAGAAAGCGTGTTGCGATGGGAAAGCCGCACGGGCCTGTGCGGTGAGCTGATGCCTATTTGCAAGCAAAGACACCGACACCTCGCGTGCCTCTGAGAATGCAGTCTCTTGAATCCGTGGGAGCGATGTGCAGGCCAAAGACGTACGTGCCATGTGTATGATGGCCTTCGCCTTCGGGAGCTGGCACCGACACACGTAAACGGACCGTCGTATAACACATTGGCTGTATATAGCAATCAGAGACGCGTTCGCGCAATCAAATGAAGGAAAGTTACCATATGTTCCTCCGATTGCTCGGAATGAATGGAATCTTGTTGGGGCTTCGTGAGAAAACCTGCAGTGACAGCTGTTATGTTTCTCAGGAGTGGATCAGCTACACGACAGGGTCCAAATGCCGCGGTAGAGGCCTTCCTCTACGATTTGCCAATAATTGCCCACTCTGCCCTGCCCGAGTCCTGTCTACATCACGACGCAGGATGCCGGCAACATTATATTATGTGAAAGAACAGCGACGGCTGCTCCGGGGGATTTGATTGTATAGGTTCTAGTGCAAATCATAAGAGTGCGGTATAAGCACACGCGCAACAGCGCGCTGGATTGTGCTCAGCACACGCCGCGCAGGCCGGCGGATCTGCTGGCCCCTGAAGTTTGGAGATGGAAGGATAAAGAAAAGGTATACGTTCCACTCACAGGGAGTAGTGATCTGACGCTCATAGACCAGCAGGAGCAGAAGGTGGCGTCCATGCTGGTCGCTGATTCCAGATGTTTATCAGACGGATACCCGAGGCCTGCGGAGGTCTCAAGAGATTATCGACGTCTGCAAGTCTCAGCAGACTAAACGCCCAGCTGTCCAGCACTTCGGGCTCTCAGGGTGCTGGCGTCGAGTGAAGTTTTACCATGGTGACCAGGCCATTACCGTCTGAGCAGAGCAATGCGCGAGTCGTATGAGTGATCCGTGCATTCGCAGAGCCGCCAAATGACTCTTTGGAAGAATGGTAATTACTTCGCCAACTGTGACCTACCATAGGACCCGCTGAACTTGAACTCGCCCGTGTCTGACCAGCGGATGTTGACGTCGGCACTCGTGATGCCCAGGGTGTCGTACCTATCCAGATCATACCAGCAGACGTGAGCCTGCACGCTTCGTCAGGCATAAGTCGCTCGTGCGCCGCACCTGACAGACGCCTCGCAGCTCCCGATGTGGCCCTCAAATTCCTCCCTGCTCATCTTCTTCTGCTTGAACTTGGGCGGCCCGCCAAGGCCCAGGAGCGCGCCGAACACCTCCGGGTCGGGACAGATCCCGTCGTACGCCCACTTCGCGGCACCGGTCTTGCAGGAGAGCTTCCACTGCATCGAGTCCTGCGTCAGCGCGCATACCAGCCACACACAGCTGTCAAAGAACGCACAGTCATCTGCTTCCTGATGCCGCTGTGCGCGGCCTTGCGGATCTTCTCTGCAGCAGCCTCGAGCTCCTCCTGTGTCTTTGCCCTCACCGTGCTAGACCCGGCATTAGAGATCGCCGCCGCGCCTGCGCCCTCCAGGGACCGCGCATATTCTGCGAGCGCCGCGAAAGAGGCACGGACCGCCACGGCGTCGTCGGGGATCGGAAACGCGTCCGGGTCCGCGAGGATTGTATGCACAAGCGCGGCGGCAGACGCGTGCGCGGTGCTGGCGCGCGCCTTTTTCGCTGGCGCCGAGGAATCCGCGTCGGATTTGCGTTTGGGAGGCATGCTGTGCAGGCTGGGAGAACGGAGTGGGACGGAGTGGGTGTGGTGGGCGGTGAGGGGCGAGGGACGAAAAACGTCGAGTGGCATCCCGCGACGCGTCGGGTCACGGTCGCGGAGATGACGCGTGACGTAACGCGCCTTGGCCTGTCTCGGACGCGTCACGCTCTCCCTTGAGATTTCCACTCTTTCAACGTGCAAGTGTTGCGGATATTTCTTAGTAAGCGATACGAGAATGTGAAGCTGAAATTCTAGCATCTCGTCGCTGTGCACGAGAACTAGCTGGCCCATATTGACTTGTGGCTCCACATTTGACCTTGAGTTTGACTTGCTGACGCGCCGCACGGTGGTGCAGTGCTGCTTGTCAGAGGTGAAGCCGACACCGTCAGACATAGCCTCTGCGACATTATCTCATACGCTGTATAGGGGGTGGTCTAGTATGCAAGATGCAGTGGTACCTGGCCTGACACTCGGCCGAGATACCACCGGGCCGATCCTTAGCGTCAGCCACACCGGTGCGTTGTGTACTCACGTCTTGACCGCTGACGTTCTGCTTTTGTTGTCCATGTCAGGCCAATGCTTGACACACCTCCACTGGACAGGCCGTCCCTGCAAGTGTCAGCGATAGGGAAAGATGGCAGAAGTGGTAGATGGCACTCGGGCCAACCACCACTCAGAACTCTAACAATAGACTCCACGGCTCGGCTGTGGCCCCAACCTGCCGTTTGTGGCACAAATTTGTGGCTCCCAGGCTGCGTTCCCCGACAAAACGCTGACATCCCTCTACCCACACATGAAATTTTTAAGCCACTGGCGCAGGGTGTTCCCTATACTGCCTGTCAGGATCGGAGCGCCGAGTGCCGCGGCAGACCGCTATCGTATTGTCTCAGGTCGGTGTATTTCTTCTCTTGCCCGTACGGCAGATTCCGATGGACCGTGCTGTATTGTGTTCGTGCACTGCCTTGTTCACAACTAAACTAAAAGCTGCGGATTCCATCTCGATGGTTGCGCCAAGAATCATTGAGGCAGCATTTAGGTGTTCTCGCACGAGCGTGTTGATGCAGTTGAATTATTGCACGTTATGAGCACTTATCCGGATGATAACCCTGACTTAGGTTGTCCGGTCAACATGGACCTAACTTACCGGGTAATCAGCCGGTAATTTACCCCCAGTCGAAATCCAGAGTTTAAATCTGTAAATCTGAGTGGCTCAGTGGAGCGAAGTAGTGTCCTGCCGGATTCCGACAAGATGTCCTGGCTGTGTCTTCGAAGGACAACAGGAGCGCGGAGTGTCAGTAAACATCGCGAACTCGGGCAAAGTTTGAGGACCTGGTCAATGTCGATACTTACTTACTTTGGACTGTTGATTTATGCTAATCAACAGGGGGTGGTTAATTAACCGTGTACATTTGCCCCCATCCCAGGCTGACTGCTAATTTAGGAATCAACGAGCAAATCCTAATCCACCGCCCCTAGCTGGCTGACCCACTGCCACTGAACAAGCTGCAACACCCTGAAGCAACAATTTTTATGCTCCGGAGGAGCTGAAAGTACTGGAACCGACCAACACGAGTTGTTCGCAAGTTGTGCCATTAGAAGAGCGGCTGGAGGCGACGGTTTAGGCAGGGACTTCAGGCTCAGCGGCCGGCGCTCAGAACTTGCTCGACGACGACCACGACGTTTCCGACATCGATGGACCCATTGAGCGTAGGCACTGAAGCAAGTGTCGCCCGACAATCGATCCTAGGCAGCCTTCTACGCACTCGACCGCGGGGCACATCGCAATCGCACCCCTCTCCCCCTGCCCACGAGTCAGCCGCGACAACAAGAGACTCTCCACCACCCACCGACCCTGCAACCGGCCACCGACGGCGTGCTGCAGCCCCCAACATCCAGAACTCGATATCGCAATCCAACTCGACCCCAGGATTCTCCCAGATGCTCCGCCGGCGACGCTCCGCAGGCACACTCGCCGCCAGCGCCACCCCACAGGTGCCCGTTGTCGCGCAGGCGCGCACGACCGTCGGCGCACTGTCTGCGAGCGCACCCAGCGGCGGGCAGGCGTTCCGTATCCGCCTCGTGCCGCACCTCGCCTCCCGCACCTCGCTGCGCTTCGACCCCATCTGTCGGGACGTGCGCGAGGGCGACCCAGCGCTCCGTATCGGGCGGTTCACAGATCGGTCAGGGCTGGGGCTCGCGGCGGCGAACGCACTCGGGTCGCACAAGCTGGCGTTCAAGAGCAAAGTCGTCTCGCGGGCGCACGCGGAGATTTGGGTAGAAGCGGGCGGGCGATTCTTCATCAAGGACACCAAGTCGAGCAGCGGGACGTTCCTGAACCATGTGCGGCTGTCGGCGGCGGGGACGGAGTCGTCCCCAAGCGAGCTGCGCGATGGCGACCTGCTCCAGCTGGGTGTGGACTACCAGGGCGGAAACGAGGACATTTACAAGTGCGTGAAAATCAAGATTGAGATGGGGCGGGAATGGCAGGCGCACGCAAATCCGTTCAAGTGAGTGCAGTCCCGCTGTGCATCGCGATGGAGGAGAAGGCTCATGTTCCTCCAGCGCCAACGCTCTTAAGCAGCTGAAGGCAATCGCTATACCACATGCAAGCCCTCTGGAGAAGAAGACGGCACCCAAATCCGCATTGCCAGATTGCTGTATTTGTAAGTCCATATCCTACATGGATATCCTCATATACCGACATTGCCTCCCTCCAGGCCTGTTCGGCGTCACCATCAACCAGGCGCTCTTCATCGCCCCCTGCTCGCATGCCTTCCACTACAAGTGCATCCGACCACTCCTCGAGACACATCATCCGGCTTTCTCCTGTCCTCTTTGTCGGACATTCGCAAATCTCGAGGAAGACGTAGAGGTCGAGATCGAGGGCGAGGTCGACACGGAGTCTATTGCGGACGTCTCCGCAGCTATCGCCTCTGTTGTGGCCGTAGAGCGGCCAAACACCGGGGACGGAAGCAGCCGTGAGCGTGAGCGCGACCGAGACGCAGGCGCCGAGACCGAGGTTGAGGCCGACACTGGCATGTCCCGGCGCGGGCGACGGATGCCTGGCAACGGCGCGGCGCCAGCATATATGCTCGAGCCCGACGTACACGTGATGGCGGAGGACGTGGATGAGGAGATGGACGACGCGGCGGTGCTGCCGCCGCTGCCGGAAGGCTCGCCCCTGCTTACGGCGCAGGAGTGGGCACACGATATAGTGCGCGAGGCGTCGGCGTCGCCGATACTGGTGCCCCCGCCGGCACACGCGCAGGGCGAGTACAGCGAGGGTGAGGGCGAAGGCAGTGGCGAGGGCGGGAGCGAGGGGAGTACTGGCGGGCTAGTAGGCGGCGAGGCGGCGCATGGGAAGCGCAAGCGATGAGCCGCGGCCCCTGGTCTGCTAGCGATGTGCCTGGTATGTGCTCGCCTTGCATCCCATCCTACACTTTCCTTTTGCGCGGTTTCTGCGCGGCTCCTCCCCTTCTGCCTCGCTCAAGCCCATCTATTTCACCTTTATGTTTGGTCATTCGCGTCGCTCATTGTACACCTCCGCATTAGATGATACCTGGTGCTTGTATTATATGCTCTTGGCCTTCCACGCATTCTCTATTCACCGTAACGATACTTAACCGGGCCTGGCACATATCTCTACCATCGCGACAGACGGCCGACCTGCCCTATAAGATGCGTACACTCATACACCACGGATATTACGACCTTTATTTCCTTCCCGCCTCCTTTCCTCTTCTCGGTACTAAATCGTAATCATGTTATGTTATGGCCTCGTTTCTCCTGCGTCTGTCTGCATAGTCCGAGTCAAGCATTCTTGTAGGATACATTATGTTCACGCTAGTTAGACCCGTATTATATGTCTTGAGCACTGCTTGCACGGATGCACTCTTAGGACGTCAACTGCATATCGAGTGGGAGCGCGGCCGCTCATCATATCGTCGATGCTGTGTATATGTCTGGATCGTGGGCAGAGTTTGGCAGATGATGGTTTCGGCTGGGGATATCAGGTCAGTCGTGTTCTTGCCTCTGTTCTCGCCTGAGACTGAATACAACTTGCTGTCATGAAGTTCGCAGCGTGATAAACAAACGCAGCAAAGGACGTCTTCATGGACACCCTCGCTGAGATAGAGCTTCAAGCTTCAAGGCGTTATCTCCACGCTTTGGTTGTAGGGGATGTGCCAGAGGAAAGAGCAAGTTCTAAAATTTACGATAAAATCTGCATCATGATGAATCAATTCCACGGAGTAGCCAACAAGCTGATCTTACTCACCCAATCCTGCCCTGACAAGATCAAGCCATACATCCAGGTTAACCGCACTGCATGATGATGCTAACTTATGGTCTGGATCACAAGCCTGCGCTCGGTAGTAGATTCTGATACCCATACTGCGGGTTCAATGCAAGTCTCTGGATGCCTTACGCTGTCATCGGTTCACGTTTCTCATACGTGATATGAATATAAAAGGACTCTGTGAACAATGTGTAGCTGATGCGCCAGAGGGACATTGCCGACGGAGGCGCTGGAGGGCCAGTCACTGGGCGCTGAGGCGCATCGACAGGTTTCCCTTTGCTCTGTTCTTTCTGCTCTGCCTGGCCAGCGTCCCTCCTCCTCCTCCCAGACTCGCCTCACCGAGTGTGAGCCCTGTACACGCTGCGCCGAGTGGTCCAGCGCGACCAGAACGCGTCCTTCATTCACGTCTCTTCCCTTTCTCGATTCCACTTTCTCCCTCCCCGACCCGGTAACCCGCCGCAATCCCCGCCGTGCGCGCGGATAATCGTTCTTCAGATCCCTTCCTACCCCACCCCGTGAGCCCCGCCAGAGCGCGTGCATCATGTCTGCGTCGGCGTCGTCATCATCGTCTCCGCCGTCGACCTCGGGCGGCGCGGGGCCCAGCTCGCAGGGCGTACGGCCATCCCTCGAGAACGGGAACGAGCAGAACAGGTGAGCCGCGCAGCCTCTGCCGTGCGAGTGAGTGCTGAGGCGTGCGGCAGCGTGGTGATCAAGGTCGGCATGCTGGGCGACTCGCAGATCGGCAAGACCAGTCTGATGGTCAAGTACGTCGAGGGGCACTTTGACGAGGACTACATCCAGACGCTAGGTGCGTCTGCTGCGGTTGGCTGGTGGTACTTGTCCTTGCTCACGCTCAAGGGACCCTGACCACGCACAGGCGTCAACTTCATGGAGAAGACGATCACTGTGCGCCGTACATCGATCACGTTCTCGCTGTGGGATCTCGGCGGGCAGCGCGAGTTCGTGAACATGCTTCCGCTCGTGTGCAACGATGCGGTCGCAATCCTGTTCATGTTCGACCTCTCGCGCAAATCGACGCTTAACTCGGTCAAGGAGTGGTATCGGCAAGCGCGCGGGTTCAACAAGGTGCGTGCGTGCCTCTTGTTCGGTTTAGGTCGTGCGCTCGGGCAGCGGACTATGGCGGTTGCGACGGGGAGGTATTCTGGGAGCAGCTGAAGACGGAAGGGGAGGCTCGTGTGTCGTCTGCGGGCAAAGGTCATTATACCCGCGTCGAAATGACATCACTAGCTGTTCTTCGGACGCAACGATACAAAAGGGCTATATTGTTCTTTTGCGCCGCGTATCCGCTCGCCACCGGAGTACATCGACGTCTTGTTCCGTGATACTGGGCGGCGCATCATCCGGATTCCGCCACCGCTCGTTCCCGTCGCTGCGCCCTCGACTGCAACATGCGGCGCGCGCAATGACTGATGATGTATTAAACAGACCGCGATACCATTCCTGATCGGCACCAAGTTCGACACCTTCTCGACATTTCCGCGGGACGAACAGGAGGAGATCACGAAGCAGGTACGTCCGCCATTGCTCTCTTCCGCTATTTGTTTCTTGCGTCCGGCTCTTCCCAATGGCGTGTGACTCATGCACTTGTTGTGGCGCAGGCGAAACGCTTCGCGAAGGCGATGCACGCGTCGGTCATCTTCTGCTCGACGTCGGCGTCGATCAACGTGCAGAAGATATTCAAGATCGTGCTCGCGAAGGCGTTTGATCTCAAATGCGTCATCCCCGAGATCGACGGCGTCGGCGAGCCGATCCTCATGTACGTCGATGTATAGCCCCGCAGGCGATGGGCGCGGGACGGGAGAGCAAGCGGGCAGGCGGGCGGGGGAGTGGGAGACGTGAAAAGACAGAAAGAAAGAAAGCGGGCACGAGGTGGGCGGCCGCGGTCCTGTCATTGTTATACGGTGTGTGCTGAATACGGACTCTGGAATGGCACGCTGCTGCGGTTGGTGTGTATGCTATGTCGGCAGGTCGTACCTCTGCCCGGAGTGCCCGCCCTAGGCCCGCCGGCCTGCGCGGGAGGCGATATGGACATTGCGCGAATCTCTCACCTCTCCCCCTAACTCTACATCCGTCGCCCGTTTCCCGTGTGCGCCTCGTTCTCCTCCTCTCCTCTCCTCTAATCCTGTATGTCGCTGTGGCTGGTCTGTCTTGTCTGCCCACTGCGCCTATCTCTGTTTACGTTCGGCATGCTCATACCCGCCGCCCACTGTACCGCCTACACGTACCGCATCCCCCCTGTTCCCCGTACTCGTACCTACACCCCGTATCCCCCGTCGCGCGCCTTCGTCCCCGTTATCGTATCGATCATGTTCTGCTGTTGGTTCCCGTCGCGTGCTCACTGTTGTCGCTTGTCCACTAGTCCGCTAGTCCGCTGTCCATTATCCACCACTGCTGTCGCACCTTATCCTATGCTCGTCGCCTGCATCTGCATACCTATATAATGTCACACTGCTCTGCTTGTGCTGCATTGGCGCTATTTCTGTGTTGTGTTGCGGATGTGTGGGCCGAGCCTTTGGCGCTTCTGTTTAGCGTAGCTAGCAGCGGGGACCTTGAGATGGCCCCTTAAGGCCTTATGGCCGGCACGGATGCTAACGCAGCATTAATGAGCCCAGTAGAGCGCAAGTCGACGCGCACGCGCGTCTTACTAGACGCGGTCACATGTTCCGTGTAGGCGCCGAATGCCCATTCACTTTGCTTAGCGCTGCTCTCTGATAGCGCGCATCATCACGATCATATGCATCGACCATGCGGGGGCCTCTCTGCCCGTCTCCTGCGCCGTCTTGCACAACCGTAAAGATATGTACGGTGCATGCATAGCTGCCTGACTGGGCATCCTGGCCGCAGTCGGGGCGTTCTCGCTCAGGTGAGGCAAGCTTGCGCACTTATCTCGTCTGCGGCGTGCGCGGCCACACGGACCCTTCTCGGTGCGAATAGCGCTGATATATGCGCGGTATCTCGGGAAGGCGAAAGGGGCACTACTGGCCTTGAGGCTCAGCGCTCATGCTCGTTGACGTCAAGATAGGCTGCGAAGTCCTGCGTCTGCGCCAAGACAGACATGGGTGGTTGGACGGTGAGTGCGAGGTCTCACGCCGGAGCTATCCCAGCGTACATCCGCGTTTTTGCTCGTCCCGGCGTTCACTGGCTGTCGTGTATCATCGGACCGGATGGGAGGTGAGCAGAACGCCGTTTGCGCCATCACTGTTGGGTTTGATCGCACGCGTGCGTATTGGATCCGGGCCAAGTGGGGGTTTATAGCGATCGGACGACGATCATGGTTGCTCGTGGCCGGGAATGCCACGCCTTATATGTGCTCCTGGGGTAGTGTGCCTGCCTCGCGCCGTGGTCGTCGTCCTCGCCAGCGCGCGCGCTCTCTCACAGCAGTTCAATAGGCAGGTCTATCGCAGGATTCCGCTTATCGTGTGACCCGCCGTAGCTGCTCTGCGAGACTCGCTCTCAGTAAACGGGCGTCGCGCTCGATACTCATCGCTGTGGGCATGCTCATTGCGCACGCGATCAGGCATTTTCGATATCGTCCATACGTGCCGCAGACGCTGTCACTCATTCGTATTCACAGATCGCCTATCTATATGACTATGTATGGCGAGAGGATTCTCGCGGCGGCGCTGCCTCCATGTGCTCTTGCCATCAACTGATCAAGTATCACGGTGCGCTTTCAGGGCACCAGCGTCCCCCTATGGCACACGACGCCCGGCCTTCAGCTTTGTTTACCTGGTTTTGAAGTCGCAAGCTTGCGCGTCGGTGCTGCTAAAAACGACGTGTGAAGGCGCTGGCGTGCATTTATGGGTCCTGGGCGCGGCGTACGCCACGTCTGCTTCGAACCTGTCTTTCCGGCGATGCTAACGCTATCCGAGCTGGGTTGCTTCGGGCATGTGCTCAGATAGAGTGCCTTCAGGTCGCCATGGGTGGTCGTCGCTCACCAGAATCATTGCATCCGGCCTTATCACTGATATTCATGGCTTGTCTTCCTCGATAGTCTATTCCCAGAGACTCCCAGCCGTGTGCTCTCGCCAGCCGCACGCCACCCGATAGGCCCGCGGCTCGCTGCCTCTGCCAGACGTCCTGTGGTCGCTCGATTAGTGTGTTGTGCGGCGGGCGTGCAGGCACCCTCGAGGAGCTCCGTCTGTCCAAATGCAACGCTAATTGCGTGCCCTCCCTCCGTCCTACCCTGCCGGAGCGCACGTCCACCTTCCACACCGCGTTTACCCAGACCGGATTGTCCGTCCACCGTGCGGATCCCCCAGTCTCATGCACGCGCGAGCACGCTGTGCGTGCCTTTTCCGGCCCTGAGCGCCCTCTCGTGCGCGTGGTCGTCTGCTCGCCCGCTTCTGCATCTGTATCTCTGTTGCGCCGGGCCTTGCCTCGCGGTTCGCGAGATCACGCCGTGGCAGAAAGACCACCCGCGCGAACGCGGTACAAATAGCTCGTGCACGCAGCTTTGGGCTCCTCAGCCTCTGCCCCCGCCTCTGAGCGTCCTGCGCCTGCGCCCGAGCCCGACCACTGCCCCTGCGCCGTCTATTGTCGAGCCATGGCATCCCGCACGTCCCTCGGCCGCCTCTTCGTCATCGCAGGCGCGGCGCTCTGCGCGCTCGTGCTCGCCCCGACCGCGCACGCGACGCAGGTGATGCAGCGCCCCGCGGACTACAAGGAGCCGCCGCGCGAGTTCGCAACGGGAGACCCGACGCCGAATGTCGTGCGCAAGCGGGCAGACGACGGCTACATCCAGGCAGCATACTTCACGAACTGGTAAGTACCATAAGCATGTGCGAGCCCCGGAGCGGGGAACGAGCGAGTGAGTGATCGGCATCTGATCGTGCATCGAAATCGCAGGGGAATCTACGGCGCCAACTTCCGTGAGTGCCTCTGCTGGCGCTTCACTGATCGAGCCCCGCTGAATGGTGGCTGCTGCAATTAGAGCCGTCGAACATCACGCCGTCTGACCTGACGCACATTCTCTACGCGTTCGCGGACGTGTCCCCAGATACTGGCAACATCTCTCTCACCGACACGTATGCCGATGAGCAGGTATGGCGGAAACATCCTCGCCTGGGTTTGAATCGCTCACAGCCTTCGTCTATAAGAAACACTTCCCCGGAGACTCGTGGGACGAGACAGGCAACAACCTCTTCGGGTGTCTCAAGCAGGTAATCCTTGTCACCTCATTCCAATTTGTCGCGATTGCCTGAGCACGCGCTCGCCAGATGTACCTCCTCAAGCTCGCGAACCGCAACCTCAAGGTGCTCCTCTCCGTCGGCGGCTACACCTACTCGCAAGACGGGCACTTCTCGTTCGTGACCGACTCGAGCTTGCGCGCGACGTTCGTCACCAGCGCGGTGAGCTACATCGAGAACTTCGGGCTCGACGGGATCGACATCGACTTTGAGTACCCGGACACGCCCGCCCTCGCACAGGGCTTCGCGGACCTCCTCACGGAGCTGCGCACCGCGTTCGACGCGCTCGCGACGAGCAAGGGCGACACGGTGCCGTACCAGCTCACGGTGAGGGCGTTGTTGTCTGCGTCCCAGTCGTCCCACGTGGTTAACGAGGGTTGTGCAGGCGGCTGTATCGGCTGGATGGGACAACTATCAGTACATGCTCGTCCCGCAGATGGATGCCGCGCTGTCGTACTGGAACCTCATGGTCCGTCCCTGTTCATTTCTCTACATCGCGGAGATCATAAATAAGCACCTTTCGCAGGCATACGACTACGCCGGCTCTTGGCTGAACTATGTGAGTGGTACCCACCCTACGTCGTCATACGCGCCCTGACGGATCTCTTCTGTAGACTGCGAACCAAGGTGAATGAGACATGCGGATTCTACTACGGGACGAAGCGTATCTGACAGATGGGCACGTCAGCGAACTTGTACGACGCGTCACTGACGAACGTGTCTACGGACAAGGCGATCAAGTGGTACCTCGGGCAGGGCGCGACCCCCAGCAAGATCAACATGGGTACGTGCACCGTGCCGGGCTACCGCATTTGTATATGCGAGTATGCTATGAGCTAACGCGGAACGTTTTCACGTATAGGTATACCTCTCTATGGTCGTGCATTTGAGGAGACGCTGGGCATTGGTGACTCTTATGACGGCGTGAGTACCTTCACGGGCGCTGGGTTGTAGACATGCCGCTCACAGTGGCGCCTCGCAGGTCGGCCCGGGCACCACACAGGCGGGCATCTACTCGTACAGCGACCTCCCGCTCTCCGGGGCACAGGTCTACGAGAACTACACAGACGTCGCGAGCTACTCGTACGACTCGAGCAAGGAGGAGCTCGTGTCGTACGACACGCCAGACATTGTCGCCAAGAAGGCGCAGTACGTGATCAGCAACGGGCTTGCGGGCTCGATGTTCTGGGATGTGAGTGCCAGATTCGCGTAGAAATGAGTGGAGAGCACGACGTTGATGATAGTCGTGATAGCTCTCGACAGACAAGACCGGCTCCGAGTCGCTCGTGTACACCACCTCGCAGACGTACGGTAGCCTTGACCAGACGCAGAACCACATCGAGTAAGCCCTGAACGTCCATGTAGGCTGATGTAGGTAACTGTGTGCTGACGCCCATACGTGTGCATAGCTACCCGGACAGTGAATGGAACAACATCGCGAACAACATGGGTGAGAGCTCCAGCACCACGACCACGACCACGGCGACAGCGACCGCAACGGCGACGAGCTCGGCAGCGAGCGCGACTGGATCGTCGGCTGCGTGCGGCACCGCGAGTGCATGGAGCGCATCGGTGAGTGCCCTGTTAACTATCGTAAATACCCAGTGTTGACGGGTATTCAGGCGACGTACGTCGATGGCGATGACGTCTCATATAGTGAGTGTGGGCTCTGCTCTGGACGATGTCCACGAAGATTCTGATGTCACGCTGCACAGACGGCGACCTGTGGACGGCGAAGTGGTGGACTAACGGCGACACGCCGGGAGGCTCTGGTGAGTACCCGTTACTTCCGTTCCCGTGCATCGCAGGCTCAAGCAGATTGATAGCCGGTGTCTGGACGGATGACGGGGCGTGCTAAACCCGTTTCTTGACCCGCTCGCGCGAGTGGGAACGAGGCGTGGGGCGTTCACGCATCCACGAAAACTACGCTATGTATAAGTTATGTGCAAAGGGCAAGAATAGCTGGGAATATATCGAGTGTACAAATAACCCAACGTATCGTGCGAGTGTGAGCGTGCAGGACCCCCGGATGCTTGGGGGAAGAAATAGAACGGCAGAACGCGGGGCGCGAGCTGGGCGACGAAGCAGAGATGGCTTATGCATTACCCGGGCACCGGAGGGGCCTAGAGGTACAGCGACGAGCAGAATATGACCGAGTTGGGTCGCTCGAGCATCTCCGAGGCCTTCTCGAACTTCTCCTGCAGCTCGTTGTTCCCGATGACCTTCGCCGCCTGACTCATTTGCCGGATGAGCTCTTGCAGCCGGCGGAACACACGGATGAGGCTGCCTTCGAACTGATCCGTGAGCTGTGGGCGGCCGAGGGGGCGTGGGGTCAGACAAGACGTAGAAGGACGAAGGACAGAGGAACAAAGGGCGGACCTTGCAAATTTCAGCGAACGAAGCACCGCGGCACCATTGCACAACGGCGTCCATGAGCTCGACCTTGAACGACTTGACGTAGTCGTCTTCGCTGATGTCAAGTTTAGACTCCTTCGAAACCTTCGCTATCCGACGTGCCATTTCTTGCATGACACGCAGCGGGGCGGCGAGCTCCTCTTTGAGTTTCGTTACTTGCTCGCTCTACAGTGGAGGCGTATGAGTGACAGGTCATTTACGACTGTAATCACGCACCTTTTCCGTGAAGACGAAGCAGCTGAGCAGCCCAGCACATTGTTCAGGCGATAGTGGGTTGAAGACACCGTTGAAAATGAGCTCGGTCAGAAGTAGCTCGTCTCCGGTGCTGATCTCACAAGCGACTCGGCCCTTCATGTCGACAATATCCGCGGAAGTTGTAAACCCGAGACGGCGAAGGACGCGTTTTCGATTCTTCAGCTCTTCCATCTGAAGCACGTCGTTTGTCGCCTGTATCCGTTTCTTGAGTTCGCGTATCCGCGTCTGACATTCCTGCTTGTGCTTGTACTGCGTGTAGAGCTGCGGGAGTCGTGGGTCCTTGTGCATGGGGCTCGAGTGTAGCTTGCCTTCCATGACATCCATTTTCTACAGAAATAATTCTAGGTCAGTTGTCACAGAAGGCTTGATGAGTTGTACGAACCTTGACAAGGTCTCTGAACTTGTCGTCTTTGATGCCCATGTCCGTGATGGGATCCAGCAGGGGAATGCCTTCTGGTAGTCTGCGTTGGACTTCTTGTATACTCTTGTGCACCGTCTCTCTCGCCTGTGTAGAGCGCAGGTCTTTAGGCATATGTATCCGCAGTTTACTGATAGCCTCAAGAGTCGACAGCAGCACGGGGACCGCCAGAGCTTCTCCCTTCTGCCCTGAGGGACAAGGCTGCACACCGTCCGGAGTCGCGGTCGTCACATTACGGTCTTTTGGCAGGGCAGAATCCTTGGTGCAGTAAAGCACAACGTCGACGATGTACTGCTCATGCGGAGGGATATCCGAATAGTCCGCAATGGGGGCGTTCTGCGATAACAAAGACGTGAGTATGAGGGCACGTTGCCGCAGGGAAGAAAAGGCCGTGCCTTCGGTGGGAGCCGCTTCTGATAGTTGGCGATAACGCCCCAACCAAAATCCAACTCCTTGTATTTGACCCTGACCAGGCGGCCGGTCTGCATGAACGGCAGGCTGTAGTTCGGGTGTGTGATGACGTCCTTGAAGTCAGCGGCCATTTGGTCAAGCTGCTGCCGGTAGCCGTAATACTCCGCGACAAGCTCTTCGTCAGGGACCACCATTGATAGCTTCCGTTCCTCCTCGCGGAGCAGTTCTGACAGAATTCGTGTCAGCACGTCAGGGGGCCACAGGGACTAGGACAACAGCGGTAAAGGCACGCACCATCTTCTAGTAGAGGAACCCCCGCGCTGCTCTGGAACTGGAAGAAACACCGCTCCAGCATGAATTCCGGACTGATCCCCTCAACCTTCATTAGGTTCAGAACCATATTGTATCCGAGGTGGAACGCGGAGTCCAGACGGTCCGCCTCGCCCTTGATCATCTCCTTGGCGCCGCTCGGCTCAAGCTTCTCGTCGCACATCATGATGACGACGCCACGGTCATCTAGCCCACGACGTCCGGCACGTCCTGACATCTGGATGTACTCACCAGAGGAGAGATTACGGAACTCGCGGCCGTCATATTTGCGCGCAGCAGTAAAGACGACAGTCTTCGCGGGCATGTTCAAGCCGATGGAGAACGTCTCGGTTGCAAAAAGCACCTTGATAAGACCCTCCTGAAAGAGGATCTCAATGACCTCCTTGAGGATGGGGAGCAAACCGCCGTGGTGGATACCGATGCCACGCTTTAGGAGGGGTAGAAGGTTGGATATCTGTGGCAACTTGCGGTCGTCGGGGGAGAGGTTGTCGATGGCGTTGTTAAAGATATTTGTGACGAGGTCTTGCTCATCCGTAGAGTTGAACTCGAATTTGGACAGGGTGAGAGCAAGCGACTCGCACTCCCGCTTGCTGAACGCAAAAATGATCACCGGGTTGTAATTCTTGAGCATGATCATCTTCACAATTTTCTGGATGTCAGACGGGCCTACATGCAGTCAGCATGAGCGGCTCTATCGTCTTCAAATCGACCTACCTTTCTTTTCTCCGCCCTTTTTCGACTTCCCTTTCCTGCCCTTGCCGCTCTTTGGGTCGGCAGGGTCGTCGCCCATTTTGTCCTGCAACATGCCCATCGCCTTGCTGAAGTTGTCCTCCCGGAACTCGCCCTTCTCATTAACAACTAGGTATATGCCCTCGCCGCCTGCGGGGAAGAGATAATGCTGTAGCGGCGTCGGACGGAAGTCGGTATACACAACATGGCATGGTTGTTCGTGGGACTTGCAGATCCACTCAGCGAACTGCATCGCGTTGGGAATGGTGGCGGACAGGAACACATAGCGCACGGTATGTGGGAGGAGAATGATCGTCTCCTCCCATACAACGCCACGCTCCTTGTCCCGCATATAATGAATCTCGTCGAAGATCACCCAAGCGACTTCACGCATGATTTCGGATCCGCGATACAACATGGACCGAAGAATCTGTCAACTATCAGTGGGTGATGCGCGCACACACAACAAACAGACACACTTCGGTGGTCATAACTAGACATGTTGCAGACGGATTGATAGTAACATCTCCGGTCATCAGACCGACGTCTCCGAATTCGGCCAGCATTTCACGATATTTTTGATTGCTCAATGCCTATGGTAGATTTTCATTGGCAATCTGCACTGCATTCCAAAGACGCATAGTACTAGCCTTGATGGGACTCGTGTAAATCACACGCTGTTTGTTCTGCAGACATTGAGCAATGGCGTACTCTGCTACTACCGTCTTTCCAGCACTGGTATGCGCAGACACCAACACACTCTCATTCCTCTGGATGGCGTGAACAGACACTTGTTGGAACGGGTCCAAGGTAAACTTGTACTCCCTGGCTGGTTTTGCCGGAGGTACATGATTTGAAATCGGCACATAAGGATACCCTGGCGGCACCGCTACTTGGTGGCGCACCTTTGTGGGACTGCGTTAGGGTGTAGTAGAATGCCGTGGTATTCTGCAAACCCTCACCTGATGCTTGAGCTCAAGCCGAGAGCCAGCCTCTACTGCTCCTGTCAATCCCGCGCTTGCTGCAACTTCACGTTTCGCTTCGATCTCGACTTCATCCACGACCATGGGCTTGGGTGATCCTACGCGCGGCCTTTTTGAAGATGGACCTGCTTCCGGCTCGCCATTTTTTGCACTGCCATTTGTATGTGTAGCATCATTATTTATCCGTGGAGAGTTCTCTCTTTCCGGCGACGCAACTTTGCGCTTTCTTGTACTCTCCGAGGGAGGCTCACGGTCCATAGCATCGTCCTGGACGACTTCGTTCTCCTGGGGACCATCCTCTAGAAAGGAGAAGAGATCCATGCTGGAAAAGAAGAATAGTCGGTGCACTAGCCCAAGCTCAGAGAAGAGGTAAGCAAGTATGCAGCAAAGACACTTGTACAAGTGGTCTGCAAAATGACGGATGCGGCAAGTAATCCACGTGACGTAAGTATGCTGCGTCTAAAGAGTTATCGCCGCTGGTCCGCTGCTCGATCCCTCTAACCTTTTTCACGATGTATTTTCTGCCTTCGCGCCTATAATTCAAACAATGGATACTCGCGATATTCAGATTTCAAGGAAACATAGTACGAGGCCAGGTATAGTGCGTTCACGTTCAAATTCCTTCAGTGCAAGCCATCGCAATCAGTCGACTAGGTCTCTGGCGTGTACCTGCGGAGGTGGTGTACCAAAGGTTCATTCCAATAAAGATATACCCTTCACCAGAACAACAACCGTGCTACGTCAAAGAGCCACATGTTTTGGCGCACGTCGGCTCCCCGTCTCCCCAAGCTCGTCCGAGGCTTTCTTGCCGTGTTCTTTACAGACCCATCCGTGTGCTTCCATGGTGAGTGGATTGCTTCAAAGTCAAGCGCGATTTAACACGTTTCTGGACTGTATCAAAGGCTGACAGCATGTGGTCCTATTTCACAGTTGCGCAACCCGTTGTGTGACGTTTGTGTCTTAGAGTAGATGTACTGCGGCGGTCCCGCGCAGGATTCCCCCGAATGAATTGTGCTATGTAGGCTCGACATGTCCAGAGCCACCAAGAATGGCCGATTGTCTGCCCTGGGCAAATCCCATGCTTCACACGATCTCCCTTCTGGCCAGCATTAGATTCTGCCGAAAACGGAGTACCTCTTTCCCGGTTCCGACACCGTGTGTGTGGGGAGCATGCGTCGAACAAATGTTGCGGTCGAACGATCTGGCATCGTTACTTTTTGGGATGCCATGCGTCAGTACCGCACAGCCTATGTCTTCTCTTCTCACCGCTGACCCCGTTCCACCCGCTCTAAGCTCCGGTTGCAAATCTGTTCGTCACCGCAATTGTGATAGTAGGCGATGGGTCAGTGCAGGAGCTGCGCATGGCTAGCGTGCTTACGGGGGTGCGTACTGTTGTTCACATGTCCGTCCAGCGGACCTTGTGATCAGCTAGAGATATTGATGCAGATGTCAATAGCAAATGAGAATCCGACAAGGCACTTGCGGACGCCGTCTAGACTGACAAGCGCTCGTCTAGATTCCTATGGGCGAGACGAAGCGTAGCACTATCGATGCAGAATGGCGTTATTCCTGCAAAGTTGTGCTCCATCCACACGTTCCGTGAAGCTTCGTACTTGCACCAATTTACTCCAATGACCCGCCTAGACGTCTTAGCGATCACAGGCATCTCGATTGTTGGACCCATGACCAAAATAGCCCCTGTCAATTTCATGGTCTGTCTGATGCCTACGCATTCCTCACTTCCCTGCGCGTAACGCGATCTCACGCATGCGACCAATACCGGCTGCGGTGGACCGGGGCTGTTCTGCATTATCTGTTCATCTACAGTGAAGCTTAGAGCAAGTAGTCCGCGTGGGTCCTTTGTTCTTCATGGCAATGACTTACTTCAGCCAGAGAATCTTTGATTGTTCAGCTACGCATTCGCGAGCTCCGAGACAATGCTCCCGACGACGTCCACGAATCATGAGAAACGTGTTCCAGACGTGCTTCCTATCTCTATCATTGGCGTGGGGATCGGGTCAGCTTGGCAGTGTGTGCCTCGGTTTCTCGGGTGCGGCACATCGTTCAGGGCGGCCGTGAACCGCACAGGAGGCGTAGGTGACCCGCTTGGTCACGATTACTGGGGTTGCTCAGGTGAGCCATCTGCAATCTGTCGTGATGGACAAGGGCGCCTTCTGACCCAGCAATTGGTCCTCGACGCCCCAGCGGCAGTGGACAACAGGTCACGTCGATATCCAAACCGACGGATGCAAGCGTTTACAATTCCGTGAGCCAGGAGAGGCTGCTGACACAGGACCACGTGACCGTACAGTAGGGGCTCACAGTTGCACTTAGTAAATGGGTACGAGGAAGACAGAACGCGTCTCCGTGACCAGCTGACACGGTGCTTCCTGGACACTCCTAGGAAGAGATCACAATCGCTGTGAAGAATGTGGGAGAAGGCCGCCGCAATACAAATAGCTTCCCACCGCAGTCCCACAAGTTCCTCGTCTTCCCCTCTTCCGTATCGACCCTCTCCCTCCATCCACTTGAGAAGAGAATCTTTGCGTGATGCCTTCTAAGCAGGTCTTCAGCACCCAGGACAACGCTGTCTACACCACCTCCGTTGGTGCGCCCGTAGCCCAGCCGTACGCCGCCCAGCGTATCGGGAGCGTCGGTCCTCTACTCATCCAGGGTGCGTTGTCTATCTTCGCGCATCAAGCATGGACTAACGCGAGACCTTGCAGACTTCCACCACATTGACCTCCTTGCGCACTTTGACCGCGAGCGTATCCCCGGTATGCGCAACGCCCCTGTCTTATGCAGTGCGGAGCAATGTATTCACTGTTCTCTCTCCAGAGCGTGTCGTACATGCGAAGGGTGCCGGTGCTCACGGCTACTTCGAGGTGACCCACGACATCACGGACTTGTCCTGTGCGTCGATCTTCTCCAAGGTCGGTAACAAGGCGAGGGCAACTGTTCGGTTCTCGACTGTTGGTGGTGAATCTGGGTCGCCAGACACTGCCCGCGACCCAAGAGGTACAGCTCAGTCCAATTGTGTGTGGAGCAAGTCGCTCATGCTATCGCTGCACAGGATTCGCGATCAAGATCAAGACTGATGAGGGGAACCTCGACTGGGTGTTCAACAACACGCCCGTCTTCTTCATCAGGGATCCAGCAAAATTCCCCCACTTCATCCACACACAGAAGCGCGACCCACAGACGCACCTCAAGGATGCGGACATGTTTTGGGTGCGCTTTATTTATGTAAGATCCTGTAATGCCAGGCTAAACCCTGTCGCCTGCAGGACTATCTCTCCCTCAACCCGGAGTCGATCCACCAAGTCATGATTCTCTTCTCCGACCGCGGGCACCCGGACGGTTACCACAACATGCATGCTTACTCCGGCCACACGTTTAAGTTCGTCAACAAGGATGGCAAATTCCACTACGTTCAAATCCATTTCCTGAAGGATGGCGGTGCTAAGTCTCTGACGGAGCCCGAGGCTGGTCGTCTTGCGGGTGAGAACCCCGACTACGGTATTCAGTCCCTGTTCGAGGCTATTGAAGAGGGCAACTACCCATCCTGGACGGGCTATGTGGTACGTAGCAAGTGAATACTGTGCCATATTGACTTAAACTGAGTGTATGTTTTAGCAAACGATGACTGCGGAGCAGGCGGAGAAATTCCGCTACAACATTCTCGACCTGACGAAGGTCTGGTCGCACAAGGAATTCCCGCTCCGTCCCTTCGGCAAGCTCGTCTTGAATGAGAATCCGCAGAACTACTTCGCCGAGATCGAGCAGGCTGCCTTCTCGCCATCGCATACTGTTCCCGGTATCGAGCCCTCCGCCGATCCCGTTCTCCAATCTCGTCTCTTCTCTTACCCCGACACCCACAGGTGTGCATTTTCTTTCTTCAGCAGATCGTCACTTGATTCTAATTGATCTACGACAGACACCGTCTGGGTACGAACTACAACCAGCTGCCAGTCAACGCACCCGTTGCACCTGTCGCGAACTTCCAGCGTGACGGTGCCATGACGTTCGTCAGCCAGGGTGCGCGCCCGAACTATCAGAGCAGCTTGGTTCCCCTCAAGTACAAGCCGAAGGCGTACGAGGAGGTTAAGCACGAGACGTGGCTCGGCCATGCGAACGCCGATCTCAGCTTCGTCACAGAGCGTACGTCATAATCGATGAGATCTTCATGAGACGGCAGCTGACGCTCTCGCGTGCAGTTGACTTCGAGCAGCCCCGTGCACTCTACCAGAAAGTGTTCAGTGAGACCGACCGCGAGCACCTTGTGCACAACATCAAGGTGCACCTGCGCAATGCGAAGAGCATCGAGGTCAAGAACCGGACGAGTATGATTGATCCTTACAATTTTCTGTTGTACGATGCTGACCATAAACTCGTACTATAGTCTCTGTATGGGCTGCCGTCGACCAGTCGCTCGGCGACCGCATCGCGGCTGCGATCGGCGTGGCGCCCGTCCCTGCCCTGAAGGTTGCGCCCGCGTCCGAGGCGATCCGCTTCAAGACCTTCGCTTGAGCTGTGAGTGCCTGGGTCCTGTGGTCGTAGAAGTTCACACTTTGTCTTTGTATCGCATTCCCGTGTGCAATTGTTCTGTAAACCAGGGAGAATTGTCAATAAATCATTGTATTGCTCGCATGTTAGGCCTGAGCTTTGAGCTCCTTGTCCGGCGAATACATCGTCGGTCTGTTTATGAAATAAAACGAGGAACTGTATCATCGTTGTCTGATGACTTCCGCGATGTGACACGGCCCGCAAGTGGAATATCGTGAGCACTAACTGCTACGACCGGTGGATATGGCCCCCAATGATTTCAAGACCCACAATGTGAATTTGCACTTCAGGTATACTCGTGTATACCGAGTGTGTACAGTACGTGCTCAATTGAGCTACCCATGGTTGGAACACTCGTGGTCGCTCAGACGACTTCATGCTACACGGACATATACCCAGACTTGCAAGCCCAATTGTCAACACAATCTAGACTACTAGTCACGTTCCGCGACGGTGTGTAAAACTTACTATTACTAGTTCTGATCCTACCTTCTAGGGCCACTAACGTCGCACGCTGGGCGTGTTCTACTTCATGTAAGCAAAGGGCCACAGTTCAGCAGACCTTCATGTTGTGTGGCTGATCAGAAATAGGCTATCGTCGAATCTGACACAACACTTTCTCATTTGCATCCGCAAAGCTGCGGAACGATCTACCCATGGTTTCGGCAGCATATCGCTGTCCTTTGTTGATACCTCACAATCGTGGCTTAACAGCATAGACATTTGCTGTGGACCTCATGACTGGCATCGAGCATGCTCACAATATTGATGGACTCTTCGACTGTGAAACCGACCCGTATGATGCAGGATACGCAGGCACACCGTCTGACGAAGACAAAATAGGACTAGGGGACTCCAGGCCGGCTGAACAGTAGCTTGATATTCGTGGTAGCGCAAATGCATGATCTTCTTAGGTCGCAAACATAGGTACTTGACACCGGTGAGCACGTTGAAACGCTAGGGAGTGATTTCGATGGTCCTCAAGTCGCCACCTGTAATGTCAAGGAGAAGTCAACGGGTAAGGGTATGTCTGCCAGTCCCAATCCGTGTACCCCATGTCGCCTTGGGGGTGATACGCCACTCACTCGAGCACGGCGGGGGCGAAGTAAGACCAATATGTAGACCATGAGAAAGCGAGAGCATGTAATTGCCGTCATAGTCGTCATATGCGATACAGTGCGAGGAAAGGATAGTGTAAACAACGATCATACGACAGTACCCGCGTTAGATGCAATACGCGGCCAGAGATCCGCCTATGAGCAGCACAAACCACGTCAATTTCAGTGCACTGATGGAGAGATCTAGTCAGCACGTACACATTCTTTTGCTACTGGTCCTGTGATGGCTGAGCCCTTCATCTCACCCTTGGGGTTGACGATCACACCCGCGTTGTCCTAAACAGGCGTCAGCTGTTGCTACTATGTGAAAAATGGAATGTTGAACATACCTCGAAGTAGAGGACGAGACCCTCTCTCCGTCGCCACGCCTTGCGCTGGCGGACAACCACAACAGGCATCGCTGCACAGTTCGCCGTCAGATATTCTTCCATGGACCTCGCTTGAGTGCATATACGCACTCTTCTTCCTGAGCTCAGGCTTTCCCTTCTTGACGGACGCGACGACCATGTCGCCTACACCGGCATCAGGGAGACGGTTAAGGTGCGAGCCAGTGCCGAACGCCTCAATGACGAAGAGCGACTTGGCACCGCTGTTGTCCGCGCAGTTGAGTACGGCGCCCGTGGGCAGACCGAGAGTCAGACGGAACTTGTTTCCAGATGCACCCGAGCCTGGTCAGCGACCGTCAAAAGGTCGGGAGTGCGTGGGTGGTATAACAGGAAGTTTAGAGATCATTGGCATAAGACGAAGTCCAATCGTTGAGCATAACGAGAAAGTCGTCCAGGTAGCAAGGTAGTGCAAAGAGCGACATAGGTCCGACGATGCGTGAGATGGCGAGCACGACGAGTATGCGAGGGCACTCACCGCGCTTAGACATTTTGCTTGAAGACTTGCTGAAGTTGCTGGTGCCGCGCCGCTGCGTACAATCACTTGCTGCAAGGTTTCCTGCCGAGCCTTGCCGAAGCTATCTGTACAGTTCTTCGGTAGTCGCCGCAATGAGGCAATTACCTTTTACGGGCTGCTACAAGCGCCCGTAGCTCTTCTGCAAGAAGCCCAATATTAATGTATGATCGCAGATTCAGTATTCGCTCTATGCCCACCACAAAATACTTCACCCGGAGAAGACGGTAACTATGAACATCCTGTTCTAGGTACAATTTGAATTACGGGTGTAGAAACCTGTAATTCGCAATGTCTTGACTTCGTTCTCGATACAACTCTGTCTCCTCTCAACCATAGGGGCTTCCATTTTGACACGTATCAGTGGTAACTGCACCGTGTGGTATGTCATGGTGGACCGGAGAGATTCCAATGTAACCGAGTAGTGGCGAGCTAAAGATCATCGGTACCGCCGACAGTTAATCTTGGCATTTCCTGGTGACAGGGTGTGCGCCCCCCCTCCTCTATGTGAACACCTGCTACTTGCCCATGCGTATTGCTCGTCAAGCTCGAGATTCGCGAGGTCTGCCTTTCGTTGTCAGCTGTCACAGCAGTTGTACCCCAACCAGGGGGAGGGGTCAGTCACATCGTTCCCATTCATGAGTGAATTGTAGGTGTTAGTGGGCGCGTTATAGATCGTTCCGATCTGCAGATGTAGCGTGATACATAATTCGCCAAGGTTAAAGTAGGTTAAAGTGTGCACTATGTCACAACTTTGACGTTGTGAGTGTGTCGTTGAACTGAGAAGACTTGATTCCTTTCTCTCTGGGACAAAATGCTGAAGAGACTCTCGAGCTCCCTGGCGGGGAGTCGAACCCCGCTTTCGCGCGGCCCAATGACAGGCGCGTGTACTAACCGATATACTACCAGGGATTGGGTTACGTCACGGATATTGATACAGAAAGAACATAACTCAAGGTCCCGTCCATCCATCAGATAATTGCGCGTTCGCGCCTGTTCGCGCTCTCTCTTGATCTTCATCCACCCCGCACCGTAGACTACCTTGACGGAGGTGCAACCTACACTGCATTAGACCCTGTAAGTACTGATCATTCGTCGATATTCTACCCAGAGGGAGATCATGAACATCTCTCAGGCGGGTAGCGCTCCGTCTCGAAATTGAAGTCAATGACGTTGGCACTGTCCCTCACCTTTTCTGGGCTGACCGCAAGCATCCCGTTCTTACAATCGTAAGTTTATCGTTTCGACACCCTGTTCTCAGCTGGCGCATAGAATCCTATGTCGAAAGGCATATGACTCTCGCAAACGATTTGCCATCAGCTTCGCTGGGCGACGTTGTTCTCCAGATGGCATATACCTGTTTGATCTGAGCCGATCTCTGAACGTCATCGTACTTGTTTGCAGTCCGATGTATCTCAGACGCATGCACTTCTGCATCGTGCCTTAGGATCTCCTTGTGGTATCGGAATTACCATCAGACAATGAATCTCTATTGGTTTACAGCGAAGCGTTAACTGGCAAGCAAGTCGAAAGCAACACATAACTACGTCAACAGAGCTCGGGGCCGCGTGCAACGCTACTGGGGCATTCCCAGCGGGGTATATGGGTATCTTGTATGCAGGGTATCGGGTATATGCACGAAGCGGGTATACTGACGTGCGCGCGAGCAGACTGTGAAGAACTAATGGTGAGAATGATGAATGGTGGAGTTCAAGGCGGACGAAGGGGACTTACAGCAAGGGAACCAGAAAGCGAGTGGATGGGCACGAGGATTGATGATTGAAAATGAAGACGTGGAAAAACCCGGACGAGGAGACCACGCATCAAACAGCAATCTGGAACTCCTCGGTGAGCATTCCTGATGTCCTGCGAAACAGTCTCTCTTACCGGCTTCAGGTCCGGCCTATTTGGGAGCTCCTTTACGCTTGCGACCATTGCTGCGGCTGTGGTCTTGGTGTTCTACTGACGTTCCACCTACGGGCTCCTCCACCGGCTCGTGTTGCAGGACCTCGGCGCCCACGAACGCGACGTACCTGTCGAGTTGCCAGTTCTCAAGATCTCGGGCGTCAAGGAGGATGTCAATGCCGTCTACTGTGCGTGCACGTTTTCGGGAGGGAGTTCCATTGCACTTCCTTTCATGGCGCATAAGAGCGTCTGGTCGCGAGTACGTATCTCCACACAGACCACAGAGAGGTCCCGCATGGAGTGTTTTGCGACAGACGTACTTCACGTGTCGCCTGCCGTCGGCGGAGCGCTTACTTGTATTGCCGCACAAGGTGCACTGCCACGGATTTGACCGTCGCGGTGCCGTAGTTGTGGTGGTCATCCCGTGAACGAGAGACTTATCGGGCTGCTTGTCTCTGCGTTGCCGACGGGCGGATGGACCAGGGTTGGCGGTGTCGCGATCACCGTCTTCATCCTCGCTCTCGCCAGGATGGGCCTTTCGCTTGACCCCTCGTGTGGGTTGTACCCGCTGCTTGCCTTTGTTCTTACGCAAGGCAGAGTTGCTGTACGTTGAGTCGCGTTCTTCGTCGTCCTCGTCGTCCCCATCATCGTCGTCGTCCTCGTCATCGTCGTCGTCCTCGTCATCGTCGTCGTCCTCGCCATCCTCGCCATCCTCATCGTCCTCATTGTTCTCGTCATCCTTGTCGTCCTTGTTGGCCTCTTCGGAATCTTTTTGGGACCCGGTGTGATCTCCACGCGCCGCCTCCCTCTGCTTCCCCTTCTCGCTCCACGGGATGCGGGAAGGCAGCGGTAGGCGGCTGTCCTTTGTAGGTCTGCACGGGGAAGAGCAAGATTGAGCAGAAGCAGAAGACCGTGCGCGTTTGCAAGGACGGGCGTCGAAAGAGTCGGCGGCATCGTCCAGATCAGGAGTAGCGGTTGTATTGACGGTCGTGGCCGAAGTGATGCTGGAAGCATCGTCCTCTTCGAAGACATCGTCGTGGTTCGAGTCCTTGTCTGACTCGCTTTGAGCCTCTGTATGTCATATTGACGTACGATTGCTCGATCAGTTGCTACTACTCGATACAATTCCGCTCTGCGTACCTGGGAGACCCGCCGCCAACTCTGTGGGCGGCACCAGCAATGTGTCGGAGGGCGAAATCGTCGTGATCTCGCGCTTTCGCTTCACCCCACGAGGCGTCGACGGGACCACCGGAGTAGCTACTTCTGCGGTGGATGTGGTCAGCTTGGACATCCGTTCTGCATAGAATGGCGTACCATAGGCTAGATCCGACGAGTCCGTTTTCACGTTTGTCCATACTAATGTTTCTGCGCTCTCCGACGGGGTTGTCGAAGTCCGGACCGAACCGCTCATCCAGTTGACGCTGTCATCCAACGTTACGGGCTTAACGGGGGCACGGCGATCTTAGTTCACGTAGCCAGTAGGTCAAGGATGGGCGTACCATTTGACCTGCTGCGAGCCATGCATCAAGTATATCGGAAGATGGTTCGAGACTGTCGGTGAACTGCGATGCCAGCCCTGGTGCGGATACCGACTGCTCCTGAAGAAGGTCTTGACTATCCAGAATTAGCGTTGCCGTGTGACCTGGCACATCGTGTTCGAGATAACCATAGGGGTCCCATGGAACTGTTTCAGAGCCATGGAACTCGCTCGGCCAGTGCTGTTGAAGGAAGGATTGGATCTTGTGGTCGAGCTCGCAGAACGTATCGAAGACCGAATGCTCAGACTCGGCCCACACAACCAGGGCGGCTTCCTCGCGCTGGAGGTACTTGGTCAGTGGACGCTTACTCATCGTGGGATGCCCCGTGTCGACGCTCACCACTAATGCCGCGCTTGCTAGGCCTCGGATCGCCGCCAGACTTTCAAAGTTTCGCACCACGGGTATATGCAGGCATGGATCGATGGAGATGTGTGTCATGCAAGTCGGGCTGAAGTCTCCACGTAAGCTGTTTGACGCGCCTGCACCGAGCAAAGCCACTCACACACACGCCAGGATGGTTTGGGTCGCGAGCGTGCTGGTCTTAACAGCGACTTGGGCACCCATCGTCGCCAGAGCGTATCCAAACGAAGGATTTTCGCTTGGTGGGTATACGTAGCAGCCAGTGATACCTCGAAGGTAGACGGCGGCGGTGAATCCAGTGTTTACATTGGAAAGCGTGTGCGCGAGCTGTACATGCAGCTTACTGAGAAGCTGAGTCTCGCGATTCAATTGTTCCTGGAACTTCATTGCGGAAGACCCGCTGTGAGGTTCTTGCGGAATATGGAGGGGTTTGAACCAGACAGAGTTTTTTGTTCTGCTTAAATACCGCCACAGACCGAGTTTCCCAGCGCCAAGGCAGTTCCGCTTGTGGGAAGTGGTGGAGGACATCAAGATCCAAGCGTAACATCACTCGCTTTGACAAATTCTAGTGAGTAGCTTCTGGCCCTTACGAAGTCCAGCATGATTGACAGCAACCCAGAAGGATACTTGATTGACATGTAGCTAGGCAGTACAACCGCTATTGTGACTACACATCGACGAAGACGGCCAGGTCCATCCTAGTACTTTCATAGGACTTACGGAGGTCTCGCCCATGTATCTGCGCTTCTAGTACTGCATGTCATGATGCTGTGTCTATATGCGCGCTTGACAGTCCCTCAAAGCGGCGTCAAGAGATTAGAGATCCAAGCGTTCTGCCACCGCCACTGCCGCCACCACCACCACCACCACCACCACCATTACCTAATATACGGATTCAAGGCACCGCCGTGGTTTACACCTGTAATCAGCTTCGAATCAACGTCAAATTGATTAGAGCGAGAGAACACATACTGCGCTCCCTGTCGCATGATCGCAGTCTGGGGACAGTTGAAAGTGTGCACCGTGCTGCACCGTGCAGCTGTTCGTAGCCGGAGTTGGTAGCGTGAGAACCGAGTGATCCCGCTTTGAAAGACAGCGGTTATCCACGGGTCCAACTTCTCCGTCCATCCACCCGGGCGACCGCCGCTATGCATCGCAAATGGCAGAGCCAAAGGCCTTGATATGCGCAACTGTTCTTTCCACTTCAAGTCTTGTAGTAAGACGTAGCCTGCAGATCCCTGCAGCAGATATTCTCGGTCCGCTGTCGTCAAGCTCATGGTCCAAATAGTATCCTATGCCGGGATTATACACTACTCGTGCGACTACATTTGTTTTTCAAAAAGCTCAAGAAGGATAAGAAATCTTCTAGCCTAGCTCCCCCTACATTCTGTATTTTCATAATCCTGCGCCCACGACGAGGCGATGCACAGCTTGTCGTCAACTAAGCGATAGCGAACGCTCGATTGGAACGAACGAGTGACATACTACGCTGTGTCTTATGTTGCCACTGTCCCACTTATTGTCAGTACAGGTGGGTCTTTGATTGCACACGCTACCGGGCGGCGCATGGGTGAGTGATAGATCAACGCTAGGTTTGAGCCATCTACCTCGTAATTCGCTTGTGCTGGGGAGATATAGCATCTACTCATGCGCAATCACCAGGGAAGGCTCCACCGGTACGTACGCTGACGACAATCCTTTCGAATAGGGTGCCCGGTTTCATGCTGTTCGCAGTTTGTGATGCAATGGTGTAGTTTCTGGTGATTTGCCATATATTTGGGTCTGTTGCAAGGAGGCCTCCGACAAACCCATGCATCGTATGAAGCGTATCCCGTTAGTCAGACTGAGTGGTCACTGCACAAAGCGCATCAGGCCCGTTGTAGCTGTGATTGGAAAATTAGGGTGATCTGCTGCTGCGCTAGTGCCGCTCCAGAACCCTAAACACTTCGTGTTTACTGACGATCTCGGGACTTGCTACTCGCTGTGCTTGACGAACCTGGATGCCGCGTGCTCATGTCTCGCACAAACCAGACGTCTGCATTCGACGCCGTTCAGGTTCATGACTAGGCGACCGACAAGGACGTACGGATGAACTTCTACTCCCACAGGACGGTCTCGGGCCGATGTCGTGCCTCAGATGTCTCGCAGGCAGTATGACTCTTCAATGTCGGACGGCCTTCACGGCACCAAGCAGACACCTTGAAAATTCCCGATTTCATCGATAAAACCAAATGTCGTAACATAGCTCTGCGCACTAAGCTCACACGATCCTGCTAGTTTTGACACATCCATTGAAGCACTTCTGATTCATTCAGACGAATGTCTCGGGGTGAAGGGACATAACTACGCTCCTTGAGAGACGGTAGGTCTCTGATCAGGTCTTCTTCTTGACAATGCGCACACCAGTCAGGGGGTTGGTCGTCCTCCGCGGTGGGTCTGTGCGAAGCGAGGTGGCAGAGGACGGTGAAATCGAGGACGGCGCCGCATTTGTTTGTGGTAGCAACGGCAGTGAAGGGAGAGGAGTATGCGGCTTCTTCATTGCGGATTGTTGTCGTGGTGTTGGCACCCGTGAAGATTGTGCAGAGGAGAAGAAAGTAGGAACTGGCTTTGGAGGAAGGGAGGGGTGCATCTTATTGGCTGCTGTGCCTGAGCCCGCGGATACCTGCTCCATCTGGCGTAGCTTCGCCTCCATCTTGGCAATCTTTGCTTGGGTGCTGCTAAGTGGACGTAGAATATGTTTATATTGGTCATCGAGCACAAGGAAAGCGGCACACGCACGCTTCCGCACGTCCTGATGACGCGCTCTTGAGGAGACTAAGTGTCGTAGGCTTTCCGGCATCGTTGACGACCCTGCGTGGTCGCGAGCCGAATCCGGCATGGTCGAGCGGCGCCTGGTGCGCGTGAGTGATGACAAGCTTGCGGCCACGGAGGAGCTTGTCGTGAGCGGAAACAAGGGCACGCTCGGCGTCCTACGTTACAGATCAACAAAAGGCCGTCAGTTAGCACTGCTCGCACGCGGTGCATGTGCCAGCAGCCGATCTGTCCCCGGGTCATGATCACTGTGATATGTAGACCGTGTAGACCGGCGTGTGTGGTTGATATGAAGAAAACCCGGGGTCAGCGAACGGCGCTGGCTAGAAAGACAAGAATGGACGTACATTGGCATTTGAATACTCGATGAACGCGTAGCCGCGTGGCTTGCCCTTCAGCGGGCCGCTCTTGTGGAAGAGAAAGTCGAGCTTGGCGACCTTGCCATATTTGATGAACAGCTGGAGGAGCGTATACCTGAGTTTGTCAGGCGGTGTACCAGTAGGAGATGTGTAGAGTACGTACTCATCCACGCTCGGGTGTAGGTTCCCGACATATAAACGTTCTCGTAGAAGGGGTCGTGGCTGCTCAGAACTTGGTGGAGGAGTGGTTGCATGAGGAGTAGGAGCGGGATATGAGAGATGACTATCCGCAGAGACTGCAGATGTTGAGGCGACTGGCGATTCTGCTTGCATAGTCTCCGGATAAACAGGATGATGCGATACTTTGGGTTTGGGGTCCGGTGGTCGGGGTCAAGAGGAAGGATTGGAATTTCAGTCAACGGGCTCGACTCGAGGGGGGCATGCCACCGGCGCAGGCCGAGAGCGCACGTGCGCGATATCCATCGGATATCGTGACTTTGCAGATTTTCTCTCTGCATCCTTCGAGTCCGCACATCCACCATCGCCCTCTCGTTCTTGTTTTGACTCTCAAAGCGTGTAGCAATGAAGAAGACAACACCGCAGCTGATTCCTCAATGAGGTAGCAGGAGAAGGTCTAAAATGGCAGAGCTTCCCTCGGTTTCGTCGAGGACTGCGTAATCATAGGCATTGGCACCCGGCAGGAGTTATGGTCTTAACTTATTTTGTAGAGACACATTTCGACCTGTTGATGACGCAGTACGGCAGCTAGCCGAGCCTGCAGCGAGGATGATCGAATTCTACTCGTTTATTGTCCGTTCATCCGCTTGGCGGTGGGACTGTTTCTCATTAGGTGCGTACTGGAAATTTATGTCAGGATTCTCGTTCACGGATGCGGACGTGGGGGTGCACATCGACGTCTAGCACAAACGAATCTAATACTTAAACCGTGTTTTCATAGACCCTATCCTGCGCTCGGTACTCTATGTTCTGAATCTCGATGTCCGAAGACCATGACTTCGACGCAAGCTAAACTAATATAGGAAAGCCGAGTATCGCTGCGGGCCGTCTGTGATGACCTGGACCGTATCGCTATCGTCACATGTCGCGCTCAGACCCAAATCTACGATCACTTTCTTCTTCGCATCGGTAAGTCTCCGATCTTTCGTCGTGTTCTGAAGGTTATACTGTGTGTGATGCTTCGTGAATACACTGAGCCGAGCGAATGCCGCCCCTGATAGTGTACGCCCCTAGGCAGCGTTATCGGGAGTTTGAACTGGCCAGTGATATGGGCTTGTGATGCTAGCTTCGGCAGTGTCTGCCACTGTTATCACTTAAAATATCGGGCTTATATAGCACTCGAACGTCATCATATTCAACTTTTGATCCAGAGGTGCGATACCGTCGAACTTTGCTACACCGATTGAATAATAAAGTTCGCGCGTTCAGAAAGGCCCACGACGTTATGAAATTGTTTATGAATAAACATAATCGCGTCTATATGGATGTCATGTTAATATCTTATTGTGCTCGTGTGGATCGCACAAGGAATTTAGAGGCTTATAGTCAAATTTCAGACCGATACCGAGATGTATTGGATTCAAGTCAGGAACAGCGAACATGCACCGGGGAACATGCAGAATATCTCGAAGACTAATACACTGAAGGGAAAGAACTCGGACCGCGTGCACAGCCACAGTGGTATATGCGAAAACAGTATTTCGACTGCTGGGTATCTCGAAAGGGGGTATATGACACGGGTATATTGACAGATGCATGTTAGGCCCGCAAGACGAAGGGAGGAGATTAAGGGTGAGGAATGAGAGAAGGAGGACGTGGCGAGAATTAGAGGTGATGTTTGATGTGCTCTCTGAACTCCAGATATCGTGTTGAATGTGTATTGATGCTGCAGATTCAGTGGCCACTGTCGTCGCTTGTCGTCTTCGCTTCAGGTTTGACCGGCAGCCTCCTGCTGCGCCTTCAAGACTCGGCAGGTATTGAAATGACGCGTCAACGATGTCTCCCGCGTATGCTGCGAGCCGCAGTGGAGGCATTTAAAAACTACTGGCTTAGCAAGGGGGCAGACCGTGCTCTCGCGCAAGTGGCGTGGGATACTGTCAGAGCGTGCAAAAGATTGTCCGCATCCCTTGCAACAGACACCTCCTTCGGCAGGAGGTGCCAGAGAAATGCCCGCTGAGGGTTGAATGAACTGTGGTCCCGCGATAGCGGAAGTGCCAGAAGAACTGCTATCGGAGTCGCCATCGTAAGGAAGGGCCCTTTGTTTGCCCTTGTTGCGTCGCGTCGCCGGGTGCGGCGCGCTCGCCGGGGTAGAGGGGGGCGAAGTGGAAGGTGTAGAAGTGGGCGAGAGCGAGGTGGAGTAGCGCGAAGCGGAAGAGGGCGCAGTGGAGCCAGATGATCGTGCGCGTTTGATGGGACGTGGGCTATAGCCGTCGATGTCGTCGACTGCAGTAGCCTCGTCCAATCGTGTTATGTGTTGTGTGGATGCTGAGCTCGACACACTTGTGGTGTTTTTGCTCGAGTAACCACTGCCGTATCTTATCGTAGCCGTGTTCTGCCCCACCATTGGCGGGCCAGAACCGGTTGCATGAGATACGCTAAGCGTACCTACATGCAGTGACGTCACAGTCTCGGCAAGACTGCGCGTCGTTGGAATATGGGGTCGAGTAGAAGAATATGCTGACCGCCTCGGGAGCGGAAGCATATCTCTGTTTGCAAGCGGTGGGGCGGCAGGTGCGTCGGTGGTGGATATGGATAGTTGACCGCGCTGATGCTTCCTTTCCCTTGCAGGCTGAGCTGTGACCGCGACTGATGGCGCCCAGACCGTGAATGGGACAGCGGTCGCCATGTTCCCGGCGAACTGGATGTTGCGCACCGGCGTGGTCCCGCTAGCATACTTTGCTCTCTGCGGCTGCAAGGGTGCCGTAACATCGCGGCGCTGATTACATGCGAGAGATGTCAGTTAGCTATTCGAGGTAGATATTGTGGACAGGCGCACCTGTCTCCGGGCAGCCCGAGTGTTGGAGCTGGCAGCATACTCTTCGCCTATGAAGAGGGTATATGGCGAAGTCGCGGATCGCGGCGTCACCTTGTCGCAGTCATACGTGCGAGCGTAGTGCCTGATCTTGTGGTACGTTTCTGCGACATCTTGCGCGATGGAGTGATGCTCATACTGCCAGAACACCAGGGATCGGTCCTTGCGCTAGGAACGAGCCATCAGCTCCTCGTCGACATGCGCAGGGTTATGGGCGCTCACCACTAGGACTGGGCTAAGTGGGTCTGTTATCGTCGCCACCTGCCCCAAGGTGTTGACGACGGGTATATAGGTCGTTGGGTCGAGGTATATGTGCGTGCAATTCTTGGAGCTGGAGAACAATAGTGAGACAATGCTATGACAACAGAGCAGAGTGGTGACTGACTTGGACAAAGCAGATGCAATTGCCGGAGCTCGTATCCTGATGGGAGGTACCGAAGGCATAGAGGGGTGATTATCGACGTCGTATGATGCTTTGAGGCTGGCAGGCCGGTCGATAATAACGAAGAGCGTTTGTTGGTCCAGATGCGGATCCGAGCACAACAGAGCATTCCTCAGACGGGTCGTGAGGTGGGAAATAATGTGGGACATAATGGAACGGCTGATGCTTGGTATGGTGAGTGGGATGTGAAGGGAGGCGTTGGGCGAGACTGACATGTTCCACCGCTTAAGTCGCCACAGAGCCAGTGGGTTAGCGCCCGTCGGGCGTCTGCAGAAGTCCTGTTCAGACTCAGAGAGGAGCGACACGGACTCGCATCACCACCCCGGCCAGTGATGGAGAGCGTCTTCTCATGGGTGTGGATTCTCGAAGGGCTTACAGAACCCGACGAGGGGACCAAATAGGCATTTGCGCGCACCAGCGGCCCCTAATGCGGATACGCTCGGACAAGGATGCCCAAATTCATGCTGGTCTTATCATGGGATAATGACAGGCCTCGGTATTGATGACTGCGCCACCACCACTGCCTGTCATGATGCTGTGAGTATGCATACGGTTGTCATATCTTCGCCGCAGACATGAGGCGTGCGAGGTCAAAGCGTCCCGCCACCAGGACGGTCTTGGATCTGGGGCACTGTTGCGGTGCTCGCGTCCGCGGGGACGGGGCATCTTCTCGACATTCACCTGGGGCCGATTGTACACATAATGCTTTCTCAAAAAGACGCGCAGAGATCTTGGTTATTGTGAGCGGAGTGCGACTGGCAGCTCTCCGAGATGTGCAGGCGCCTGGCCGGATCGGAGTTGGAACGTGGGAACCGACGGTCTTTCCGCTCAGATCACTGAAGGCGGCTCGCAGCATGTTCTCTGGCAAGGGCCCTGGCTCTCGTATTTGACTGATTGCACTCTGCAATGGCCCTCCAACCCACTTACTGATCCTCAGTTTCCGGACCCCGGTACTCCACACCCTCAATATGCTGCGCAGTGCTCCGAAGGGCAAGACTGCACGGTCGTCCTAAGCGATGCGCCCGACTACACCGAGAAGGCAGTGGGCGTTCCATTCTTCGGTCTCTCTGTGAGCACGTTTAGGCCGGCTAAGTATCCAGATCACGAAGACCGTGATCCACTGAGCATCGGTGAGGCAATTCAGCCCGTGTTCAGATCTATGATCTCATGCCGGCAGGACACGCAGATATCGGAGTGGGCTGTACTCCTCGTGCCTTCCATTCCGAAGATCATCATCGGGGTCGTGAATGTGGGGGTTCTGCAGGTCAGCAACGTCCAGACTGAAGGACTTATCATGCGTTGCTCCTTGTGTTCGCGATTGCGTGGGATGTCTGGCGCGACATCTTTATCACAGAAAACGATGCTTGAATGTGCGCTCGCAGATGTATCGCATCGCACTCAGCCAGATCTCTCACACCTGATGACGCCACATTTTCACTTATCTACGTGCTGGGTGCTCAGACCGCGGACCAGGACACCTCCATCGATCGCTCTGGTCCATATCACCAGTGGTATGCATCAGAATCAAGGCCGAATAGCCGGGATTGTAGGGCCCTCGGGGGATGTGAGACATAGCTGGCACATGTGCATCGTGCACTGTTTTGCATGCCACTCATTCGATGTTCCTGAGCCTTCCAACACAACGCACATGGTAAACTCACGGTGAGACCCGTACCCGGCAGCTCGCCAGATCTCGAGCTGGCGTGGGAAGTTGATATAGAGCGTCTACCGAGTCGCCACAAGTTCTGCTCATCAACTCCTTCCTTCATCATCGCCATTTTTGTGTTCAACCTCACTGTATCGAACTAAGAAAGCGTAATGGGCTGAACGTCATGGATACCGCGCATGCGTCAGTGTCTCACCTTCTGCCATGCTACTGGACTCTAATCCTTGAATCTATGCAGGTGTCATGGAAAAACGGACGTAGCTCGCCGCACGTCCCTTTACCCCAAAGGGTACCGGTCACCGAAATCCATCCACGACCTGCCAGTGGAAATACTACTGCTCATATTCTATCAAGTCTTCTACGAATCCCAAGTCCCTAAGCGGCGTAGGCCCAGGTCGGCGCCCTCCCATCCACCGGACGACAATGAATCATTACTATCGACGTCGTTTCCAGAAGCCGTCGCTGCTGTTTGCCCTAGATGGAGAAGTATATTGATGATGAAATCCGTCTTCTCGACTTCGATAGTCGCCTTCATTGACCAGGAGCCGACGCCTCTCGAAATTGTGACGCAATACTTGACCTCCTCGAAGAACCGCAAGTTGCACGTCATTATATCCCGACGGCCACACAACTATGATGCTCCTGACGCTGGCGAGAGAGAGCGCGTCGCTGCAGTCCTGGCTCTGCTTCCTCACCGTGCTCGCTGGAAAACGTTCCAGCTCCATGTATTGCACGAGAATTCTTTCCCGAGCCCGTGCCTCAATGACTGGCTCGGTGGAAAATACCCCAATCTGGTACAGCTACATTTGACCTCGAGGACACTCGAGAGTCCATCGACACGATATGGCGAACACACTTCCTCTCTGGAGTTCGACGCTCCAGAACTACATAGCCTCACTCTCCCTGGGCTATCATTTATGGAAACATATAAGGCAGACGCGAAGGTGTCGACTCCTAATTTGACCTCACTATGCATAGCCGGATACGGAGGGCCCCATCCACCGCTCTCCATGTATGATTTCGTTGCTTGCCTACAAGATCATATTGACATCGATATGGATGCGCTGCGCCTCAGGGATCTCGATCTCACTGTCGCTGACATGCCTGAGGATCTCGCGTGGCTGGTGAACACCTTCGTTCTCGAGTTTCGGGGCATGAAAGGTGTAGTCATCGAAGCGCTCCTTTCTTACCTTCGAGCTCCGTCGTCGCAGTACCTCATCGTGGAGCGTTGCAGTCAATCCCAAAGTCACCCTCGTATGGCATGGACCCATACTCTTCAACTCACCGGCATGGAACGGCCAGAGGACGCGAACGCCGTGCTGCTGTCCACAGGCCTCGTTAGCGAGCATTGCGAGCGTCTCTACGTCGATAACTGTGCCGGATTCAATGATTCTGTTCTCGCCATACTCTGCAGGGTATACGATCGCCCTAGGTCCTGGGTCTGTCCCTATCTTCAAACTGTCGAAATCAAGAACACCCCCGACGTTTCCAGTGATGCGCTAGCTATGTAATGTGGTGGGTTTCAGCGCGTCTGCCGCGTTCGGCAACCTAGTCTTTTACCATATCTTTTCGATGTTTATGCTGTAGGTTGTGCTATGTCGTAGAAGATATGTATTTCTCCGCGCGGTCTCCTGATTCATGTGTGATGCCTGTCAGTTTATTAGGAGTTTCAAGTCCAGCAATATCAACTGATACCAGGGAACATCAACGCAATATAATGACATCTGTCTGTTCATTTCTCGGTGAACCGACTTTTTTTTCGGAAAATTCTTTGAGACCCTAATGTAACGAACGGCATGAGCCGAAGCCAATGCTGAGAATCTGACGTGGGCGCTATTGTCCGATGACTTGCCTACACACCAGTACTGTTCTACTCGTCTCTGCCCTCAGCTCATGCTCCAACCTCTTATTGCTGTGAGCATTCCGACTTGAACAACTTGCAGATGTCGCGTCAGACACAAATCACCAGAAAGTCTCGGCTAATGCCATTTCAGTTTCGCCGTCCATCGGTTCGGTTTATACCCTTTCAAAGCGACGGCAAGCAGCGACACCGTCACAACTCAGCAAGCAGACATGGCCACATCCTATTTCGTTTCCTAGCTTACAAAATCTCGCCAGATCGAGACAACTGCAAGCGTCGCATTCACTAAAGCTTTGGTGACCTGGTAAGTGTGGGTATTTCGACGACACTGACCTCTGATGACGACGCTCAAGTGGGTGATATATGATGCCAATTTGGACGCTGGAAATCAAAAATGTCAGTGACTTCAAAGCCCATGGCATGTATGGCGTCATTGTAGGTTTGATCCGTGGTGTTTGTCCGTTGTAGGATTTTAACTTTCCTGCACAAGGCATCAGGCCCAATTTTGAGACACACAGGCCTGCGCGATTGTCTGAATTATATGCAGGAACCCTGAATAGACTTCTATGCACCTCTATGCATTTGTATATGTCATAAGTTCAGGTCAACAAGGTTTGCCTCCACTTCAAGTTGCAATGAGCCGCGGTCTTAAGGAGCTAAAATGCATTTTCACAGATTCCAATGAAAACTTTCTCATCGTGGCGCGGACATGCAAATACATTGACAAGTAGCACAAAGATAATAATCAACATCACATGCAACTTTGCAGAGATATATCTAACGGTGTATATGGTGCGTCGCTGACACAGTATATGTACTGAATGGGTATCCTGATAAGTGCATGGGCAAGGATTGAAGAACCAAGATACCAAGTCAGGTACGAGGCTTCGAGAAAGCTGCGGAAGTCGAATACGAGAATACGAGAATACGAAACCCAGATAATAGTATATCGCCTAGGTCAACACAAACCAAAACGATCTGATGAGCTCGTGCTTTCGATGACCTGTATATTCAATAATACTCACACGCTACGGTTGTACCTAGCCGATCAAGTCGATAAACCTGTCAAGTTCATCATCTGATCGCCCACGGGCATCGAAGCTATCGTCACCAACGCCACTGTCGCGCTTGTCGTGTCCCCGTTTCTTGCTGGGAATCCCGGTGCAAATGGGTGCGTGCCGCTGTACCGAATCATTCCGTGACAGTGTGTCACCGCATCGGGGGCATTGGTCCACCTTGTGAATCGAACGCTTGCAGCTCTTCCTGATGTGTCGCCTGGCATCACCGCGGCGGGTGAACGTTCTGTGAGTATGACACAAGGTGCATCGATAGCGCTTCTTCTCGTTCATTTCTTTATGCTGCCTAGAAGAGGATTTAGGCCTGCAACGACGTACACGAGTTGGCTGTTTTCCCTCTGGCGGTCGGCCGAAGGGAATATGGCCAGCTAAGTCGAGATCGTCTCCCTCATGCTCGTGGTGAACTGCGTGTGCGTTGCATTTCACCTTATGTAGTGGCTGCACTCGTCGCTCTTCTCTGCGCTTGGAAGGGCTGAGACTATTGGGATCGTTATCCTTGCCGTCGTCGTTTTCTTGAGGCTCAAGAATTGAACTTAGTATCAGCCTCATTTCCCCCTCGTCGGCGCAGGGAACGCAACGAGATGTGGACATGCGTGGTTGGCATACAGTAGGAGCACAGGAAGGCTCTGTATACGTGACGAGCCGAGCCTGCTTGCAGAGAGGCGCATACATGTCGTTGTGAGTGTTCGAATTGTGATGATATCCCGTATTGGGGGTGGTGTCAGTGCCCATAGCGAAGGGACCTGCCGTTTGGACATCCAGAGATCCTTGATGCACAGACATGTCCGGGGCAGTAGTCACCGATGTCTCAATTTTGCGCTTCAGAGTGTGAAGCGGAAAGAGAGAGATATCTGCGACCCCTCTCTCAAAACATTCTTCTCCGTCTAGGGCAACGAGCGTCGATGAAGCAGCAGCGACCCAGGGATTGTGGGTCATCTCTGGGAAGTTATTCTGAACATATAGGGTCGGCAGTTGGCTATCACTCAAGGCTGAGGCTGAATCGGTAGACCAGCTGTCGCTGAACTAAGTGAGGTTGAAAGGCTGTTAGCTCAAGTGCTCATAGGACATATATGAACGCACAAGTTGTTTTGGAGACCGTGCGTCAGCCAATGCCGACTGCGACCAGATGTCCTCAAATGGGGGTGCTGATGGCCAATAACGATTACTGGGCACCGATTTTACACTGAACCTAGGTTGCTGGTACTCTGCACCAAGATAGCCGAGTGTATCCCATAATTCTGTGGGTCCAGGTAAGTTACAAGGCCACTGCCCCTGCAGGGCATTTTTAATCTTGAGCTCTATACCGCAGAAGGTGTCTACGACCGAGAGCTCTGTATCAGCCCAGACAACCAATGCCGCCTCCTCGCGCTAGGGCATATCAATCAGCGTTTCCTGCACAGCCGTCGTGAAAGCCACACACACCACCAGGGCTGCGTTTCCGAGGTACGCCACCGTAGTAAGATCCTCAAGCCTGCGGACGATATGTATATTAGTTGAGCCGTCGACAGCTATGGTCTCTGCGCTCGTATCGCTGTTTTATGACAATAAGAGTGCGTTGCTTCACAGATACGGATGGGATAACTCACATACTTGACAAGATAGATTCTGTTGCTCGCGTACGAGTCATTACGGCAATGCGAGGACCTAATGCTGCGAGCACAGCTGCAAACGAAGAATGGCAAGGTCTAGGCAAGACATGACAGCTGGTCGCGCCTCGCAGATACACCGCGGTCGAGTCATAAAGGTGTTCTGGAAAGGCTTCATGGAACAACCGCTGCAGGTTACGGAGGGTATGGATTTCGTTCTCGAGGTTGCTCATGGTGTGTGGACAATTGGGGTAAGGAAAGGGATGCGGGATCCAGTCCGTTGCACCGCTTAAATCATCACAGGGATAAGATCCACTGGGGCTAGTCGAGTGGCCCTGGGCTTGCCTTGCAAGATTTCTATCAAAGAAGAATGGATCGGTTATTGTATCGCCACACTGAATGATGCTGGTGGGTATCTTCTGATGTGTTGAAGTTCTTGTACTTTCTGTACCTTCTACCAGATAGACTGAATAGGCGTGTACCCATGCAGAGCAGTGTTTCTCTTACCGCGGGAAGATGACTGTACACGTCCTCTCATTGGCTTATCTATCTAGTAGCCCCCACCACTCCATATCGTATTGCGCGACTGTGTACATCCATCTCGGATCACAGGATTGCGACGCCACCGAGCCGCCTTAGAATTAGGGCCATGCGCAGTAATATCTGCGTTGATGCCCCAGTATCAACGCCACTCAGAATAGAGACTAGTTCGTGGTCCATGAGAAATCATTCTGGAGCGTGGGGTTCGAATGAATGGTTCTAGCTCTCAAAGTTGCACAGGTGCTCGCATACTCAGATTTTGGCAACTATGGCTAGTGCTACGATCAATCGTTTGGCAGTTTTCAGACTTCTCACAAACGCTTGCACCTGTATTCGATGGTTTCTGCCTTACATCAAGATCCATCAAACGTGCAAACAGTCCACGTCACAACATTCATTGGATGCGCCACCGCAAGTGGTATTGCTTATATCTAGCTTCTTGGGTTATATAATGAAATGAGAAGTTTCGTACGTGATCCGTGCCCTCCACTTAAACAGCATTTGACTCTTCTCTCGGAACGACAATGCTCAGATTATAGTCGAATCTCAGTGTCTCTTAAAAATCACACAGGCACCCCTGGTAGCGGGTGGGGATGGTACGTCTGGAGAAAGTTATTTGCTCTCCAGAGACTAGATCGCGACCTCCCCATGTAGACGCGCTAAGGATAGCTTAACGCTCACCTCAACCAATCTTACACCCAGCCATCCTTTTATGCAGTACATGTCATTCACATTCGCATCGTGCAGATATATAACTCAATATCGCCTCCGATGAGAGAATGGTGTCCGCTGCCGTGAACATTAGCCAATCGCAGAGACCGCGAGTACGTCGCGGCTACGCTCTGTATTGGCGGAGCGGTCTCACAACACGATATATGAGGTGGGGCTTTCAGGGTTTCAGGCCTCAGGCTTGAGGTCTATGATGATGACTCTCGCCTTGAGCTCAAATTCCGGACATGTAAAGGACAAATTGAGCTCATGATTCGACGTGTGCCATACTATCGACCCTAAAAATCGAGTAAGATCGAGGAAAACAACGGATTCTACATCTCGACTAAGCTTGGCAGTACATGTGCTGAGTTATGAATTCTTCGCTTGGCGGAATGGATCATAAATGGCCGCTGGTGAGCAGCTCGAGTCTGCATAATTGAGTTCGGCGGCTGCCGGGGACACTCTTTGCGCCGCATTTGTTCACCACTCCATATCCCTTCCGTTTGCTTGCGCTACATGTTTTCCTCACTGCCACATCTGTCGAGCTCTCAGGAAAATATATAATGAGGTCGTACGGGACCGGGGCGATTCATGTTTTGCATAAGCCAAAAGTGCTGGCAGCGGGCGGCTGACGCCGCAATGACGTGCGGGGACTCTTCGGGATCTCGGGAGAAGGTATTCCAACAACTCCTCAGAGCATACGCGCATAATATTCAAATAGCTTCTCCTGTAACCGTACCTCGTGTACCACTATGACAGACCACAGAAAGCTTGTCCTCGCGCTGGACATCTACGGAACGATTCTGGATACTGGGAACATCACTTCCGGGATCAGGACGCACATGCAATGCTCTGACGAAACCGCGACTCAACTCAGCCAAATGTGGCGGAGGTATCAACTTGAGTGCGTACGCCACCCAGTCAACTGGTCAACAATCAAAAGCTATAAGCTTTCCTTGATTTCATTCCAGGTATACGTGGCGGCTCAACTCCATAGGTTGATGAGGACCGAAAGTGCACTTGCACCGCTCACGCTGACGCACGCCATTCAGGTTTCTATGAGCCTTTTGATGTCGTCACAAGGAACAGCCTCAAGCATGCTTCTGCTGAGACTGGACTAGCTCTTTCGGATGATACAATCGAGATGTTGATGAACGAATATAATCATCTCTCTCCGTATGTCCACTCCGCAGTGCCTCTGCACGAGCGCTGATCTTGGTCACTGTTCATATCTTTGCGGTGAATTTTATTTCAGATATGGAGATGCTGTACAGGCACTCGAGGAGCTGAACCGCCTGGAAAATGTCGAACTAATGATTTTCAGTAACGGTGAGCTTCTGGTGCCGGATCACCTTCTGCTCTATTATCTTGTAGAATGATGATTTTATTGACCTGTTTGCAGGCACTGAAAAGGTATGTTCGTTCCTACAGCCCGTGTACATTTATTTCACTCGCTGACATCCCATAGATGGTATCCACGGCCCTTCATGCATCCTTGCCGCAAGCACTCCTCCCTCTCCCGTTGTACCTCGTCGATGAAGTTAAACGTTACAAGCCAGCAACTGAGGTTTACGACGGCCTTGCCAACAAGGTCAAAAGTCTCTCTTCCTCGGATGGCGACCGAGCCGACATTTGGCTTGTCAGCGGGTATGTGCCGTACCCTGATGAAATTTTGATTTCATGAGACGTATGCCATACCATAGGAATCCGTTTGACGTGACCGGGGCCCGTGCGGCAGGGCTTGGTGCGTTTTGGGTCGACCGAGCTGCGAAGGGCTGGACAGATCAGCTCCCGCTCCCTCTGAACGGCACCGGTCCGCTCAAAATCGTTCACAGCTTGAGTGATCTTGCAGCCGTCGTGGAAAGCATGTCGTAGATCACGTCAGCTATCAAGCAGAGAGGAGTCGATGTGCCTTCTCGCGCCGGCTGTACATGTTATGTTCTACATTGGTACGAGCAACAACGGAAACGTTGAACTGTGTGTGCTATACCAAAGCTTAAAGGGCTTCACTGTGTGAGATGGCCTCAGTATCAATGCACAATCTGTGATGCCAAGTCGTTGGAGAGAAATCTCGCTAGAATCCGCCTCAATTTGCGAGCAGATGCTAGCCATGAAATTGGGCGATGATGTCTCGTTTCCCCGTGAACAATGCCTCGGCATGTCGTACATACAAGATTTTGTGCCGGGCAAGGTACGTCCTTCGCACATCGAGGGATATATTCCTGCGGCTGCGCATGGTGGGGATTCGAAATTTAATGAGGTCCATCCAATCCGGGCATTAGCCTGTCCCAGTCAACAGAATATTCTGAAAACTGACGCATGATCACCACCTGCGAATGCTCAGGGACAGGTATAGCGCCGGCCTCTCATGCATACCGCGCGTTGCCTTCAGTTGCTTGTATCTTCTCACCGGTGGCTGATCATTGCTTCGCGTCTTCGCGGAGCCTTTATGTGCGTGCCTTCCTGTGGGAACGTAGCTACGATGTGTGTGACCCGTGGCCGACAGCGCCAACTCTACAGATGTTAGTGACGATCTGTTGTATGGGCGCTGGTGGGCGGTACATGCCCATTGCGCTCCGATACGAATCACAAACTCATCGCCGTACATTCGTGCTTTCTAACCCACGTCTCATGCGCCTTCCTCTATTGGCCTGGTTGATCGGCACCGTCCGTGTGGTCCAACCTTCGCCCTGCGGGATCACCGCTCGCTTGATAGGGCAGATCTGACTCGACTCAGGAATCTCTGGACGCATTGGGGTCTATGGGAACTCACGAAGAGCGCTCCGACACCCTGCGGAACATCTGCGCAGGGTAGATCTGTGGGAGGATCTAGTGTCCACAGAATAGATTTTATGTGGTCCGCGTAGTCTCACCAGTCGGGGTCGTTGCGTACAGGGTCGATTACCTTCACATATGCTCTTCTTTGTTCCGCCGCCTAGAATGGAGGATTGAGCTGGCTCGATAACGTTATCATTAGCAAGAATGCAGAACCACGGATAAGAGCCATTTTGAAATCGTGCAGATTTCGGAAGTGGACTAAATCAAAAAGGTGAGCAAATGATCAGGATTGCTCATGGTACATCCTGTGCAGAGACACGACTGAGATGTATAAGTAACAGCCGAGATTTAACTGACTTCAGACGGAAGTGGTTTATAACAGTCATGCTATATTCTCGGCATGTCTGTATCGTCACTGCTCGAGGAGCCGAGTAGTACTCCGATGTCCGATGTCCGCTTTACATCCCCGCTGTCCAAAATGAAAAGCATACTCCACTGCACAAAACACGCGTATAGTAAAGACGGCCAGGATTGGGACTGGTGATCCGGCTACAGCCAGAGCGGAGATGGTGCTTAGGATCTACCCAGCCCTGCTCAACGCAATTGTTCCATTGTACAGTGGTCCATCACTGCCCTGTTGTGCGTCTCGAAGTCTGCCTCAACGATTACATAGTGGACTATTACGGCTTTGTCAGGCCCGCAGCTAGCCCGGACTGCTACCGGTGAGCTTCTGGCTGAGATTTGCCACTCCGATGTTATATGACTTGACCTGGAAGTGCACCGAATAGGCAAACATTTACCGAGCTTGTTGAAAGCAGCGTACAGTCATTTCGAAGTCGTATCGCCGGCGCCCTTGATGGTCAGGAAGGGCGGTACTCTGCACGCCAGTGGCTTGCTCCATGCTCGCGGGAGGCAGGCCGCCGAGCGTCGCATCCTCATTGTGCGCGGAAAATCATACAATCGCCCTTCAGATGGTGTATTCTTCCCCTGTGCCTGTCTTTGGGTTCTTCTGCTTCGATAAAACGAAGGAACTCAGTCTTCCCTTGAATATACCATATCCGGCTGTTGCAATAATCTACGCAATTCACCGTAGTGTTCGGCCTTAGGGCTCGGTTTACGTCTACTTCAAATCTGACCTTCGCTGATCAATAAGCCACAAGTAGCGTGAATACAGAGAAATCAGCCTTGGATTACGAGGACGAGTCGCCATCTCAATATCTTGTAGGCCGATTGTTGGAACAACCGGTGCGATGGCGCGGCGAGCGCGTTTGTCCACGAGCTAGCGATGCCCGTAAGGGACAATCGCGTGCGGTACGTACATCGCGCAGGGTCGTTATATACTACAATAGGGGCCTCCGGCCCCCGGCTACTCGCGCGCCCGAGCTTGCGAGCTCGTTCCTGACCGCGCGGGTCAGCGCGTTTCAACACCGATCTCCGACGACTTCCCTAAAATACAAGCATCAGCCAATTTTTCCGATCTGTCGTTGCCAGAACGTCGCATTTGGAGAGGGGCCGAGAGGCTGAATGTATGCAAAGCATTTATTTCTTACAGCCGTATGCCATCTGATATTGGGATAAGCGGCTTGCCGTCAAATCGGACGACTATATGAGCAGTGCGTTTTGGTCCGTTGGCTAAGAGAGCATTCTCATTGCGCTATCTGTAAGTACAACATATATATCGGGTCTATAAACGAGTCGAACGAACGATCTAGCTGGTAGGCAAGCATAATTTACTATATAAACGTTGTCTGATTCCTAAGGGAGCGCAAGTGCGAGCTCAGACCTTGCGCGCAAATGAGAAGGAATATGAAACTAAGAACGACTACGGCTACTATGGCGCGAGATGTTGAGGGTCGTCCACTATCGAAGAGCATTTGACAAGCGCGCAGTGTCAGAAAGTGCGCAGGCTTCCACACGCATCGCTGCATCACCAGAGGGGCCTTTCACCCCGAAACCGATAGCCGGGGGTTGTACATGATGCGGATAATCCCTGTCTCCTCATCGTAGGCGCGGTCGTCATCTTCTGGCGTCGGGAGTACGTCGGCAAGTGATAAACCGCCGAACTTCACAAGGTAAGAGTCGCAATGACCTGGCAGCGTGCGACTGATCTCGTTCCAGGGGCCAGTGTTCGGATTATTTGGGTCCACTAGCCGCAGTTGGGGGAAGGTAGCATGCATATGTTGCGCAACGGCCACAGCGCGAGCAACTTCCGTCTGGGAATGGGTATGAAGCTCAAGGATGTGGCCGTTCGGGAAAGACTTCTCATTGAGAAGACGACGCAGGTTGCGGTAGTCTACGTGTAGGGCTACGCACTGGAGAGAAACAGTCGCTTGAGCGAGTGGCGTTGATGGGTCGGAGATCGACGTGTACACTGTAACTTCTAAATCAGCTATGAGAGACAAGAATAGAAGACGCGGCCAAGCATCGTGCATATCTTGAAGAGTATCCTCATCTAGCCATAAGCACGGAGCGTCGAGCTGGATGAACATGATAGTAGGTGTCTTTAGCAAAGTCTTCAGGATATGGCATGGCACGATTTTATCTCCAGGGAATTCATCATCGTCGTCGAAGGATTGTGAATCTAGACTGAGCTTGAAGAATTTGAGAGGAAAACGTGCCAGGACGACAAGGTGAGCATAGACCGTATCGATAGTATAGTCGCTGTCCACCAGCAACTGGATGCCAACGAGCACAGTCGAAGGGATGGACTTGAAAAGTCTCAGCGTCGACTCGTCCATCTCATCTAGACTGAGATTGAGGACTTCCAGCGAGGGGAAGGAGTCAGATTGGAATTTGACTCCGGCGAGCGATTTACAATTTAGACTGAGCTCCAAAGCTTTTAGATTGTGCATCTGTGCGAGTAGGAGAACTCCTTCGCCATCGATCTCCATTGTTGACGAGAATGTGGTGAGGTTGAACCGGCCAGGAGGATTGAGGAACTGTGTCAAGGAAGCTGTCGGCGTAGTATTGTCGCGAAGGCCCATTAGGCGGAGAGACTGACAGCGTTGTTGAGCCACGGCAAGTACACCAGTAAAATCGCCAGAGTCCGCTTCAATCACCAGTTCACAGAGGCTCTGTGCCAGCAACGGAATGAGGCAATGAACCGAGTTGCTCGTACCATTGAGCCAAAAAATCTTCCGCAGCGAGGGAAGCAGCATTGCCGATGACTGCGCAAGAGTAGACAGCCAGAATCGCATACCTATGCCGAGACGCTCTTCGTCCTCCTTTCTCCAGAAGAGGTTCTTGACAAAGGATGTATAGGCCACGAAGCGTGGCAGATGGGCGTTCAGTGGCACATCTGTGACAAGCTCCTGCATCGGAAAATTGTTAGCCTGAAAACTCTGGAATGCGGTCTTCATCTTACTAGGATTTTCTTTCCATCTGGAGTCGCAGTGTCGCGCCAGGTGTCGCACGGAAGGAGCCTTAGTATGTTGTCCAGGCCATGTTGCGTTTCCCATAGAATAGATAGTGAAGGCTCAAGGAATGTGCTGCATGTTACTGCGAATTGGAGGACCGAGCATGTGTCTGGCTTCTTCGGATGTCCATGGAGGAAAGCAACAACCATGCGAAGTATTTCATCTATACGAAGTGCACGACGGGATGCGCTTTCTACCTGCGGTTGGTTTAGTCCCTTGCGAGACGGTGCATGAGACAGAACGTGGCTTACTGGGTTCGAGACGCAGTCCGACGCGGCAGGATATCGAAGCGGAGCACGAAGCTTCCTGAATTGCTTTCCACCGGAGTAAAGCAGTCCCATGAGGTCTGAAGACAATGCAGGCACTGTGGAGGTCGTGGAGCGGCTTGATCGTATCAGATAGATGCTCGCCAGCCAGCCCTGAGTATGAGGTTCAGTCAAACAGCAGAGCAGCACTGTAGCCTAAAGAACAAGCACAAGCTGAGAAGTATTATGTAGATGAAGTATAAGCTTGTTGATCCAGTCTCAAGCTTGTCGTCGGAAAGTACAAGTTGGAAGAGCGAGGAAGAGCGTGGCGCGTCGCCACTCGCCGCCACTCACAGCGGAGGAAGCCGAATTTCCACGTGGACCGCTCTGCGCAGTGATTCCGCGTGGTAAGTCTTCTACGTTTGCTCACCGTCTCATCGTCGACTTATATCATGACCGTAGGGTCCTTGAAGGTGTTGCCAAATAGCAATCGTGTACGATGGCAGCTCTTCTCTAATCGAGGACAAGGACAGTCTAGACAAGTGGGGACCTCGATTCTTCTAACTGTGACATTGCCTTGCCGTTAGCAAACACGCTGTTGTGCGCACTTGCTGCCCCTCTGTCAAAAGTTGCAGGCATTCATGTGCCATCACAGCTTGGCCAGGTACGCAGCCTACTTGGTTCTCGCACAGCCTCGAGACCGAGGGTACCCGGCCGCGGACGCGCGCGTACTAGTGCCGACCTGCTATATTGGCAGCGACCGGTCCTTTCCAGCTGCATGAGTTGTACACGCCACCTTGACGCTTGATCGCGTTGGCCTGCATGCCCGATCATACCACGATGGGATGCTTGATTTCTTATGCCGATGGTTTCGCAACGCCAGTGTGCCACGTTGTATTCGGCCTCGCATTATCACGACCAGTGCGTATTCCTCTCTAACTGATCCTGTGATTGTTTCCTGATTCCCGTAGGACATCCCCCGTGGTGCGCTATGTTCTGCCGAGTGGCAATGTGTACAACTTCCTGTGGGAGTGCGGCGAGCCGCGGGCGTTATGGACTGCGTTAGTCCTCATATCCCAGCGCTGTTGAGAAGCACACCCGCTTCTCTTTGTAGCTATGCCTAGAGTGCGTCCTTTGTGCCAGCGCCCGTTATTGCGTGCACTCCTGAGGGTATGTATAATCGGCGTTGGCCGTGTGGATCTTCGCTCCATCGGCTAAGCAGTCCGTGAAGCACGGGAGAACGCCCGTTCGTATTCTCGAATGCTCACGATGCCACCCGGCTTCTGAGCCTCCCTCTGCAGCACCCCCGGACGGGTCTTGTGCAATGTGCGCATGACATGATGTCATTCAAGCGTGAGGTCGGCTTGGGCGAGAACAATGAAACCAGTGCGAGGCTCACTTCCAGCGCACGAGCCAACGTATTGAAGACGCCTTTTGACACCTAGGAATGTATGCGGAGCAAATGAAGAAGGGCAATGTCCCTGTAGTGTACTATTGCATGCGGAAGCAATGGGGTATCGATGGTGATGTATGTAAGGTATACCAGCGCGCAAACAGTCCAGCCAGAAACAAGGGCAGAGAGGTAGGCAGCGATGTAGACATCGTGGACCCAGTGATCAAGACCAAGGCATAGATGATGCAACGCGGAGATGAAACAACTATTCGTGCATGCTCATTCATCCTCGTCTGCAGGATTGTCCTAGTCCTCGTCCTCCGTGTCAGTGTCGCTGTCGGTCTCGCTGTCGGTCTCGCTGTCGTCATCTTCGATCTCGTCCCAATCGACCACTTGTCGACTACTACCGCCTCGACTCCCACTTGCAACGCTGCTGGTGCCAACCTCGTCGTCGTCCCGAAGCCCCGCTCGCTTACGCTTCGACGCCTGCTTCTTCAGCCTGCGCCGATACTTGTTGCATCCGTTCTCGCTCCTGCTGTGCCGCATCATCGCATCCTTGCGAAGGAAGCCCTTCCCGCAAGTGTCGCAGAAGTACGCCGGCTTGGGCTTCTTGCCGCAACCATCTCGGTGGCGTTTCATGTCACCTCTCCGAGTGTAGGTTCTGGTGCATCCTGGGCGCGTGCATGCGTACTTTTTCGTCGCCTTGGTACTCCGAGTCTTCTTGTGCCCTCGCTTGCTTTTCTTGGCGGGCAGCGCATCGTCGAGGTATTCGTCGTCAGAGGCCTTGCGCTTCTGCTCTCGTGGCGGCTGAGCTCGCGGGTTGCTCTTTCGGGGAGAACGACTGGACTCGCCGCCATAGGTACTCCCGTCGTCGTCGAGACTGTCAGCTGCGTGATCATCGTCACTTAGACGGGCGTGTCGGTGGGATCGGGACGTGCCAGGCCCCTGAGGATGCGCTGTCTTTCTTGCCTTGGTGTCGCGCGACGTTGGCCCACGAGAACGAGTGGCTGAGGGACTTGTCGACCTCGCACGCTTAGTCCGAGACCTTTTGGCACCGCTCACACAACCCTCGTCTGCACCATCGTCGCCGTCGTCATCGTCACCCTTGCTTCCGTCTATGTCCTCGTCGAAGAGGCCACCGTCTTCATGCAGCCTGCATTCCTGTTTCTTATCTGCCAGGAGCAGATGAGCGGGGAACACGGGCGGCACGCGTGATGGGCGTGCTCTGGACGTGGACACCGACGCAGCCTCGGTGTCGCTGCCTTCAGCTACTGTGGACGCTGGAGAAGGGTTACGCAACCTCGATGGACCAGCGAATGGACGGGAGCGCGACGCAGGTGTCGGCGCGGCGGGCATCAGCGAGCACAACTCGCGTGTGGTGGGTGAGGAGCCTGGGACCTGAGGCCGACTGCGCTTGCCCTTCAAGACCTCGATTGGCGAGTTCGCGAGCGGCGGCGTTGTAGTGACGGAGGTGACGGAGGTGATTGACTTGGGCGATGTTGACTGGTGTGGTTCTAATGGGGCCGGCTCCCCGACCTCTGCGTCGCTGGACAACACCTCAGCAACGCCATCGCTGTCGACTTCTGGTAAACTTCGGGCTGTCGAAGCTGTCGACGCGTTGGTGAGTGCCGGAGTGCCGGTCCAGTCCAATGTCAATCCTAATGTTGATGTGGTCGCAGAGGATGGATCAGTGTAGCGCCTCCATGTGGTGCCGTCCCAGAACGGCAACCCAGGGTCGAGGAGGGTTTGTATTGGGCATATTGTGGCGGGTAGCGTAGATGGCTACATGAAGGTATGTACGTTGTTCGTTATCATGAACTACTCGACATACCTGCATGTAGTCCTCCAGCAAGAAGCTTGTAGCGTCCGGCGCGCCAAGCAGACCTTTGTATTCCGTCTGTTTGGAGCTCTCCACATCAAACGACATGAAGGATGATCCAAGCTCCGGCGACTGAAGACCCGTCGGGGTACTTGCTGCCCCTTTGATACCGTGCGATGGCGATGTCGACACATCACCGCAAGTACACGTCCGCGCAAAGTGACGGAGCTGATGTTCTACGTCTCGGAAGTCGTCGATGATGTCGTGCTCCCTCTCGGACCACATCACGAGGACCTGCTCTTGCCGCTATACCAGCCGATCAACACCTCGATCACGTCGCATGATCGGTCCTACCCACCACAAGTGCGGCAGAGTGAAACCTTGCCATCTTCAGGTCGGCAAAGGTATCGAGGACTGGAACTCGAAGGTATCCACTGGCATACACTGTCGTCTGTACGGAGCTGTCGACACTGCGTGAGTCTGGATGCGAGTCAACGGTCAACACCACTCACGGCATGTTTAGGATCCTTCGTACAGCGGTGCTGGTCGCTTTGACAGTGAAGCGGTAACCCAACCTAGCGGCGCCATCCGGGAACGTAGGGTCACAAGTGCGAGGTAAGACATAAACGGCGTCATGGGTGAGCATCGAGGCAGCTGAGACGGTACTGTCGAGCTCAGAGCAAGAGTCCAGGAGGGAGTCTACGATGTCCCCGAGAATCTTCTGTTCTAGAGCACTCATGTGGGATGTAATGGCAGGGGGAGGGAAGTATTCGGGGGATCAAGTGCTGCAATCGTTGCTTAAAGCGCGAACGGCTGTAGGTCCACAGCGCCCGTCGCGCGGCTTTCTTGTCGCCTCAAGGCCCGTATGTTATTGAATGCCCAAATCGGACATCGGACCTAGAACACGGTTCGGAGTGGTAAGATTCTTCTGACCGAGATCGATCTCAGATAGCTGATCACAATCGGCGCACGAAATGAGCATGCCGGTGTACGCCGTCCCGTCAGAACAACAGCCTCAAAGACAAGGACAGCCGGCTCACCGACTGATCAGACGGCCATAGCATTCTCAACCGCCAACAACGTAGCAACGTCCTGGCATTCAGCATGGCACACCGATTTATGTGTCTATTGTCCACAATGCTACTCGGTTACCCCAACGGCCCAAGCTCACGGCCTTATCCACCTTCTTGAAATGTAAAGTAGTGCCATGCTGCCTTATGCCGCCATTCTGTTTGCGATTATGTTTGACAACCGGTCGCCTTGTGTCTTTGGACCTCACTGATTTCTGGTAATGTTCTACTTGTCCAATGTTTCCGCTTGGGGGGAGTCACTATGCCCGAAGCGTACCCGCTACGGGAGTCCGACCGATTGCGATCGTGGGAACAAATTGCTGTTCGATCGACGTCGGCTGTCCGCCCATTGTTCGCGGCAAGACACCGAGACAGATGGTCTTCTCTCCAAAGCTCGCACATGAGGGCTGTATTCCGCTCTCCATTTGGTTAGTTTGTCCGTTGGCCTCAGCGCTCACGGCACATATCCACAGCAGGCATTGGAGCAGGATACATTCCATCATCCCAGACCCGAGCAGCGACGACAGCACCAGAAAATAAATGTGGGTATCTGTTGTCTCTCGGATACGCCGTCTCGTCTCAGGGACGCGTTGGCGCACAGGATATCAACGCCGAGAGTAGCATGAGTCTGGCGCAGGTGCACGGGTCTCACAGAAAGCGCCGTCAAGTTGCAATGCACTGTGGCTACCTCAAAACCTGCCTACCCTCCCACACGATATGATCAGATGTACAAAGGGTTCCAGAGAGAACAGGGTACGTTTGCCGTGTGATGCTCAATGCAATGCGGCTGACATGCCCTTTGTCGACCCGTGACATTAGTGCGGACCCACAGGGACCCACGACACACCTTTTATGGTCTGCTTATCATCCATATTTGTCGATCCCAGGTGAAAACCGCGAGATTTGGACCTCGTGTGTGACACTGCCCTCATGCGCCCCTTCTTCATCCGGCCTACTGCGCACCCACGAACACCGCCCGTAGGCCGCCTGAACCGGACACAGGGCACTTCATTGGGAAAGTCACCCCATTTACATCACATCGTTTGTACCCTGTTTCCGCATGTGCTATTATAGCACATCAGCACTGGACCGCCTCAGGCGTTGCCATAATCATGAGTCTCGGTCTGCGTCCTGGCGGAAACGTCCCCCATGCTGCCCCAGATACCGCTAGGCCTTATCCTCTCCCCAAGCTACAAAAATACACATTCGTCATACATTATCTCATCATCCTCTCGCCTGAGCCTGGGGGGGGGGGGCTGCAGGGTCCGTTGTACGCCAATGTCAGCCTGATTCGTTTTACCATGTGCAACCAACCTCTTGCGCTATGAGCTGGGAAACCGCCGTCCCACATCCTCACTACAGTATAACGGTATGTCCCTCTCAAATACACGGGAGTCTCCTACAGCGCCCAGCATCTGTTGCTCGACTTGGTGAGCTGCTTCACTTTCCGACTCTGGAAACGATTGAGGGAATTTGAACTCACTTCGAATGGGTCTACCTGTGACTCCCAAATCAGACGACTAATTACAGGATCCATAGAAGGATAGCGGTCAGCACGGCTGAAACGGAAGATGCTTTATACCTTGTACGCCTTCCCTATTCCGATGACAGCCTTGTTACTCTAGGACAAATAGCCATTTCCATGAGCTGCTACCTCCAAAGATGTCAGTCCCATCTACGCTGAACTAGCTTTATAATCACTTCATGCACGCTATCAAGACTTGGGACGCATCACTCCACTCCCACGCTGCGTCACCACGTATAACGAAGATCTCTAGTCAGACTCTTGTGACCCGCCGGATAAACTCTACAAGTGGCAGATGTCTCCGCAGTTATCTCATTGGGTGATCTCCCGTACTCAATATATACATCGTTGACTGATGGTGCGGAAGGTAGCGTCCTATTTGATTCCGTGGACTAGGCTGAGTCATAGCTTGCAATCATATCTTTCTTCCACAAGTAAACATGCTTATGGCCAACTTCCAACAAGGAAGTATAGGTAATAGATACATTACCCTTCTGTTCGATAAACACACAAACGCTCCACGCAACGACTTAGGCCGCTCAGCTTGCCTGAGGCATGCTCGCAACATTATTGGATGTACTTTTTTCATAGTCAACAGCGCCTGCTTCAGCTGGCAATCATGTCTCGTCTCCGTAAATCGCGTTGCTGGCTCGGTCGAATGCGTGAACGAGTACATATATTGGCCCTTGTATTCGCCGAAGTAATGTGCCTTCAGAGCATAAATCCCAGTAGTTGTCAAGGGCACTACGCTCATCCGATCACGGCCGGACATGATTTGTTACTCGACGAGTGAACGTTCAACTGTCAAAATCGCGATCATTCTGAGGGCTGGACATCAGTGCATTTGAAATGCCCCCTCCCGCGTGTGCTCATCTACAGCCCCTGGATAATTCACTTCGTTTGGCCGAGCGCTGATCACTGATCATTTGAATGATAGAAGCGTTGTACGTTACGTACGCGGGGTCCTTGCCGGCGACATCACCCAATAAGAGTGTTCTTGCGCCCGGTAGACTCTTGGAGCCCATCAGTGTCTCGGGTATCATGATACGCCTGCACTGCGCCTGGACTGTCCAACAGTGGCCACGGCTCGGAGCTGCCAAGTATGGGGAGGACGTGATTTTGCATCGCGATCATGTCTACCCGCGAGGATGTTTGGCGTACCACTGAGCGCTTTCCACTCATATATGGACACTCATTGGTTCCATCCGCTGAGAGTCGGGGAACCGCCGCCCGCATGCGACACGCGTCCAAAGCAACGATGAAGTCCCACTGCATATTCGTGGCTATGGGGCACACTATCAAGCATGTGGGACAGTTTGACTACCGTCAAGCGCTACTTTGGAGTCTCTAGGCTTCTCCCCTAGCCAGGGCTGCCATGGTATTATGTAGGGGTAATACAACGATATCGCGACGATTTCGTCTCGTTCTGGACGTCAATTCTCTCGAGGGGTGGATGTATGCCGCGGAGAATATATAGCTCCGACTGCCCCGTGCTGGTCACCTCAATGCCTGTTTACGATCCGGTGCACGTTGCATAGCCGCTTCATATTCATCTATTGCTCGATCATCCTTTTGATAAACCCGGAGCGCCCAGTGTATCTCGATGTCGGGCGGCAGCGCCGCGAGGCTGAGCCCAGGTTAGAATCTGCGCCCAAGGACTGAATTGTGGTATTTCCGCGCACACCAGGAAGCGGGGTGGGCTGATTTATGTCATGGCGGTTGAATGTCGACGATAGATTGCCAGCGTGACCGAGGGTTGTGGTTTTGCATTGACGTACTGATATAAGTACGACTGTCCTCTTATCTGGGACCGCAGGATGATAGACAACGGCATGGTCACGGCAGTGGAAGCCCAGTGAATGAGGAATGATCGTTGAGCATCTAATGTGGTATTTTCTTGAGGTGCGCCGAACAGCAGAAAGAGATAACGTCCCACGGATTTGAGACCGCCAGCTTGTATTCGGATTTAAGTTATGACCCTGGTAATCCTATGTGACGGATGCATTGACGCAGCGACGCTATGGGAGAATGGTATCCCTGTGTTTATGTCAGCATCATATAGGCGTCAACAAGTTTGGGCTCCCACAACGATACTGTGAAAATAACCTTGGTCTCGAGGGACGTGGTGTGACCCTCCCGGTTTTGACCACTAGGTGTGTGATACTGGACATCGTAGCATCTCGTGATGGCGCTTCATATATTTCTGTAGTTAAATCAAGCATCAATTTGTTCGTACTTTACGCGCACCATTCTGTATTTTATTCTTCAGGAGTTCTCAATGACGATCACGTTGACTCTTCTCAGTCTGCTCAAACACTGTCGCGTGTGCACTTCTGCAGCTTGTCAATTGACAAATATATGATTTGTTGAGTAAAAAAGCGAGTTTTTCCCATTCTGTTCCGTACCGTCCCTGGGTTTCCTTTTCAAGCGGTAAGTACACAGAGCTCCGAAGCAGGATGTGCTGTTGAGCGCCCTTCACAGTAGACGCCCATCTTCACTTGGCGCTCCACTGTGTAAGCGCCGATAACACGCCGTTGCGATCCTTAGATACACTGTTATACTTTATATACAATGGGAGATTGTCTGGTTCGTAACTACAACTCATATGAACTAACACCACAATTAGTTGCTCATGCAGGAGAATATGATCACTACTCCAGACCACGGTGGGCGTGGACGCAGATGTAGTGTTCGTGAGTACTTGAATTCCTCGTCTAAATCCACATGCTGGCGAATGAAGCCAGCGTTCACCGAGTGTCCTTCATTTCCGCGTTCCAATGCTGAGCCCCGACTATTTAATAATGGCATAACATAAGTCATTACAAAGCATAGCTCATTGGACGTAGTTTATGCTCGGAGGCGCAGTACTCTGGTATGGTCAGGTCCCGCCTCTCAAGGAAGACAACGACTAGCTGATAGTCCCGCTTAGGCCAATAACTTGAATGGATGAGCAAACGACATGCAAGGAGGAACGGGTGTATATGCCACAGACAATCGACGAGCGTCGCTACTTGAAGGTGCGTGAGAGGTCCAGTCAGCTAGAGTTTCGCTTTATTGATACATGACAAAACAGACAGCTCAAGGACAAGGGCAAAGGCCCTCGTATCATCTTGGAAAGCATAACATCATGTGTTAGTCCTTTCATTCATCGCCGAGATTGCAACCGTGATAGACACAAGTAACTCGACGATCGCAGTGCCACGAGAGGTTGGTAAATTACTTCAATATGATTCGTCTCGACTAAGGTGTGCTCATTGAATGATGTTGGAGGTGACTCACAATACACACTGCTCCCCTCTGTTAGGCGTGGCAAAATCCTACACGAAATCTCAGATCATATCCCAGCCTGAGCCGGAATCAGAGGCGTATTCCTCTCCGGAGACGCCAGCGAGGTCAGATGGCATGCTCTCTCGTGCCTTCCCCTTGCCTTTGAGTAGCGGGGAGTTAGGAGCAGACAGCTCTGAGCCCGACTCAGCGTTGCTCCAAGAGTATGTCGACTTGGGCGAGGAAGGTGGGCTTGCGAATGGGTCCGCAGATGAGCAGCAGGACGCCACCTCCGATCGTCCATCGCCCAAGATTCCCGAGAAGAGTGCCGCGACAGCATCAGCCTCAGACGATATCGCGGCGTCCTTGTCCCTGATTGTCTCCATACTCGCCGTCTTGCGGGGCGCCTGCCGGCGCGCCTCCAACTGCAGCAACTGCTCCCGCTCGTGCTGTTGCCGCGCAAACATCTCATCCCACAGGGCCGCCATCTTATCCTGTGCCCCTCCGCGCGGACGCATCACCCACTCCGTGTCGAGCATGCCCAAGTACGTGACATTGCGCCAGCCCGGCAGCGCGGGCGTCATCAGCGCCCGGCGGTGCGTACCTTCGATGGTGAATCCAAGGGAGATAAAGAGTGTGCGCGCAGCCGAGAGCTCAGGCGCATCGAGGAGTAGCGCTTGCGCGCGGTGATAGCCAAGTTCTTCGAAGATGATTGGAAGGAAGAGTGTGAGTGCGCGCGTTGCGAAGCCACGCCTGCGCCATGGCTTGCGCAGCGCGATGCCGATGCTGACCTCACCGGGCATGTCCGTTGGCACAGAGAAGACGAAACCGAGAGTAGGCGAGCCGGCACCTCTGGGCATGGGCTCTCGGCGGTGGTCGAAGATATCGCGGGGGTAGCGGGTGGTCTGGTCTTCGAAAGTGCACGAGCTTGCGCCGGCGAGATTTTGGGACTCGATCCACCAACCTTCCCCACTAGGTGGAGGTTCCGACCATAGATCGTCTCTAGAAACAGAGTAGGGCGAGGTGTGATTTATGAGGGAGCTGATGTGTGGGCCGGGGTCTGCGTCGACGTGATTGTCGTTTTCAGTAGGTGTTCGTCCTTCATCTAGTGCGAGTCGGGCCAGATTCGCTTGTATGGATGCTGTGTCTTCAGAGCGATCCTTTTCCTCAGCCGTATCTAGTGCGGTTTGTGATGGTAAAGTGGGGAAGGTAATCGCTGCGAGCCGGGCCAGATTCGCATGTATGGATGCTATGTCTTCAGAGCGATCCTTTTCCTCAGCTGTATCTAGTGCGGTTTGTGATGGTAAAGGGGTAATCGCGGCAAAGAATATGCATTGATCGATGAAGCTAAAGTAGCTGGGCTGATCTGCTTTGATAGCCTCAACGCAGTAAGGGGAGCTTTCTCGCCAGAGCTCTAGCAATGCATCCTCGGAGACAGAGTGGTGGCTGAGGTCGGGCTGAATAAGAATCGCGTTGTCGTGTAGTCGCATTGTCAGCATATACTACGGAGGATAGACGGAGGAACAACTCACGACAACGCGCGCCTTATAGCAGCAGAGGTTCCGCAGTGATATGGTTTGACCACTTTGCGGCCCTTGTTGGCCATATCTACATTTTTGATCAGTGAATTTGGCAGTTAGACGCTGAAGCGTCTCGAGGTCCGTCGCCTGCGACAGGGCTACACAGCGGTAAAACCTGCAGACGCCCACCAACATCGGTCACGTTGATTGACGACGTTAGCCTCTTTCCTTTATCATGAGTACAACGCACACCCGTCCTCCTCACTACCATCTCTCTAATGTATATTAGTGCATCAATACTGACTCTCAGATTCGCTGGAATCCCGCATTGCCGATGAGTTCTATCGCCGCTGACGATGCGCCCTTGCTATCCAGGCGGCCCAACGTATATAGGATTAGGAAGGAAGCACATTGTGCTCACTATTGTGGCGTAAAATATCGACCAATTTATGTTCTCGAAAACCGAGGCTCAGGGGACCTTGTCACTGCCTTGAAGCACGCCTTTACTGGCGCGAGCCCGCACCACAATCAAGCTGATCTGAAACCACTGCACAGTGAAACTCAAAGGGAATGCATTCCAATATCTGCGTTACAATCGGACCAAGTGATACAACGCAGCCTGTGAGGTCAATTAGTCATGAGGTATGGGTCACTGAAAGTTCCGCATATAGCTTCTACGTGGCAGAAGGGGCGTTGAGTAGCGAACGTGATCCGTACAGAGGGAAAGTTGGGCACATCTACCTGCGCAGCGGGCACGGCCGTCACTTCAATCGTGTTGCACAGCGGACATATCGAGAACCGAAGGGGGTAAATACTCTATAAGTCTCGTCAGCGATCATCCAACGAATGCGCTTCGACAGTGAAGAGCACCTGATATCTCCCAACTCCTTCCGCCTGTATGACCCTTGTCGTAGTCGTGTGCTGATTGGACAGATTCGATACCCGGTCTTGAAGATTGCATCGACATGGGTGGGCCATTTGCGACCGTGCTATACGGCGCCTCCATACCGCACCAGGAGCATGGATACTGTGAACGCGGATCGGTAGCGTGCGAACCTACGGACGGCGAGGAGCGTACGACAAGAAGCCAGGATGCATTAGGAAGACCGCCTGCGGGAGCTAGCCACGTTTCCAAACCGGTATAAGGTGTGCGAGTCTTACGAATACGCAACGATGTCGATGTCGACTTCGCCTGACATGGGAACACAGCGCAAAAAAGAGCGCGTGGCCGCTACGCCGGCATCCTCATGCAGGGACTCTGAACGCTTATGGTGAGCCCGTCTTCGAACACTCTCGAGATCGATGTGATGAGTTGGAGAAGCCATCACCGCTGAGTCTCAAGGTTGGAACCGTGGGCGCTCCCCGACAACTAATAGCGCGGCGCGCAGCGCTTCATTCGCCCTTGTTTATGTCACAATCAGCATCATAGAAGTGAACCCAACGTGGAGTGAACATACACGTCATCCACAACGCAGTCTCCTTCCTCAGCCAAATCATGCCCAGTTGCAAGTGGAAGTATCGGCAGTGATGTAAGTGGGCGATGATCCTGCTTTCAGTGCGATGCTTGTGCATCCAATAGTTCGAAATTGTTGTCGTAAGCAGGGCTCAAATCCTAAAGAGATGGGTGCTCAATCTACATCTCATGTGAGGCCTGAAGCAAAATTCCTGAGACAGTGATCCTCAAGTTCAGCCAGAAGAATATGAACGAGTCTTCGGGCAATGGTCGGTGCTGAGCAGCAACAAACATGAAGCAGGCGACACCTGAGCAAGCCGCATCGACAACGTAGGCGCCCATGGTTGTTTGTGTATGTTTCATGTGATTTCCTTACGAGGAAACCTTGCAGCTCCCACCGACGTCTTCCTATCTTCTGCTGCTTCGTCTCAAGCGGCTTACTCACAATCCTCGGCCTCGAGACTATGTCCTTGTTATGCGATAAACACGGTGATTCATGACAATCGATATGGATGTCTCGTCGCTCTGTGCAACAGCTGCATGATACGGGCATCGTTTGTCTTGTCGGCGCATCACGCTGGATTCGCCCGATTCCTCTACCCTATGCGGCGGTCTACGCGCGATTGTCTCGTTCGCACAGGTATAACCATCCGGAGCACTACGGAGACTATGGTGAGCCACTTGATGTTCAATCAGTGCGCCCTTTCATTATTGCGACCCATGCAGGCTACATTGCACCTCGAGGATGTGTACTCCATCGCACTGTACACATCTGGATCTGCTTACTGTGCACAGGGTGACTGAGAGCAGCCGTGCTGTGGTACAGAGACACGGCTTGCGGCGCACGTGAGATTGTACGTTTTCAGCTTATTTGGGCTTCGCACCGTCCTTTACGATTCCCAGTCTACCCCATCGGATATGGAATGCATATTCGATCATCCAACGCCGTTCATCGAAATGCCGCGCACGTACGTCTTACAGTCTCGCTACTGTATTGACCGATTGACCGCTGCGTCTCGGGACCATCCCATTGGATGTGCGTGCGCCGCGACACACGAATGGCGCAGGGTTAGCCACGGGGGAGTCAGCTACTCACCGTTGCGTTCTGCGAACATGTCTTCGAGACACTGATATACTTGCAGCGTAAAGACAGCGTGGCCGTGTCGCCGGGATACGCTCTCAGCGGACGCCCACGTCTCTGCAAGGATTCAGTCCCCCGACCGTCACCCTTCGTGTGCATGGTGCTGTGTTCATTGAGAGTCGAGAGAATGGTCGTTGATACGATTTGAATACAAAGGGGGGTGTAAGGCAGTTGAAACCAATAATATGTCGGTTTTGCACGAATATGACTAGACTGTGCAGCACTAGAACGCAGACGAGCGCAGGTACAAAGGGCAGCTAAAGGAAACAAACAGGTCGATCCGCCAAGACCGGAGACCTGTGCAGGTCGATTCGAAACGAATCAAGGTAAGTATATTCCGTCCGAGCTGCAAGACCCGTTACTCACACACCTCTATATACGGTCGTCTTCACCACTTTCTATCACCACCCTTCCGCTTTCCCTTCTTCTCCTACTCGCTCTGGTGCTTCCCCTTCTTGGCCTTCTCTTTCTTGGCCTTCTCCCTCTCGGCCTTCTCCCTCTCGGCCTTCTCCCTCTCGGCCTTCTCCCTCTCGGCCTTCTCCCTCTCGGCCTTCTCCCTCTCGGCCTTCTCCCTCTCGGCCTTCTCCCTCTCGGCCTTCTCCCTCTCGGCCTTCTCCCTCTCGGCCTTCTCCCTCTCGGCCTTCTCCCTCTCGGCCTTCTCCCTCTCGGCCTTCTCCCTCTCGGCCTTCTCCCTCTCGGCCTTCTCCCTCTCGGCCTTCTCCCTCTCGGCCTTCTCCCTCTCGGCCTTCTCCCTCTCGGCCTTCTCCCTCTCGGCCTTCTCCCTCCCGGCCTTCTCCTTTTCGCAGGCGCCTGGATTCTCGATGTGCCGGCGCCAGGAGTACTCCCTGGCGAAGCCTTTCCTGCATCCTGCGCAAATTGACTCGTACTCGCCGGTGTACAGTGGACATGACCTGGTCTCCCTGTGATGCCACCTGAGGTCTCCGTCGCGTCCGAATGTAGCTTTGCAGGCCGGATGTGGGCAAAAAAGCTGGGACTTCTTCGCAGTGGCAGCCTTGACCTGCTTTGCCCTCGGCTTCTTCGCCGAGGCAACCTTGACCTGCTTCTTCCTCGGCTTCTTCGCAGCGGCAGCCTTCACCTGCACCACCATCGGTTTCTTCGCAACGGCTGTCTTGACCCGCTTCGCCCTTGGCTCCTCGCCCTCGGTGCCGTCCTCCGCATTATGGCAGGCGGGAGCCTTCCGCTTGCAGCCGCGGGGAGGCTGCACGTGTTGACAAATTGCACAAGCATGGGTGGACGTTGAACTACCGGGAGTGTCGGCAGGCAAGGGTCCCCACTGCTCGACCGACCTACTTGTCGACAGATGTGCCGGCTCGCGGGGAGGTGCAGGCCGACCAACAGTCCCTCTGGAGCTCCCTGCGTCAACCACCGCCCTCCCTTCCCTCGTGTCCGCACCGCGTTCCTTGCGCTCTGCGACAGCGTTCGCGGACTTGCAGTTGCGAGTTGGTTGGGCCCGCCGGTTGTTGTGGGAGCGGTCGGTCCACCTGACGCGCGGATCGATGGCGGCGGGAAGGGGGCCGTCGGCAGTGGCGTCCACCTCTCGATGAGCGATTGAGTGTCCTGTCTCCTGCTCGTGCTGACGTGAACTCTCTTGGTGGAACTCTGCGATAGCTCCGTCCACGCCTGTATAGTCACTTGCACGCACCAGATTTTGCTCAGCGCTCTGTACCCTCAGTCTCACAGACTGCTGCTCCTGTGGAAAATGAAGTTCCTGGTGCTCGTCCTCCATTTCTGCTGGGTGACTGGAGCTTGACGTTGAGCCAAGCTCCGTATGGTGAGGATGTAGCTTGCCGACGTTACCGGTGATACGACCTACGAAACCCTAACCCCTAACCTGGGTGCGACCTAGAGGGACTAGAGAGACGGATTATAGTCTAGTGAGAGGGGAGTTAGCAGCAAGGTGTCCCGCGGTTCGAGTGAATACGAGAAACGTCCTTGGAAAAGGCTACGAACGATGGGGAAGGTACGAGGTGGCTTCGACACGTCGTCGAAGCTACTCGGAGGCTGTGGGTGGTTAGCGGAGACGATCGAAGCTCGACAGAGCTCTTCGATGTATCGTAGAGAGAAGAGACACGATTCGATGGGGGGGGGACTTAGCTTAGTACGCGGTTCGAGGTGCAACGTAGTTCTTCGACAATAGCCGAAGTCGAAAGGTTCGTCGAGACGGTATCGACGAGTAAACGCAGTGGACGAGGTTTCTAGGTTACGCAGCGAGGGACGAAGTGACGCAGTTGAGGCTTAGACGCGGGGCGAACTCGACTTATGAGCTCTGAACTCGAGGGGGGACCGGATCTTGTTTATTTTTGGAGAGAAGGTACGACAG